TACTTATATTCAATTAGGCAGGCAGGCATCTCAAATATAATTTCAAATACAATGGAAAAATTGCTGAATGTGTAACAGAATGTAAATATCTTGGCATTACTTTCTGTTCATCTGGATCTTTCTCCTACGCTCAAAATGAACTTTATCAGAAGGGCCTAAAAGCTTATTTTAAACTGTGCAAGGAATTTATTTCTCATTGTCCTTCACCCAAAATCTCATTACATGTATTCGATCACACAATTATGCCAATATTATTATACGTTTGGGGTTACTTTAATCCCTTTACGACAAGATTGAAAAAAACCCTGATTTGTCGTTTGATGAAATTTATAAAAGATTAAATGCGAAGATTTGCATGTTAAATTATGTAAATTTGTTTTGGGTTGTGGGAAAAAGAGTTCAAATTTTGCCTCCTTGTCAGAGCTTGGCAGATTACCCACACAGTTTAATGTTGTCACTGCAATGCTTAAATATTGGCACCGCTTAGAAAATTTAGATAATCAATTTCCTATTTTAAAAGATGCCTATTTAACTTCCATAGAGTTGTACGAAAATAAACATCCTTCTTGGTATGGCTCTTTGAATATACAGAAAAAACTAATTTTTGACAATCAAACTGACTTAAAGTCAATGAAAACAAATAGTTTTAAGAAGACATGTAAAAAATATATGAAAACTCATTATATTAATCTTTGGCAAAAGCAAAAAACATCATTATCAGATGGCAAACTGTGTACATACTTCAAGTTTAAACAAAACTTTGGATTTGAAAATTATTTAAATATTATAAAAGATTTTGGGCAGAGGAGAATTTTCACCAGATTCAGAATATCAGCTCATATACTTCAAATAGAGTTAGGAAGATATCAAGGTATTATCAGGCAAAATAGATTGTGTACTCATTGCTCATCTGGCGAGGTAGAAGATGAGAACCATTTTTTACTGACTTGTACAAAGTATAAAGTTGAGCGTTGTGATCTGATTAATGCTATTAGTATGCAATGTCCTAATTTTACCCGATTACAAAATCCTGAAAAATTTATTTGGGTGATGAGTAATGAAGAAAATGAAATTTTATGTAAAATTTGTTGCCTGATAGCCAAACATGAACATCCTAATTAGGGAGCATTGGGACTTCACTTGCACCTGCTACTGTTATGTGAGAGTGTTGAATATGTATATATATGCATATGAATATATAAATATATACGGTTTACAGCTATATGTTAATGTTTTGATCTCAATGAAGATTTTATTTCGGTCAGTTAAAAGTTTTTAACATTATATCTAAAAATATTCAATAAATTTTGTGGATTGCTGCCACTGCTGAATGCAGAAACCACTTCCTTGAATGCTTTATAACAAACTGTTATCACAGAGATATGTCTCGCCTTTTTGTAATTTTGATAATGCAAATGTTGAAATTAAAATAGCAATACTTTAACATTTTAGTTATGCAAATATTCAAAGTCGATGAACCATGACTGAAGGTACATGGATAAACAATCTCCATGGAATGAGATGTGCCAATGCTAATACAACTGCATACCAAATACCATTGACTTATTATAAGTCGTTCCCTTTAAACAAACCTAAACACAAACATTAACTTGCAAACTATGTAAAAGTTTCAAAGTCAATGAACCATGATCAGGGGTGGGGCTATATAATCTCCATGGAAAAAATACTTGCAAATGCCAATAAATTTGCATACCAAATATCATTGACTTAACATAAGTAGTTCATCTTCAACTGATCTAATCACAAACTAATACATGTAAACTAAGCAAAAGTTTCAAAGTCAATAGACCATGACTGAGGGGGCGGGGCCAAATATTCTCCATGGAAATGAGATGTGCTAATGCTTATACAACTGAACACCAATTAACATTGGCCTACCACTAATGGTTCCCCTTGAACTTACCTAATCACAAACTAATACATGTTAACTTAGCAAAATTTTCAAAGTCTATAGACCATGACTAAGGGGGCGGAGCCAAATAATCTCCATGGAAATGAGATATGCTAATGCTTATACAACTGCATACCAAATATCATTGACCTACCACTAGTGGTTCCCCATAAATTGACCTAATCACAAACTAATACATGTAATAGACCTTGACTGAGGGGGCAGGGCCAAATAATCTCCATGGTAATGAGATGTGCCAATGCTAATTCAACTGCATATCAAATATCATTGACCTACCACTAGTGGTTCACCATGAATTAGACCTAATCACAAACTAATACATTGTTGACGCCGTCGCCGACGCCGGAAACAGCATACCTATGTCTCGCTTTTTGAATCCGTCAAGGCGAGACAAAAAGTGTGTTGTTAAAAGTAATCATTATATTTAGACAAATAGATGCCTTAACCTTTTGGTATCATCCCTTGGTGATTTTTGCATTAAAGTGATAAAAAAAAATTACTTTTGTGCACTAGTCACGAGGAGGTTAAGACGGTATCTAAAATCACACTTGCTAACATGTCCAAGTGCATTTGCCCTTGGTCTATTTTCCATTATAGTGACTTGTATTATTTATTCCTTCAACTTGCTTTTCTGGATAAGAGACAAGGTGGACCTCTGTTAGCAAACTATATGATGAAATTATTAAATTATTTGTATTTGCACTCTGGCATGGCAGTTAAATCTAAGATATGAAATTTTGAAAGATCTAAACTAACTTATAAATAATAACAATAACAATTGTTTTATGTTGTGATATTTGATATGATATATTCTATGATAATCTCATCTACTTCATGTGAATTTTAATTTTATCTTCATTTATATGTTTATGTGTTATGAATGAGAATGTATTGTGTATTGTTGTCATTATGTCCCGTCAGGGGCCCTTAATTGGAAAATAAAGAACTTTGAACTTTATAGCATTAAAATATATCAATAATGAAATTTGAAGCGTGATGATATACTCTTTGTTACTGTATTAAACATTTAATGGACAAAACAGGCGACCCAAACAAGCTTGAATAGAAAAAGGTGTACCTGACTTTCTTAACATGATAAGATTGTTAGAAATTTTATGGATTTTTTTTCAAAATACTGTTACCGGTCAATGCTTTTTACATAGCAATCTCTTACGTTTATGTGGAAACTCATGTAAATTTATGCATGAATCTGCATGATTCAAAAACGATATAACCTACCAAAATCAGTAGTTTTGTGAAATGTGTATTTAGTTAAAGCTATTTTAATTTTTTTATGAAATCCGTCGAAGTCAAATTACCATTTAGGGATAAGAAATAAGCAAATAAACATACTCAGTGACACACATTGTTTAACGAACATAAAGATGTATCGTAGAATCGCAGAGCACTGCAAAATGTAAAATGCTCAAACTTGCATGCCTGCATGAATTATAAATAGCCAACTACTAGTATAATAATTTAATTTACTTCGACAGGGTTTTTTTGGGGTAAAAATACATATGGGAACGACCATTTAACTTCAAGGGGGAGGAGGGTTATTTTTTTTTTTATGAACAAAAAATATTCTGACCCCAATTTGATGCATCAAGATGTTTAATATTGAAAAAAAATCATTTGATTACTGAAAAACTGAATAAAACTAATTGCGAAAAATTTTGTAACTCAGACAAAAAACCATACCCCCATTTTTAAGTTAAATGGTTGCTCCTTAAATGACATTGTTCTCCAAATCCTGCTTAATATATTAATACATAAGTAAAACGGAAGATATTTTATTTACACAAGTTTTGAGTCATTTTTTAGTAGTTAGAGAGCACTCGAAAGAAGTAAGGTGCACTCGAATCTTGAAGTTACAATTTGATCTGATATATATCTTTAAATATCCTTTTTCAGTATCTCAATGTTTTGTTTATGAATAAAGCATTCAATAGAAACCTAGTACACATGACAATATTCCACTTTGTCATTTAGTCAATATATTAATTGATTCATCGGATCAGAAAAAACTTACTCGTTTTATCTGTATCGCACGTATATGAATACTTCGATACGTATATGTATCCAAATACTTCAGTTCTGCAACATCTCTATTATCAACGAATAAATACACTGTTACATCGCCTGTATAAAATACCTTCACATGCTTACATGTTTACATCGTTCAAAATTTAAGATGATACCAAAAGGGCTATAAAACTTACTATAATCTTTGCAGACACCCTATCACCGGGATTAATGTAAATAAAACAAAATAAAATAAAATCGCACGAAAGTTCACTTTGCATTCTACGGAAGAAAATCATAACAATTGTATATATTTAGTTGCTTCGGGTATTTGCCTTGTCGAATTATGGTTGTTGTGCTCTAATTCTGTGAGATATAACCAATCATGGGTTACTTTATGCACCAAAAAATGTCAGAACTCTAAGAGACTTGAGCATAATATGATGACTTGTCAGTGGCTCTCACCTAATTGTGTTTTTATTGAAATGTACTATTTATTCCCGTAATCATACAGTGGAGACACAATCTCTTTTGATTAGCAAACCTCAAGACAGATGATCCTTGAAGATAATTAGATAATTAAAATACTTCCAAACTTTATAGACGCCGTCGGTTTTCTGACCGTTGTGTAACATCTGTATCACGACGATGATCCCTGATATGTTACATAATCATTTCAACAACCATCATGGCCTCCTTTCCTCCTTAATGACTTGTAATCAAATCCGATTAATCACCAGGTGTTTGTTTATCACTGAGAATAACACGGGTGCCAATAAGGACAGTCGACAGTCTGTCTATCTTTCTAGTATCTGCTTTAACTCCGGAATACAGTGTACTAGTATGTTGATTTTTTGGTACGTATGACGTATGTGCATAGTACTATACAAGTAATAAATATTTCAATTATAAACACACTTAGACAAAACTTGAGAATGCATATATACAGGTTCATTTAATAGGCGTCTGGCATTAATCAAATGCAATTACATCTAAATAAACAAGCTTATTTAAAAACCTTATGGTTCATGCCTGTACAGCATCCATTCTGTTACTTTGTTAAACAAACGACATGGTAAGCTTTATTCCAAAGTTGTACACCGATATACTAACATGGTGATCCTTACAGAGCGTTTTACAAGTTTTCTTGTTTGCTTCACATTTACAATTCATGTGTTTGATGCAAAGTCTTGCAAAGGGCGATCATGTGCTGTACGGATGCCATTAATAGACAATATGAAGGCTCCACTTGTAGCAGAACTTGACGTCTCCGAAGTTAATAGAGAATTGAAACAGTACATCGAGATAAGTATTAATTCAACGTACAATGAGAATATTGAGGAAATGATTATTAAAAACTTAGGGGTGCTCAAGTCTATGATGTTAAAGGAATATTCAGACGAAAAAAATAGGACAAAACACATGTATGATATTCAAATTGTTAATATGATTGATAGTCTTCAAGCAAGACATGACTATCTACAAACGGAATTAAAGGAGTATTCCTCTAATTTATCTATTTCTGCGGAACACTTTGAGCAAAAATTGATAGATTTGGTACGTGATGTCGAGGGAAAATTCGATGCAATGTTTCTTAATATGACCAGCCATTACAAACAAAAAATCAATATACTTTCCGAACGTTTGAAGAAAGAATTCGTCGATTTTCAAAACAGTACAGATGAATGGAAATATAACGTCACTCGAACATTATTAGGTAAGCCGATGTTACTAACTTGAATAACATTAATTTTCGATTAAAATAAGATGTGGAATTTACGTTAATGAGACAGCAATCCGAAGACACACAAAACAAAGATATTTTGAGGGTAACATACGGTTTATAACATTTAGCAAATATCTATACAACTTGTAAAGCTCTAAAAATTGTCCTGCCTGTAAAAAGCTTTGAACGAATTTAACAGAGACAATAACAAAAAAAAGGACGCCAACACCGATTTTTCCAAAGACAAAAAACAAAATCCATAAAATTTTTTTAATTATTTGTATCATGCTTATTTCAAAAATATAATAAAAATTATGGGTCACCGGGCTTTTTTTCACGCTGCAGATTGTGCAATATTGTCAGATTTTGTATAGATTATGTATGGGAAACCCAATATTTTGTGATAAAAAGAAAATCACACCATAGAATTTTAAGATAAAATATGAGAAGATAGCTCTAATAATATGCTTTCACATAAGAAAAAGAAAAAATTTGGTCACCGGAATCGTTTTCTTGCTACATAATAAAATATGTAAATTCACAACACATTATATAAGTTACTTTATCTGAGTTATCTCCCCTTATGTGGAAAGTTAAAAAAAATGAATCAAACAAAAATAGTCTGTTTTTTTGTAAAATACAGCCGTAAAATATGGTAAAACACATAATTTTCTATGTGAACATGAAAAGTTTTACACATGAATAACAAACTACTCTCGAAATTTGCACATTTCATTAAAGAACTATACCGATTGTTATCTGCTATTTCCAAATCCAAGATGGAGGAAGACACCCCAGCTACCTTAACTTAGTTTTTTAGATCACAAAAATTGACTTGTCAATTGCTACTGATTTTTCTCATTGTTGAAGGTCGTACTGTTGCATATAACTGCTTACATTCACTTCATTTGAACTCTGGTGAATAGTTGTCTCATTGGAAATCATATCACATCTCCTTATTTATATGTTAATAAAAAATACAAGAATTAACAATAAAAAGAAGTATATGAAAAGCATTTGGCAAAATATACAAAAAACGGACAAATCTATAAAACAAAAGTTTTAAATAAAAACAATACGTTACCAATACCAGAATTTTATTTATCAAATTTGTTTAATCTTTTTGGTAATTGCAATTATTCATTCTCTTTGTATCCAAACATTATCTAAAATTATACCAAAGAATATATATGATGTCCCATTTCAATAAACATAACAATTTTTGTAGAGACACAGTGTCAGTTTACATTCAAAACTTATAACTCTGGAGTATCACAATTGTACATTCAACTTGATGTCATAAACTATTTTGAGAGATATTTTTTAAGCACGAAATTCTTCCGTCCACTTTAAAGTTGGGTGTATATACAACAATGGAAAAACGTAAAGATCTATGCAGATTTTGTTATTGCACAATGAAATCTTGAATTATATTATCATCACACAACACGAATGAAAAGCTTTACAATGTCATGTTTACCCTCAGTTGAAAGACCATTATGTCACCTGTTTGATTATAACACTTTTTACACCAACAAAACCAAACGGGTGAGTAAAGCAAAATGATAGAGTCTACCAAAGATCTCCTGTTTGTTCCTTTCAAAGACTACAATAATTAATACTCGATTTGTGAAATAATAGTTAATCTAGATATTTCACCTTTCCCGTGTATGTAATTGATGTTTGCTATTAATATATATTGACTGATCGTGATACTTCAATCCTACAAAAAGCTTTCAGCGTTGTCCAATGGTATCATTTTCTAATTCTAGTATATTTCTTAACTTACTGTACATGTATTATTGTTTTTAGAACATGAAATTATTGAAGTGTCTTTAAATGGCAGACACACAGAGCAAAGTTCAGAATATAACTCCAGGTATCCTGCACGTAATGCCGTTGATGGTGATCTTTCAACATTCTCACATACTTCATCACAAACAAATCCATTCTGGTTTGTTGACATTGAAACAGTGTATACAGTGAAAAGAATAGAAGTTTTTGTTCGTATAGACTGTTGTGGTAAGTTTAAAGAAAAACTGTACAAAAATTATTATTGTGAAAAATGTTGAAAGGTATCATGATAATTTCTTTCTATACCATTTAAAGACATACGTTTATCCACCTGTTGTAGGTTATATATACAATTATTATTCACTTTGTCAGTAACTTAAACTTTTTTCTATTTGAGTGGTAAATTGACGCTCATCGTTGCAATGCAAGAAGCTGTTGATTTTAAAGTCTAAAATTTTTGATATTTTCTCATATATGTAGCACTCAGAAACGTTAACAATCCTCCAAACGTGTCAGTGAACTCACAGACATGTCTAGTAGCTGAAAGACGTCAAAACGAGTCCACCTTAATTAACAAGTGTTTCGTTATAAAATAGGGTTTCTTTTAGATAAAAAAAAATCCAGGCGCACATTATTAAATGTATTTGTTTTATATATATATCAAATTCAATACATAACTGATAACAAAAATATGCTCATCCAGTTATTCATAGTAAGACATACACAAATTTAATGTTGTAAAGTCAAAATATTTATGAAACATCTTTAACCTTAAAGCTTTCGTCGTAAAGCATCGGGTAAAATATTACCAACTTCGCTTTTATCATTCTAAGGGAATTTTCTTTAAAACCCTTGATTTTTCTCCCCGCCTACAATCTACATTTCAGACATTTCTACAGATAGAACTTAGTCATAAAACAAGCGAAACATCTTATTTCTTGCAGCTGCTACTCAGACTTTATAAAACGTCACCAGTGTCTGAGCAGAAAATTGATGAACCAGGGTTATGTCAGAGAACGTCTCGTCCATTTTCTAAAAAAAGTTCATCGGAAGATACCAAGACCTTGTTGATAAATATTCCGTATCAACTTCACAAATAATACATGATAGTCTTGAAGTATAGATTTTAGGTACTGACGTTGTTTATCATCTTAATTACGTGTAATAGCTTTCTTTTTATTTGTCTTTGTATATTTTCATTCTTTTCTGTTTAGTCCATTTTTCGTAATATACTTTTGGCGTGGCTCAGAATTTATACATCCAGCCATTGTGTTATTGTGCTCTGGTCATTTTTTGTATTCTTGTCTTTCGTTTTTGCTTATGTACTTTGTCTGTAGAGTATCTATATGCTTTTTTGCTATTTTGCTATATGCTATTTTGTTTTTCTTTGTTGAAATAGTTATTTGGTTTTTTTTAGTGATTAAGATTATAACCCAATGTTGGCTGCTGTACCTCATTTTTTGACAATTTTACCTATTATGTCTGTTTGTTTTGCTCAAACATTGTTGTCAATAAAATGGAATTCTATGCGACTGTCATACAAGTGAGAGGTTATTCTTGCCATAAAACTAGGTTTAATCCACCATTTTCTACATAATGAGATGCCTTTACCAAGTCAAGAATATGACAGTTGTTTTCCATTCGTTTGATGTGTTTGAGATTTGATAAAGGATTTTCTGTTTTAAAATATCCTAAGAGTTCGGTATTTTTGCTATTTTACTTTTTGTTAGCTTAATAGTGACAGATAAATCTGTGAGTTGCCGTCTGTGGATAAATGTTTCACTTATTTTTTTTGGAAAAAGCCAAAAAATTCACCGTTATATGTCTTCGTGCTAGTATGTGTCTTTTGGTCGTATGACTCGGTATTTATTCATCCCGCTATTAGGTTTTTTACTTTAAATTTGGGCATTCCTGGTGGGTCCTGTGGTACGATTCGGATACAAAGGGTTTTTACTGTGTTGTTTCTATTTTGTTTACTCTTGTATTTATATCTACCGAATTTTTACTTTATCGAGAAAGTGTATACTATATACGGTATGTACTTTCAACGTCAAAAACTTTTTTTTGTTGACGTCATTTTCAAATTTATTATCTACTACACCTTTGTTGTTCGCGTCTTTGTAAGATTAATTTGTATGTTTGTTTGAATTCTTTAGTCAGTTGTGTTGTATGTCTGTGGGAGTATGTTGAAGACCCATTAGTGCCCTTGGGCTATTTTCTGCTCTTTGGTCGGTTTGTTGACTCTTTGACACATTCCCCGTTTCCAGTCTCAATTCTATTACACAGTTTTGCTTGCTGGATCCCAATTCATGTCACATTAATCTATAATGTATGTTGGTTGCACATCTAATTTTGTCAAAATAACAGAACTATAAAAAAAAGTTAAATCACAAAAATATTGAACTCCGAGGAAAATTCAAAACGGAAAGTTCCTAATCAAATGGCAAAATCAAAAGCTCAAACACATCAAACGAATGGACAACAACTGTCATATTCCTGACTTGGTACAGGCATTTTCTTATGTAGAAAATGGTGGATTGAACCTGGTTTTATAGCGCTGTTACAGAATAAACAATTGTCATACGAGTGGAAAGTTCAGCTAGCTACAAAACCAGGTTTAACCCACCATTTTCTTCGGAGAATGCCTGTTCCAAGTCAGGAATATGGCACTTGTTTTTCACTTGTTCCGTTGATTGATACCGTTTGATTTTGTCAGTTTTAATGGACTTTCCGTTTTTTGAAATTTTATGTATTTTGTTATCCTGTTTTAGATATAATATTGTATTTTATTCATTCATACAGTATAATTAGTAACTACAGATAACATATGCGTTTCGCGATTGATTTACAAATTCTATATAAGGTTAGCGTACTTTTAATTAAACACACGTGTAGTCTTGTGGATCAACTTTAGTTTGACTTTTATTCAGATATTGAGCTGATATTTTGTATGAATTGAGTTGTGTTTCGGACACACCAAACTTATATCGTGTTATTTTCATTTTGAAGCACTTGGTAGATACCGCTGTTGGTGGACTGTAGTCCACATTTGTATCATCGGCTAGGTAGTGGGTGCTTCTGTGTTGACATGATTAATAACATACATTTCTTAAATTCTCTGTTGATAAATGCATAAGAAAGATTTGGCTATTCTTTGTAATTCCGTTTTGGTTGTAAAGTCCTAGCGAGTTCAAGTAGTTAAAATGTTGGGTTTTAGCGTTAGTTAAGTCAGTAAAGATATTGTTGAAATCTTAAATTGCCAAATTAAAAAAATTTATCTCAAAAAGATCAAGATAGCATGTGCGTTTTACAAAGAAAGAATACATCTTTGCAACACCAGCAGTTTCTTCTTTTGCATTGTTAATAACAATCCATAGCTCGAGTTGATTGTTTTGTTATTAAAAATGTTTTTAGTTCTCGAATGTGTGTGGTCTACCTAAGGCGTTGTTTCTGGATAAGGAGTGAAACATTTATGTTTTCTGGATTTCTTCGCACAAAGATTCACTATCATTGTTCTTTCTGGGAAAATGTTTGTTTTCTCTAGATAAAATGTGAAATATTTTGGGAAATTGCTTCTTCCGTTGATGCTGCTTTTTTTTAAAATGTTGAAATGATGAAATATCTTAAAGAAGCCTGATAGGCATATGCAGACACAGCGTACAATGAGGAAGACATCATTGACTTCATGAAATCTGATATAAAATCAAGTATCTAAAAAATTAATGATATGATGTGTGCATAGCGGGGAGAAGGTTACCCTGTCGACGCTCTCGGTCTCGCTCTTTTTAGGGTTTAGGCGATTCCATTATTTTTCGTTTGTGACCTTTATTTGTATTCTTAATCGATACACAAGGTTTAAACATCGATTTACTGTTGCCTATATTCATCTACCATCCTATTTAAAAATTGTATCTTACTTGTTCAAAAATTTAGATATTAAAGAGTATGATCAGTATGCCATAAACAAATTAAGACATATTGGTAACAGTTTTAGTAACAAAGCAACTCACTCCACTAACAGGTTGCTTTAAAGAATTTTGAAAATGTATATTATCTATTTTTATATAAAATATCAAGCAACTTTTAGCAGCATTATGACAAAGCAAAGTTATACCATCTACGTGAATTCAGAGGATAACACAGGGAATGTAATTTAAATGTAATTTATATGTTAACATGAAATACTTGGTAATCATATGTGATACAACGAACCAATTCATTTTCGTTTAAATACTAGTAATCGATTTTGTTACAAAGAAAGAAAACCCAGACTTACACGATAGCTAATTCGAAGAAACTTCAAAATGAAACCAGAGTGGGATGGAGAAAGAGGACTTTTATGTAAAATAACTACATACATTGTTACCTGGTTGTTCAAATAAATAAAAAATTACAAAAAATCTAATTAAAAGGTGATATCACCCAAACAGAACCCTTAAATGTTTGAACACCAAACTCAATTGACAATACTATAGTATCAATAGAAAATTAAAGAGAACCACATAAATTCTCTTATTTACCACATTAGTTGTGTATGAAACTGCATAGAATCATATGCCTGAATATGGGACTTCATTCCCATTTAAATATAATTTAAGTTGTCATTATTTCGTTAATATTATTTTCATTTTAATACAAAATAGTGTGTTGAAATTACTCTGTAAGGCAATAGTGTAATTTTATTTTATATTTTATATTTTATTTTGACTAATCCACACCGACATAGATTTGTGTGCTTTTACAGATACTTATGTCAATTATTTTCTGTTTATTTCTTTAAAAGGAGACTACATTCATGATATGGATATCACAGTTGGGCAAACGACTAATAATATGACAATGTGCACACATTATAAAGGACCTGCTAGTACCAAGGAACAACTCATGTTAAAATGCAAGAAACCTGTAAATGGTCGATTTGTCAAACTATCAATATTTGGAGAAAACTCTGTGATGGCACTCGCAGAAGTCAAAGTATTTGCTTTTGTTTGAATATTTGATAAACGTGTAAAGATAAACTGCATCCGAATGAACAATTTCAAACTGTCTACATCAATGTCATAATATATTTATATACCTGTATTGAAGAAATTGTAAAGTAGTGATGCATTTTTATTCCTTGTAGTTCTTTTATAGTGATTGGAAATTCCTTTTTTGTGGAAACTAATTCCCCAAAGTTGGTATCCAACGATTAAACTTGATATGTAGATATGTATGACATACATGTCTACCTAGAAAAATAAATTTAATAAACAGTAAAAGAAAAATAGTTGATTAGAATCTCATTGAGAAGCTGAAGTTTATAACTACACATCATTAGTACAAGCAAAAGTATAACACAAATACGTCTTAAACTTGCAGCGAGGTGAGATTTTTTTTTTTTATCCGTGTTGAAGGCACCACTGTGACTTTGAGATGTAAAACAGCAATAAAAGCGCTGGTTTTTTTTTTTGCTATGCATCTACTGATTTTGTGTCATGGATGGATACCCCTTATCCTTTGTTTTTTCTAATTAAAAAAAAACACAAAAAACGATCATATGACAAATAACAGTATTCAAAATACAACATAGAAAACTATATACTGAGAAACACGAACCGCACAAAAAAAACCGGGGGTGATGTAAAGTGCCCCGGAAGGGAAAGCAGATCTTGCTCCACAAGTGACACCCGTCCTCTAAAATATGCTGAGTTATATAAAGAGATTTGGCATCACGCAATGGCGGATTGGTAATTGACTCTTATCTTACCCTAAGACATCATCATATTCATAAACCATCGCTCACGTAAACTTTCAAGTCCTGAAACTTGACCGAATGCGAAAATTCAAAATTGAATCAATTTTTTTATGGCAAAGTATAGCCAAGACTGTAACCGGTATAAACATCACAGATATTCAAACCATAAAAAATACAAAGAACAAAAATCTAAAGACAGAGCAACACGAACCCCTTTTTAACAAAACTAGAGTTGATCTCATGTACTCAGGGATAAGCAGATTCTGTTCCATATGTGGCAACCGTCGTATATCTTAAATGCTAGTAAATAATTCATAGTTTTTAGGCATTGGATCATTACATTAAAACATGAATATATTATTCTGGACATTTTCACTTTTATTTATTTTATGTATAAATACTCACCAAAAGGGTATCCTTAGTAACAATGTCGAATACTGTATCAATAACAGAAATATGAGAGCATTTAATCTCAAAGATATAATACAATGCTTCTCTCCATAAAAAGGGTACCAAACGCTACAAAATTATTGTTTTAGGAATCAATTCGGCATCTTTTGTTAAAAATAAACCCGCGGATGGAACATGCTGCCCCGAAGAGCAAGTGATCAGCATGTTGGAGTTCCTCTTTGACAACATATTAGTTCAACTTGGGGGTTGAATTTTCCAGCAAGTTGTCGGCATTCCTATGGGATCGAACTTTGCGCCTCTCCTTGTCGTCCTTTTCTTATTTTTTTATTTTCATATGAATTGGAGTTCCTTCTCGCATTTGTAAAGACAAGAAGATAAAAGAAGCTAGATCATTTAATTTCACATACACGTATTTTGATGATGCTCTCTCCATTAACAATCCAAACATTTTGATTGGGTCCCATAAATATATCCTCCTAAACTAGAGTTTAAAATCCACAGACAAAGCTTTCTCTGCAATATTTTTAGATATATACCTCGAATTTGAAACCAACGGTTACATTAGTGGCAGAGTCTGTGAAATTATAAATTGTCCTCACCTTAGCAGGAAATTCTAACTTCTACTGCGTATGGAATATACATATCTCATCTCATATGATATTCAAGAACTTGCAGCTGCTACTCAGACTTTGTAAAACGGTGTCTGATCAAAAACAATAATGAGCCAGGATTTACATTTTGTCAAAGAACGTTTCGTCCTTTTTTTGTTGACCTCTTTCTTAAGTCGCTTGATTAATTCTTCCAGTCGGATGTTATCCGTCTCTATATCCATAAAAATATCATACATAGAATCACAACGCCTTGACTTCCTGGATTCTATATGATCGGTGTCTGATCAAAAACAATAATGAGCCAGGATTTACATTTTGTCAAAGAACGTTTCGTCCTTTTTTTCAAAACGTTTATCGAAAGGTCCCAAGACCTAATAGATAAATATTCTGTGTCAACTTCACAAATAATACAGGATGGTCTTGAGTTTTATATTCCAGGTGCTGACGTTGTGTATCATTTTATTTACTTTGTAGTGCTCCCTTTATTTGTCTTTGTACTATTCTGTTCTTTTTGGTCGTATGACTAATGACGTGGATCGGTATTTGTGTATTCAGCTTTCGGATTTTGGCTTTGGGCGTTCCTGATGCGTGTTGTTCCAGAGGTGCGATTCGGACGCATAAAATATTCATAGTGTTATTTTCATCTGGTTACCCTTGTATTTATATTTTACTTAATTTGAAATTCACCAAGAAAGTGTGTATATGTCATTATGTTTAATTCACTGTACTAACAACTACAAAAACCTTTTTGGTTTTTGGTTCTCTTTGTGAGATTTATTTGTATGTTTGTTTGAAGATTTTTTATGTCATTCGTGTTGTTTATCTTTGACGTATGTCTACAAAATTTTGGCTGATGAGTCCGAATTACTGTCACGTCAACCAACTATGTCTGTTTTGGTTGCTCCCACAATGTATCAATACGATGGAACTATAAACATCCGCCATATTTGTGAGAGGTTTAGCTAACTATAAAACCATGTTGAACCCACCATTTTGTTCGGAAAATACCCATACCAAGTCAAGAATATGACAGTTGTTCTCCAGCTGTTCCGTTGGGAAATATAGTCGTTTGGTTTTGTCAGGTGTTATTGACTTCCCACTTTTTGAATGTACATTGGAGTTCGGTATTTTTGTTAATACATTTTTTGTTAACAGTTTGGTTAGAATGCTTGTAGAATATTCACTTACGAGCTGTATAGAACTTATATTGGAAGAAAAATAAAGCTTATGAAATAGTTTTAGGAGGGATTTTATATAATCCTAAGACAATGTAAATCTCCAGAAGAAAAACAACACAAGACAAAAACTGAGTTAGTTAGAATTAAATGATAAGCATCGAAACAAGTAGGTATATTATATGTCTAAATATGCGTCAGCTTTACGACAGACGTTATCCATCGATAACGTGTGGGTATATAGAGCTAACACAATAATTTAAAAAGTAAAATAACAAAAATACCAAATTCCAAGGAAAATTCAAAACCGAAAGTCCCTTGTTAAATGACAAAATCAAAAGCTCAACACATCAAACGAATGGAAAACAACTGTCATATTCCTTTCTTGGTACAGACATTTCCATATGTAAAAAAATGATGGATTAAACATGGTGAGATTTATTTGTATGTTTGTTTGAAGATTTTTTTTGTCATTCGTGTTGTTTATCTTTGATGTATGTTTACACAATTTTGGCTGCTGGGTCCGAATTACTGTCACGTCAACCAACTATGCCTGTTTGGGTTGCTCCCACAATGTATCAATACGATGGAACTATAAACAACCGCCATATAAGTGAGAGGTTTAGCTAGCTATAAAAAAAAATGATGGATTAAACCTGGTGAGATTTATTTGTATGTTTGTTTGTATGTTTGTTTGAAGATTTTTTATGTCATTCGTGTTGTTTATCTTTGATGTATGTTTACACAATTTTGGCTGCTGGGTCCGAATTACTGTCACGTCAACCAACTATGCCTGTTTGGGTTGCTCCCACAATGTATCAATACGATGGAACTATAAACAACCGCCATATAAGTGAGAGGTTTAGCTAGCTATAAATACATGTTGAACCCACCATTTTGTTCGGAAAATGCCCATACAAAGTCAAGAATATGACAGTTGTTGTCCAGCTGTTCCGTTGGGAAATATAGTCGTTTGGTTTTGTCAGGTGTTATTGACTTCCCACTTTTTGAATGTACATTGGAGTTCGGTATGTTTGTTATTACATTTTTTGTTAACAGTTTGGTTAGAAAGCTTGTAGAATATTCACTTACGAGCTCGATAGAACTTATATTGGAAGAAAAAAAAGCTTATGAAATAGTTTTTGGAGGAATTCTATATAATCCTACAGACAATGTAGATCTCCAGAAGAAAAGCAACACAAGAAAAAGCTGAGTTAGTTAGAATTAAAAGATATGTATCGAAACAAGTAAGCATATTATATATGTCTTAATATGCAACAACTTTACGACAGACGTTATCCATCGATAACGTGTGGGTATATAGAGCTAACACAACAATTTAAAAATTAAAATAACAAAAATACCGAACTCCAAGGAAATTTAAAACCGAAAGTCCCTTATAAAATGACAAAATCAAAAGCTCAACACATCAAACGAATGGAAAACAACTGTCATATTCCTTACTTGGTACAGGCATTTCCTTATGCAGAAAATGGTGCATTAAACCTGGTTTTATAACTAGCTAAACCTATCACTTGTATGACAATAATTTAGATTTCCATTACATTTAGAACAATGTGTGAGCAAGACATAATAGGGAAACATTTCAAAAATTGGGGTACAGGTCAACATTGTGTTATAATCTTAATCATTATAAATACAAATAACTATTTCAACAAAGAAAAACAAAATGGCATATAGGCACTCTATAGACAAAGTACATAATCAAATATTAAAGACAAGAATACAAAAATGACAATAGCACAATAACACAACAACAACGTCAGTACCTAGAATCTATACTTCAAGACCATCATGTATTATTTGTGAAGATGATACGGGAATATTTATCATCAAGGTCTTTGGTATCTTCCGATGAACTTTTTTAGAAAAAGGACGAGACGTTCTTTTACATAACCCTGGTTCATCAACTTTCTGCCCAGACACTGGTGACTTTTTATAAAGTCTGAACAGCAGCTGCAAGCTCTTGAATACCGAATGAGTTGGGAAATGTATATCCCATATGCAGGCGAAGTTGAAATCTTGCTGCTAAGGTGGGGTAATTTATAATTTCAAAATTAAAACCGTCTCGTTTGTCATTGATTCTGGTACTGAGATGACCACTTATGTTAAATTCGAGGTATAAGTCTAAAAATGAGGAGGAGGAAGCCGTGTCTGTTGTTTCTTTAATTTCTAGTCCTTGAGGATATATTAATGGAACCCTATCAGAAAAGTTTGGATTGTTAATGGAAGGAACATCATCAATATATCTGAATGTGAAATTAAATGAGCTTCTTGTTTTTGATAAGTGTCTGAAGGAACTCCGATCATATGAAAATAAGGAGAGGCGCACAGTTCGTTCCCATAGGAATGCCGACAATTTGTTGAAAAAGTCTACCTCCAATTTCAACAAATATGTTGTCAATAAGAAACTCCAGCATACTGATTACTTGTTCCTCTGTGTAGCATGTTTTACTTTTTTGTTCACGATTAACAAAATATGCCGTATGGTATTCCAAAGCAATACATTATACCGTATACATCGTATACATTATATATATACTTCGTCTCAAATGTAGCCCAACAATGTTAGATTTGCAAATGTTACCCTGACATATGAGTCCACGTACAAACAGTCTTTTGACATGAAGAACTATATCTTTCCATTTACTCAAGTAATGAAATTAACTCACAGTACTCATATACTTTAATGAAAACGCCTTTATTGCAACAACCATATCATTTTAAATATTGTATGTATATAATTCACTGTATGTTAAACTAACAGATGTCTTCATTGCTTTCATTGTGTAATTTACCAATTTTCAAAAAATGATAAATAATTCAAAACAACTTTGAAGAAGTTTCTGGAACAGTTGTTTTTGTTCCGGTTTACTATATTTTATATATTTTATGTAGAAAAGGATTTTGAGGTCACTGAATTTGAGACTTCCAATCTACTGCATGTTTTCCGAATTGTATTTTTCTCTAACAGAACACAATTATTGTTTTCTGGTTGATCTCCAACGACATTTGTGCCTACTACAATCTATGTTATGAATTTTTCATTTGTAAAGGTAATAAAACAAAACTAAAGAATGAATATGTAGATTAATTTGATGGGCGTCTGACATTAATTAAATTAATCAAATGCAATTAAATATAAACAATCTTGGTTTAAAACCTTATGGATCATGCCCGTACAACATTCATTCTGTTATAGTTTTAAACAAACTACAGGGTAAACTTTATTTCAGAGTTGTACACCAATATACTAACATGGTGACAGTTAGAAAGCGTTTTACAATTTTACTGTTTTGCCTTATATTTACAATTCATAGGTTTGATGCAAAGTCTTGCAAAGGGCGACCATGTGCTGTACGGATGCCGTTAATGGACGATATGAAGGCTCCACTTGTAGCAGAACTTGACGTCTCCGAAGTTAATAGAGAACTGAAACAGTTCATAGAAATAAGTATTAATTCAACTTTCAATGAGAATATTGAAGAAATGATTGTTAACAACTTAGGGGTGCTCAAGTCTTTGATGTTAAAGGAATATTCAGACGAAAAAAATAGGACGAAACACATGTATGATACAAAAATTGTTAATATGATTGATAGTTTTAAAGCAAGACAGGACTATTTAGAAACGGAATTAAAGGAGTATTCCTCTAATTTATCTATTTCTGGGGAACACTTTGAGCAAAAATTGATAGATTTGGTACGTGATGTTGAGGGAAAATTCGATGCAATGTTTCTTAATATGACCAGCCATTACAAGCTAAAAATCAGTATACTTTCCGAAAGTTTGAAGAAGGAGTTAATCGATTTTCAGGAGAATACAGATGAATGGAAAAATAACATTACTCAAACATTATTAGGTAAGCCGATGTTACTAACTTGAATAATATTCATATGCGAATAAAAGGAGACGTGTAATTTACGTCAAAGATACAGCAATCAAACGACACACAAGAAAAAGATATTTTGACGGTAACATATGGTCTTAAGGAATAATCAAATGTCTCTAAAATTTTCAAAGCTCGTCCTGCCTGTCTTAAATTGTGAACGAATTTAACAGATACAATAACAAAAATAGGACGCCAACAGTTTAAATTCAATACTGATAAATCTCGGGTAATCACATTCTACATTCAATTCGATTTCAGCAACTGTTTTGAGAAAGATTTCTAAAGCACGAAATCCTTCTGTCCACTTTAAAATCTTTTTATATAAACTTATGTAAAAATGTCAAATTTCTTTGCAGATATTTTTTTTACACAATTGCACTTTTGTATGAAAATATGGATGTTGTGTGTTATTAAAAGTTGCTGTTGCAAAAGTTTGGAAATTATTTTGCATTAAGGAATGTATTTCCCTCATGCAAAGCTATTGTCGCACTTAACGCTCTTCATCTTTTTGTAAGCTTTGGATTATCAAATATTTTGACCTCGAGCATCACTTGAAATTGATACTCGAAATGAGCATCTGGTGCAGAAAAAATGGTACCGTTTATGTTATTTATTTTGTAAACATTGTAATCCGTACACAACACACATTGAAAGCTCTACAATGTCATGTTCACTCACAGGTGCACAAACCATTATGTCACCTTTTGAATGAAATAAAACATTTAAAGAATAAAGAAAAACGGGTAAGCAAAGTCATAGACGTGTACAAAAGATCTCCTGTTTGTTCCATACAAAGTCTACAATAATTATTATAAGATTTATGATATCATAACACAAGCTTATCTAGATATTTTCCTATATACGCGGATTTAAACGATGTTTCAAAAACTATTTTCTTACGCTTTGCTATTCCTATATTTTCTGATATGTATTCCTAAGAAAATCTTTCAACGTTGTCTAAGGGCGTCATTTTCTAACTCGAGTATTTCTAAACTTTATGTTCATGTAAAATTTTGATTTTAGAACACGTAATCATTGAAGTGGCTAATGGCAAAAACACAGAACAAAGTTCAGAATATCCACTCTCTTCGTTTCCTGCACGTAATGCAGTTGATGGTAGTCTTTCATCATTCTCACATACTTCATCACAAACTAATCCATACTGGTTTGTTGACCTTGGAACAGTGTATGCAGTGAAAAGAATAGAAGTCTTCGCTCGTATAGACTGTTGTGGTAAGTTCAAAGAAAAACTGTAATACACAAAATATCATAATAGCTTCTATCTATACTATTTAAAAATATGTTTCTACACCTGTTGTGTGATGTGTTTAGAACTATGTATTTTTTTCATTTTGTCATTTGCGTTGACGATCAAGATGATTTTAAAGTCTCAAAATTTGGATATTTCTCATATATATGTATCCATATATTTCCTTTTCTTTATATATGACCCTGTTGTCATTGTAAGCGTTCCTCACAACTTTGTCCAGGCTGTCCATAGCAAAGCATCGGGTTAAATATGACAAAATTTCGCTTTTATTATTCTAAGGGGATTTACTTTAAATCCCTTAATTTAGTCCCCGCCAACAATCTACATTGCAGATATTTCTATAGAAAAAACATAGGCATAAAACAAGCTAAATATCTTCATTCAGATAATCAGGACAGATAATCTGTGAGTTGCATTTCTAACGACATATTTTGCATTTAATTTCGGACATGTGAAAAAACATGAAATTTAATGTTAGATAAAATATCAATATTTTATGCATACTTATATTATAATTAGTAACTACAGATAACATTTGAGTTTCGGTATTGCTTTACAAATTTAATATATAACTACCGTCCTTACAATAAGAAAAATGAAAAAAAAATGTCTTGTGGATTAACATTTTACACAGTGTCCCATTCAATCAGAATTTGGAATCGGGAGAGAATGTTCATAAAAAATAAACAAAATGCAAGACATGGACAATTACGTATGTAGTACTGTAAACCAACTTATTTTCGCGAGTTGAAAACTAACGCAAAATTAAATCGTCGCTCCGATGTAAAACTTAGATATTTCCTTATAAAAATACATTTAAAAAATACAAAATCACGAAACTTAATCGTCGTGATGTAGGGTAAAAAGGCTAAATAAACTCATCAGTGATACCAGGATTAAAATTTTGTACGCCAGAAATAAAGTATCCGCGAAAATAAATTGGTTTACAGTATATTTGTTAACATGAAATACTTGTGGAACTCATATGAGATATCACGGATCAATTTAACTTTCGTTGGAATAACCGATGTTGTTACAAAGCAAAGCAAATCCACTTACAAGTCGGCTTCTCCGAAGAAACTTCACGTTCCCAATTAAAGAAGTGAAAACTAGAAAGAGGACTTTTCCTGTAAAGTTTGAAAACCGGACGTTGCAAACTTAATTGACAATAATATTGTATCAATATAAAATTAAAGAGAACCACATAAATTCTTTTATTTACCACATCAGTTGCGTTTAAAACTTTAGCTTTACATGAAGAGAATTCATTTCCGTTTAAGTAAATTTAATTTGTCAACATTTCGTTAATATTATTTTCATTTTCATACAAAATAGTGTCTTGAAATTACTCTTGTCAGGCGATCGTTTAATTGTACTTTTTTGACTCATCCGCACCTATACAGATTTGTATGTTTTTATAGATACTTATGTCAATCATTTTCTGTTTATTTCTTTTTACAAGGATACTACATTCATGATATGGATATCACAGTTGGGTCAACGACTAACAATATGAAATTGTGCACACATTATAAAGGTCCTGCTAGTACCAAGGAACGAATTGTGTTAACCTGCAATAAAACAGTAGATGGTCGATTTGTCAAACTATCAATATTTGGAGAAAAATCTATAATGGCACTTGCAGAAGTGAAAGTATTTGCTTTTGTTTGAATTTTTTATAAACGTGTAAAGATAAACTGCATCCGAATGAACAATTTCAAACTGTCTACATCAATGTCATAATATATTTATATAGCTGTATTGTAGAAATTGTAAATTAGTGGTGCATTTTTATTCCTTGTAGTTCTTTTATAGTGGTTGAAAATTCCTTTTTTGTGGAAACTGATTCACCAAAGTTGTTATCCAACGTTTAAACTTGATATGTAAATATGTATGACATACATGTCTGCCTACAAAAATAAATTTAATAATCTGTAAAAGAAAACTAGTTGATTAGAATCTCATTGAGAATCTGAAGTTTATAATTACACATCATAAGTACAAGCAAAACTTAAACTTGCAGTGAGGTGAGAGTTTTTTTTTTTTGTCCCGTGTTGAAGGCATCATTGTGACTTTGAGATGTAGAACAGCAATAAAAGCTCTGTTTATTACTGTGCATGTACTGATTTTGTGTCATGGATAGATACCCCATATCCTTTGATTTTTCTGATAAAAAAAACACAAAAAAACGATCATATGAAAAATAACAGTATTCAAAACACAACATAGAAAACTAAATACTGAGAAACACGAACCACACGAAAAAACAGGGGGGATCTAAGGTGCACCGGAAGGGAAAGCAGATCTTGCTCCACAAGTGACACCCGTCCTCTAAAATATGTTGATAAGTTATATAAAGAGATTAGGCATCACTCAATGGCGGATTGTTAATTGCCTCTAATCTTACCCTAAGACATCATCAAATTCATAACCCATCCTTCACGTAAACTTTCAAGTCCTGAAACTTGACCGAATGTGAAAATTCAAATTTGAAACAATTTTTTTATGGCAAAGTATAGCCAAGACTGTAACCGGTATAAACATGACAGATATTCAAACCATAAAAAATACAAACAACTAAAATCTAAAGACAGAGCAATACGAAACGCTTTTTAACAAAACTTGGGGTGATCTCAGGTACTCCGGAGGGATAAGCAGACCATGTTTCACATGTGGCAACCGTCGTATATATTATAAATGCTAGTAAATAATTCATAGTTTTTAGGCATTGGATCATTACATTAAAACATGAATATATCATTGTGGACATTCTCACTTTTATGTATTGTATGTATAAATACTCAACAATACTAGAACCAAAAAGTTCATCGGAAGGTCCCAAGACCTAATAGATACATATTCAGTGTCAGCTTCACAAATGATACAGGATGGTCTTGAGTTATATATTCTAGGTGCTGACGTTGTGTATTATTTTATTTACTTTGTAGTGCTCCCTTTATTTGTCTTTGTACTATTCTGTTACTTTTGGTCGTATGGCTAATGACGTGGCTCGGTATTTGTGTATCCAGCTTTCGGGTTTTGGCGTTCCTAATGCTTGTTGTTCCAGAGGTGCGATTCGGACGAATTAACTATTCATAGTGTTATTTTCATCTTTTACCTTGTATTTATATTTTACTTAATTTGCAATTCACCAAGAAAGTGTGTATATGTCATTATGTTTAACTCACTGTACTATCAACTCCCAAAACGTTTTTGGTTCTCTTTGTGAGCTTTATTTGTATGTTTGTTGGAAGTTTTTTTTATGTCATTCGTGTTGTTTATCTTTGATGTATGTTTACAAAATTTTGGCTGCTGGGTCCGAATTACTGTCACGTCAACCAACTATGTCTGTTTGGGTTGCTCCCACAATATATCAATATGATGGAACTATAAACAACCGCCATACAAGTGAGAGGTTTAGCTAGCTATAAAACTAGGTTGTATCCACCATTTTGTTCGGAAAATGCCCATACAAAGTCAAGAATATGACAGTTGTTCACCAGCTGTTCCGTTGGGAAATATGGTTTTGTCAGGTGTTATTGACTTCCCACTTTTTGAATGTACATTGGAGTTCGGTATTTTTGGTTAATACATTTTTTGTTAACAGTTTGTTTAGAAAGCTTGTAGAATATTCACTTACGAACTGGATTGAACTTATATTGGGAGAAGAATAAAGCTTATGAAATAGTTTTAGGAGGGATTCTATATAATCATATAGACAATGTAGATCTGAAGAAAGACAGAAGAAAAACAACACAAGAAAAAAACTGAGTTAGTTAGAAATAAAAGATATGTATCGAAACAGTAGGTATATTATATGTCTAAATATGCGACAACTTTACGACAGACGTTATCCATCGATAACGTGTGGTTATATAGAGCTAACACAACAATTAAAAAGTAAAATAACAAAAATACCAAACTCCAAGGAAAATTCAAAACCGAAAGTCTCTTATCAAATGACAAAATCAAAAGCTCAACACATCAAACGAATGCAAAACAACTGTCATATTCCTTACTTGGTACAGGCGTTTTCTTATGTAGAAAATGGTGAATTAAACCTGATTTTTTTAGCTAGCTAAACATCTCACTTGTATGACAGTCATATGGAATATAGAATTCCATTATATTGACAACAATGTGTGAGCAAGACATAATAGGTAAAAATGTCAAAAATTGGGGTACAGCAGTCAACATTGTGTTATAATCTTAATCACTATAAATACAAATAACTATTTCAACAAAGAAAAACAAAATGGCATATCGACACTCTATAGACAAAGTACATAAGCAAAAATGAAAGACAAGAATACAAAATGACCATAGCTCAATAACACAATGGCGGGATGTATAAATACCTAGCTACGCCAAAAGTATATATACCAAAAATGGACTAAACAGTAAAGGTTAAAAATATACCAAGAAAAATAAAACACTATAACACGTAATTAAGATGATAAACAACGTCAGTACCTAAAATCCATACTTCAAGACCATCATGTATTATTTGTGAAGATGATAACGAATATTTATCAACAAGGCCTTGGTATCTTCCAATGAACTTTTTTTTAGAAAAATGGACGAGACGTTCTTTGACATAACACTGGTTCATCAACTTTCTGCTCAGACACTGGTGACTTTTTATAAAGTTTGAGTAGCAGCTACAAGCTTTTGAATACCGAATGAGTTGGGAAATGTATATCCCATATGCAGGCGAAGTTGGAATATTGTTGCTAAGGTGGGGTAATTTATAATTTCAAAATTAAAACCGTCTCGTTTGTCAAAGATTCTGGTACTGAGATGACCACTTATGTTAAATTCGAGGTATAAGTCTAAAAATTAGGCGGAGGAAGCCGTGTCTGTTTTTTTTTTTTAATTTCTAGTCCTGGAGGATATATTAATGGAACCGAATCAGAAAAGTTTGGATTGTAAATGTAAAGAACATCATCAATATATCTGAATGTTCTGGCTTGTTTGATCTTCTTGTTTTTGATAAGTGTCTGAAGGAACTCCGATCATATGAAAATAAGAAGAGGTCGGCAAGGAGAGGCGCACACTTTGTACCCATAGGAATGCATACAATTTGCTGAAAAAGTCTACCTCCAATTTCAACAAATATGTTGTCAATAAGAAACTCCGGCATACTGATCACTTGTTCTTCTGTGTAGCATGTTTTATTTTTTTGTTCACTATTAACAAAATATGCCGTATGGTATCCCACAACAATAAATTATAGCGTATACATCGTATACATTATAAATACTTCGTCTCAAATGTAGTCCAACAATGTTAGATTTGCAAATGTTACCCTGACATATGAGTGCACGTACAAACAGTCTGCTGACTTGAGGAACTATATCTTTCCATTTACTCAAGTTATGAAATTAACTCACAGTATCTAACGAATAAAATGACAACATCCAACGGTAAGTTTTTGCAGTCACATTTTAATATGAATCCCAGAATTGCTGGAATGAGAGTTAATGGAACATCTTGGTGACTCTCCACGAGAAAATTCACTACAAGTTGATAGACTTGGACCACGAAAATAGGGTTGTCTTAGATGGCCGTTCAGTAGCCCTTCTTTTTCCTGGTCTTCAACACTCTCTAAAAATATAATCATTATGTGAAATTTTGAATTATGATGTAAGAGATAAAATTATTTATAAAAGAGTCTTTGAAAACAGCAATTGAGAAAAATAATAGGCATAGTTTTGCAATCAGGAAAAAATTATTCAAATCTTATTTTTTTGCAGCGCAACCTATAAAAAAATATACTAGAAACAGATAGAATTATGACGTAAAGCAAACGCACAACAAATTGTCTCCGTCAGGGCCGGTCTTTTTGTTCCTAGAAAATAGTCTCCTGAGTACATGAGGGTAGAAAACCCTCCGTTTTACAAATGATTTCAACATTTTATGAACAATAAATTTTACAGAAACTGAGCGCATCAAAGATTGTTCGTGTCAGTACAGGAGTGCAAATACCAGTTGCATCTTATCAAAGAGAAAAAGATAAAGAATAATCAATATAGAAGTATTCGTATATCTTTCCTTCGATAAGTTGACGTTACACTTTAAACTGTAAATTAAACATGTCATATGCAAAATGCAGAAATATGTCAAAACTTATCTTAAACGGTTCAGTTTTTGTTCTAGTAACATGACAAGGTCTAATGTCCAATCCGTTGTTCTAGTAATGACTGAAATATTTACTTCATTTCAATTTTGTGTCAAATTTTGATTAAGGTTGAATCAATGTTTTATATAAAACCGCATCCAATCAAACATTGTTTTTCAGTGGTATTTTTGAATAATAATATATAAACTAAATGTTTATAGTTAGGGATCACTACATTACTTACCCTTCATTTGCCGGGGTTCTCATGTCACTGAATGTATTTTTGGCCAAATATTTATTACAAATTTAAGAGCACAAAATAAAAAAAGAAGCTGGAGACAATATTCATACACTTATCATTTATGTTATCTCATGTTTACAGTTTTTAAACCTTAATATTCATGTCAAAAATATTTGAAAAGTCACTGTAGTTAATAAATCAAAAACTTTCCACAGGAAATCGTGTTCTCGTATTGTAAAAAAACTTATGATAGTCTTGAAAAATCAAGAATCTATAATTAACAATTTTAATCAATTTGTGTTGAAAAAAAAATGAAAACAACACGTTAAATAATTTCATGCGTCCGAAACGCTTTTCTGGATTTACCTTCATCAGGAACGTTCTAATTTTGATCTGACGTCACTGATGAGTCTTTTGTAGACGAAACGCGCGTCTGACGTATCAAATTATAAGCCTGGTACCTTTGATAACTATCAAAACCGAATATTTGAAAGCCGAATATGTGTAAGAACCGAAACAGTTGAAGGGCTATATAACAAAAAAAATACCTAAAAAGCTCATGAAAATTCTATTAATAGGTTTAGACAACTATCATTTTTTGTATTAATGAACACGTACCATCTATATACACGTCATCATCTCCTGTATCATCAATGATAGTATGTGGAGTGTGAGACGGACTTTCATCTCCAACACCAGCTACTGTTTTACGTAAATCCTGTATCGCTTTTAGAGAAGATGAAACACTTGGTAGTCTGATGTCAACTCGTGATCCTTTTCTTAATGCTACCTACAGAATTGTAGAACAACTTTTGATACTCTTTTCTAAACAATGGCTTAAATTTATCTCGATATTTTAATATTGACAGAGCTTTTGTTTAAGGAATATTTCAGTAATGTTTTGTTTTAGATTTGTTTCAAGTATTGACATTAAAATAAATATCTAATGAAATTCGATACAAAAAATGTGTCAAGTAAACAACGTTCAGTGTATCCTTTACTCTTTTGTTCCACTGCTGATGAACTTTTATTCCAAGCATAAAACACAACTGACAAGACCAGTTTTACGCTTGCAATATCTATGTCTTTGTTCCAAATAACATATCTTTTCAAATCTAAATACAAAAACATGTAACGCATGCTACGATTATATTTTCATTTGTTTCGAGGGAACCAAACTTGCCTTTTGTTGTAATTTCAATAATTAAGACATTTTAAGAAATAAACGCAAACACAAAGCATTTGTATAACCTTCGAAAAATTTTCAAAATCGTGTAAGTATAGCTAAAAGCCACTGTTACCTTTTCATTTAAAGCATACAGTTTGTTGGTGATATCTCGACCTAATATAATGTTGAATACGTTAGCAAGGTAAGATTCCTTTATCAACAAATATTCCAAACTGTGTCTTGACCAAAATATATATCGACACATAGATCCGGCAAAGATTGATACCTACAAAGCGAAACATTGCATTCAATCATATAATCTTACTGTGCAAGGTTTCCAATATATATATATATATATATATAAAAGGATATTGTTGATGTTGAATTTCTGTGGTCATATTTTTATGAAATGTTATTCTGTGTGAAGTGTAAAAATATAACAAAATACAAATTGACTGGGAAAAACGCTAGACGGCTAATATATGTCCTACGAATATGTATGTGTATCTGCGGACTATTATAGGTTACCTACTGTGCGAGACATGTCTGTATGGAACGACTATGAAATAGATGACTACAGACCTATTCCGCGCCATTGGAGATTTATCTAACACGACGGGTGCCAAACGTGGGGCAGAATTGGTTTACCCTTCTGGAGCAACTGAGATTATCCCGGTTTTGTGCGGGTTCGTGTTGCTTAGTCTTTAGTTTCTATGTTGTGTTTTGTGTGCTGTTGTTTGTCTTTTTTCTTTTTTTGTCATGATGTTGTCAGTTTATTTTCGACTTATGAGTTTGAATGTCCGTTTGGTATCTTTTGCCTCTCTTGTTTAACTGTCAGACTATTTGCTGTGTTTACCATTTTATCTTTACTTTTGGTCATGGTGTTTCTGACATTCTTTCCCTTATCGTTTTTTATTATTTCGTTGGTATTATTTTGTTTGACTAAACCTAAACCTTGTCTCAAAACTATTGAAACCTACTATCGATTATCAACAAAGTGTAACATACACAACTGTAACTTTTATCCTCGTTTGGATAACTTGGAATTTATCATATTGTTAACCATATCTTTCTTTTAGTTAATAGTATTATTAAATGACTTGATTATTACCTGGTATTTCTCGTCGCCACCAACACCAGATTCAAATTCAGGTGAGTCAATAAATTCCTTTTCGTGTATTTGGTGAAGGAGGTTGTTATGACTGTAAACATTCATTCTGTAAACAAAAAAATGAAACATGACACTGTGACTTGTTATGAATAAAAATGGACGTGGAGTAGACTTAAATGCTATGAACCTTTAGTCAGTAGCAACAAGCTTTGTTACGGTAGCAAGAAAACTGGGATGTCTTCAGGAAGGCAGTGTACCTTCGGTCAGTAAAAGACAAACATACAAAATCATGGAAACTACAACATTAACTGGTAAATTACCAACCTTTTAACATTAACAAACAAACTTTATTTTATAACTAAAGCAACAGCAGTGCCTACAGGTAAATGACCAACCTCTGGTAAGTAATAGATAAACTCTCATATAATAATTAAAACCGAAGTGCGTACGGATAAATAGCTTTTATATATTTATATATTTATATATTTAAGTATACTAAAGTGCTTAGTAGTACATGTAGTAATAAAAAAAAACACCGACACAAAATTTAATTTGACAAAGCCTTTTGCTGAAATAATATATATAATATTTTAAGAACACCAAATACTGAAAGTTTGAAGTCCAGGTATGCTTGAATCATTTTTTAAAGTTTAAAATACCTCAAATGAAGGCTTGACATAACACTAATGTAAAATTTTAAGTCATCTCTAATTCAAAGTGAATATGCAATGTAAAGTTTAATTCTTGTAGTAGATTTATCAAATTAATGCGGACTAAGACATTTCACTTCTTTAATGACAACTTACTTTCCAGACATCAAAAGACCAAGTCTGTCCGTCTTACTAATCCCTTGTGTAGCATAAGCCTCACCTTCATGGAGCGATGTCAGAGTACAATAATCCGTAGAAACCAGTTTCTTGAACAAATGTCTGAAACATGAGTTAATTGATTATTAGTCATTCAATGCCTAGTGGCAGATATTACATTCATATTATTCGCAAAAACAAGTTAACAATAGTTCAGTTAGTATCATCTGAAAAAGTATTCGACCTTGAAATTGTTTGACTCCACTTGAGAACAAGGGTGTATTTGTAGAAGTTAGAACTTCAATATTACCACAGATAACTTAAGGTCCTCATCGACAATTCGTTCTCCATGTTCTTCATCGCACTGAGAGCTTAGTATAGGCACACACAGAATGTGGTGGAATAAAAACTGTAAAAATCAATTGCAAAGGGCTTGACTCATCAGTTCGGTACTAAATACAAAAAAAAAAAAAAAAATAAAAACTACACACAAAACAATCAAGGACAACCGATCTAAGAGTACTCGCAGTTACTATAAGCTAATTTAAGGCCTAATTTCAACTAATGAATAATAAACTACGTTCGCCCAGACTAACATGTTAATCTGGGTTTTACGTTAGTAAACCATTAATACATGGTACACCGATTATAAGATTTTTGTATTGGCTAATATCCAATTGAGGCCTCACTAAATGTTTAACAAATAAAAAAATGAAATATTAAGTGTATACTGTGTATTCCGTAGGGGATGATAGTCCCAAAATGAAAATATACCTATCTTGGCGTATGCCTAGTTATCTCAAAGGTGTAACTTTTATGAGTGTTAATACTCGGGAACCGTTCCTGGATTGTCGGGCTTTCTCTTTTAGGGGTTAAGGTGTAAGTGCGATCACCCTTATGACCACAATGGTAGCTCTTCATATACTGTCGAATAGATATCTTGCAAATATACCTAAGGACAACCTGATATACGATTCACCAGATTGTATAATTCGAAACAATAGTTTTATAAGCTAACTGGAAGTCAAACATTATGACGTAGGTGATTTTTCAAGGTCTTAGTTATTAAGGTCAGGACAAACATTGATATCGGAACAGAGCAGGAATATACAGGTGAAGGGGAGACCGATAAAAATAACTTTCATTTCAAAACAAAAATTCAGAGTATTGTTCCAATATTCTACTTTAACGCGATCCCGATCATATGATGAGCAACCCACCATATGCTTTATGTGCCTGTCCCAAGTCCGGAGCCTGTAGTTAAGTGGTTTTCGTTAGTTCATGTCTTTCATATTTTCTTTTCGTAAATTGTTTGTTCTAAATTAGGCCGTTACTTTTCTCATTTGAATTGTTTCATATTTTTCATGACGGGGCCTTTTAAAGCCGATTATACGGTATGGGTTTTTCTCATTGTTGAAGGCCGTACGGTTGCCTATAATTACTAACATCCACTTCATTTGAACTTTGGTGGATAGTTGTCTCATTGGCAATCATACCACATCTCCTTATTTTTATATCATATCACTTTCGAACAATTTATATGTTTTTCAAACATTTATCGCAAAGAAGATTAAATCGGACATCGTCTTCTATTTTATACAGATCAACAGTTTATTCTATACATACCTTGGTATTTTCATGGGTTGAAAGAGAGCCACATAAACTTGTTCTAATTCATCACAAAACTTCACTGGTCTGATGTGGTACATCAGGAATAATGTCTGAATTGCATTTAGGACCATAAAAGAAAAATTCCAGGAAAAGAAATCAGGAGCACAAAGTACAACCCATGACCATACCGATAACAGTAAAAATCCTGTAAAAGATATATGAATTGAATACACAGTATGAACATGTAAAAACACTTCTGATATTTTCTCTGCATACAATAATAATTTCAGGGTTGGATTTGGACATTTTGCCATAAACTTTAAAAAAAAACTGTAACAGAGTAATAAATCCTTGAAGAAAATTTCATCAAATGTGTATTTCTTGCTTTGCTATTGCATAACATTAATTGACGATATACTGTAAAAGAGAGGCGAAAGATACCAATGGGACATTCAAACTCGTAAGTCGAAAATAAACCGACAACGCCATGGCAAAAAAGAATAAAAAAATAAAATACAAACAACAGTACACAAAACACATACTATAAGCATACTATTAAAATGAATGTAATGAATTTTTTAAATTTAAAAAGGAACTGTTAGCGAGTAATATTTTGGTAGTCGAATTAAAGAAGATAACGATGGGGATATTACCCAAAACAAAGAATCCATGCATGAAGAGTATTCCTTTCTTTCCATCTGGGGCAAACAGAGCTATTAATAGAACACAGTTTGCTAGCTGAAAAAGAAAATGATTGGGTGATGTCCAGGTGGAACAGCCAATCACAGGGTTTGTCCAATTTCTGAAGATGACGGTTCTGTTTTCAATATGTGATATATTGTCCCATGCCATTGTTGTATGATTTTCTCCTGTCCCCATGCTGAACATCCTGGGTTCTATTCTGAAATAGATTTGTAAAATAATAAACAAATAACTTCGTGTGCTTGATGTCTACGTTTTGTTCTTGTCCAGTTTTTGCAAAATAACTTTAAAGAGATGTGAAACAAAATGTAAAAGGCACACATTTTGCTAATTGGTTGTCCTTAAAAGTTAGTAAAATGTTCATTTTTATGATAAGGATATTTCATACACAGTTAAGCCATTTCAATTGATATTTCATAGTGTGTCTTTCTATGTTGTGATGTTACACTATTGTTTCAGATAAGGGTGAAGGTTGGTACCTATTAAAACGTTTAAACCCGCTGCATTTGTTTGCAGCTGTCCTAAGATAGGAATCTGATGTTCAGTAGTTGTTGTTTGTTGATGTGGTTCATAAGTGTTTCTCGCTTCTCGTTTTTTATGTAGATTAGACTGTTGGTTTTCCCGTTTGAATGGTTTTACACTAGTCATTTTTGGGGCCTTTTATAGCTTGATGTTCGGTGTGAGCCAAGGCTACGTGTTGAAGACCGTACTTTGACCAATAATGGTTTACTTTTACAAATTGTGACTTGGATGGAGAGTTGTCTCATTGGCACTCATACCACATCTTCTTATATCTACATCTAAGAACACCATTAGCAGTAGACTACGTCGATATAAAGGGCGAGATTGACTTCAGAATTATGGAGTGTGGTGAGGATCATTTATCCAAGATTATGTTTTTTTTGTAAACTTTCGAGTTTTCTTATTTAAATTAAATAATACTTTTAAAAAATCTAATTGCGTTTTTATTTGATGCAACTCATATTAAGCTTTCTTCTGTAATGAAATACAGATAAATATCCAAGATATACTTAGCGAAACTTTGATGAGATGACTTAAGTAGTAAATTTTTCAGCTTGACTAAAACTATTTATGTTCAGGCAATATAGTTTATCGACAGGTTCTGTGTTTTCCTATGGGCAACAATTATGCCATTTTAATAGCAGACTTGTTTTTGTATTGTCATGAATCACAGTTTCTGGTCAAACTCAATAAAGATCCGTTTTTATTCCATTTAATTGATGAATTTAATAACACTTAGATTTACCTTGATGGTATTTGTAGCTTAAAGTAATCAAGAATTCTCTAAATATACAGCGGAATTCACCCACAGGAACTGACTTTAAACAAAACTAATACTAAATACAAAAAAACGTCCTTTTCTAGATATAAGTATTTCAGTTCCACACGGGAAACTCCATACAAAAAGTGACAAAAGAGTCGATTTTCGTTTCATCATGCTAATTTTTCTTGCTTGCACAGTGATGTTCCGTGGCTCATTCTAACGGTGTATAATATGCTCTTGTCTGTAGTTACGTTTTAGATTTTATCGAACGTAATATTTGTATAACACGTTAAGTATAAAGTTAAGGATTTCGTTACCACAAATGAATGAATATAAAAATAAGGAGATGATGTATGATTGCCAATGAGACAACCAACCACCAGAGACCTAATGACGCAAATGTAAGCAACTTTGTGTCAACGTATGGCCTTCAACGAGGTGCAAAACCTATACCGTATATTAAGCTATGAAAGGCCACGAAATGACAAAATGTAAAACAATAATTCAAAACCAAACGGACGGATTTATGTACAAAACAATATAACGAAAAACAAATATGATTGACAGCTACCAACAACAAACACAGAACTACAAGCTCCTGACTTGGGAAAGGAACATACAGAATATTGCAGATTTAAACATGTAATACCCCCCATCACACTAGGACCACGATCCCGCTACGACCTCAGAAATTATAAAAAAAATTTGGAAGTCGTAGTAAGATTGTGGTGCTCGTGGTAAGGACGTGCCAAGGTCTTCATGATCGTGGAGGTCCACGACCAACTTTGAACACGCTCAAAACATTCGTAGTGCAGTTGTGGTCAAAACTAGTCGTAGTAGAAGCGTAGGAAGGTCGTAGTAAGGACGTAGTAAGATCGGAATGGGCGTAGAAGCATCGTATTGAAAATCGTGGTGCAATCGGGAAGCCAACGGATTCGACCTTACTACGATTTCACTGCGACTATCTCGATTTCACTACGTCTTTATTACGCTTCTACTACGATATTGATACGAGTATACTACGATGAAGAAGACAATAGTACGCTGCTACAAGGCGCTTGCCGTCCTTAGTACGACCTTACTACGATACTACTACGTCCCAAACACGATAATTGCATGACCTCTGTTGATATAAAAAACAGATGCAATAAATTCTACCTGTAGTTCAACCATTGACACACATGAGCAAAACCTACTTCTGCAATCTTTAATTCAGCTGCACTGTATCGATTTGGCTGATCGGGCTACACATTTTTTGTTATAAGAAGAAGGAGAAGACATACTAGACAACGTAGGTCCTGTTGGGTGCGCCCTTGGCTTTCTGTTAAAAGAAGACTCCAATTTGGGCATTACGACTGACTTATGAAAGAATTAAGGATGGCGGATCAACAGTCATTCTTTATTTTTTCAAGGATGCCTCCAGAAATGTTTTATGAATTTTTGAACAGAGTAAGAACATAGACACCTGATTCAGAAAGGCACTAGATCCCGGTCTGAAAGTTGCTATTACCTTAAGGTACTTAGCTCCTGAGGTTTGCCAGGCAAGTGTACAGGAATATAAAGATGAAGTAATATCATATCCAACAGAACCAAATGAATGGCGAGCTATTGCCAAAGAATTTCAGAGAAGATGGAACGTGCCACACGCTTTTGGCGCACTCGATGGAAAGCATGTTGCTATTAGAAGCCGGGCCAAAAAGCGGATCATTGTTTCATAACTGTAAAGTTTTTTTTTTCATTAGTGCTCCTTGCCTTGGTGGATGCAGACTACACATTTTTATGGATAGATGTAGGTGGATATGGATTCATGTCGGACGCCCAGATTTACAACGCGTCAGAATTAAATGATTGTTTGTAAGATACGACTATTGGATTTCCAGAGTCAGATCCCTTACCTAATGAAGACCCAAACATGACATACTTCATCTTGGGTGACGACGCATTTGGGTTGAGAACTTATTTGATGAAGCCATATTCTAGAGCGCAGTGACAACAGAGTGGAAACGTAGTGAAGTCGTGGTTTGGTCGTAGTAGACTCGTATTGAGATCGCAATGCGATCGGGAAGGTCTTGGTAGAAACGTACAGATGTCATGTAAGTTGTGGTAAGGTCTTATTAGACGTAGCAAGAGCGTGACAAGATCGTAACTACAACGTGTTACTATCGTAGCGGAATCGTAGCAGGATCATAGCAAGGTCGTGGAATGAACTTGAAAACTATGAAATATTGATTATTCAAGCCGACCAAACTACGATCATACAGCGATCTTTTTTTTTATAGATCGTAGTGGGATCTTCATGGTCTTGGTCTAGTGTGACGGGGGCTTTAGCGAGCGCTCAACCTAACAAATAAACTTAACACTGTAGTATGATGATGATAATGGATTGGTGTTTAACGTCCAGTGACAATCATTACATGCATATAATAACAAGAACATGTTAATATGATATGAATGTAAACCCTGAATTGTAATGGATTGATACGCTTAGAAGGTTTTCAACGTGCTTGTTCATAATGTAACTGTCCTTAGTAAACATGTCACCTTATCCTGACACGTTATTCTGAATCCAGGCCGACCAACCTTTGATCTTACTCATTAATGCCGCGTGCTGAGAGGAGGAACAGCAAATGCTTATTATCATGCCATCATTTTCACTTGGCCAGTGATCAAACCAACGACATCTCTTACTCAAGGCGAGTTAATACCACGAGACCACCTAGGTGGTTGACACTGTAGTAGGATCTTTGACTCTTTTTCTTTATCAGTACTGATTTTGTTTTAGATTTTGTTTATAAATTAGAATGTAACAAAATAATTATTGTTATACAGTCATGAACACTTATGACCCTATATCCTGTACTTATATCCAAAAAAAATCTCAAAATTTCGCAGAGTCAAAAATATGTTCATTCATAACAGGTCATATATAACGTTCTGTTAACAATTATGTTTAATCCTTTTTTTAGTATTGTGTTTATGAGTGAATATTTGTCTATCAACGCATGCAATGATTTATATGCAAACGTATAGCATTGTAATAGTATCGAATCGCGTAAAATCGATGGAAACCTCAATATAGCTTTCAACTCGTTGTTTTTGATAATTATCTGACAATTTATGAATTGCAGAAAACATTTCAGAAGCTCAATAATTCGTTTTATATTAAATATAACGTAGCACATACCTTTATCAATGGGTATTTACTCCATCAGCAACCTGTCGTCTGGTGTGTCTGAAAATGTCCGCAAGTCTGTAGGTAAGGAAAGACAACCATACTTTTTGATTGATAATAATATGCGACAGCTAAAAATATATTGGAACAAAACAAATATATTAAATATTACTAGTTTTATCATACGTGAAATAAACAGATTTGTCTGTTAATGTCGTTAATGCATTCAATACCAGCAGTGGCGTCTTTTATAGCTTTATTTTTTTTCCTGGAGACCTATATATAAAAAAATATTGCTTTGTTTTGATTTTATCATAAGTCTGTTTGAAGTTTATTTGTTTTTTTCATGTTTAGATTGAGTTAAAATTCAAGTTACCATATAGCTCTCAAGAAAATCCTAACCTATACTACGCATTTATGTTCATTAAATTCATTGACAACATGTTGAGGGCGAATTAGAATCAAAATTTTACCTTTGGAGGTTGTATGGGGCCTCTTGATGCAACAAGATATGTCTCTCCTTGTCTAAAGTTGTGTGATTAGCCATTGTGTTAAACATCCTTTACCATTCTTGACTTTGAAACAAAGACTTACGGAAACTTAATGATTCGTTTGTATTTTAAGTTGATATGGTTTAGCAATATATTGAGTCAATTCTGGCTATTTTTATTATCATTATATCATATTTTTTGTAATGCCCTACTGTCCTAAAGATTTGCTAAAAAATGAAAGAACAGTGTCAAAAGAGAAGATAACGCGGTATATGTAATGGGTTAGGTATGACAATTAATGATGTTTCCTTCCTATGGATAACGACAAGATTGAATAGCAATATTAAAAAATCAGAGTCCTTATAAATCATAAGGTTTTTATTTCTGAAACAAGCAGTTTAACAGTATGGTGTTGCGATGAAAGATATGTTTTATTTATGCTTATCTGACTTTCAAATTGAATTTTCCAAGACCTGCATGTCTTAGAAATAGAACACTATAAATGAATATGGTATTTAACGTCCAGTGGCAATTACTTCATGGATATCATGGCGAGATACGAATATGAACCCTTTGTACTAAACAGACACGCTGAACCGGACATTAAAATTGGTAGTTCACAAGGTAACAGTCCCCATTAAGACATGACTCCGAGTCAACCAATCTTTGCTATAACTCCTATCTGCCGCATGCTTAGTGGAGAAACAGAAAATACCAATTTCCAAGTCTTTGGTTCGAACTCACGACCTCCAACACTCAAGCCGAGAACGTTACCATAAAATGTCAAACTGTTAAGTCTAGAAAGTTGTGAAGAAATTTAACATAGAAACAACAAAAAATCTGCTATCTAAAGACTATCATTTTGTTTTTCAAATATAAATAAGATGTGGTATGAGTGCCAATGAGACAACTATCCATCCAAGTCACAATGTGTAAAAAGTAAACAATTATAGGTCAAAGTACGGCCTTCAACACGGAGCCTTGGCTCACACCGAACAGCAATCTATAAAGGGCCCCAAAAAGACTAGTGTAAAACAATCCAACAGGAAAACCAACGGTCTAATCTATATAAGAAACGAGAAACACTTATGAACCACACCAACAAACGACAACCACTGAAAAACAGTCTCCTGACTTAGGGCAGGTGCATAAAAATGCAGCGGGTTTAAACGTTTTAACAGGCGCCAACCTTCACCCTAACCTGAAACAGCGGTATAACATTACAACATAAAAAGACGCACAATAAATTATCAATTGAAATGGCTTAATTCGATCAAAAAGACAATACACAAAAACAAGTAAATATACACTGAATGAATAAGTTCGAACTATGACACAATATAAATAAAAAAAGATGTTTCAATGTCAAAAAGACAACTTTAACTTAGGACAAAATGGCGTTAAATAAAGTAACGTACAAAGGTAAATTTAAATATAATAATTTTGTTTTTACAAAATAAATTTGTTATTCATAGTACGAGTACAGAAGTAAAATTTTGTTCGTCATACTAAATACTTATCAAAGGTGGTACATATTAAAAATAGTAAGTCGAGATATAACACAAAATAAGTAAACATTGAATAACAGAAATGCATTACAAATTGTGTCAGCAGGTCAAATTAACATTAAAGTACGATTTGAGAGTACTCGCAGTTACTGAAAGCTAGTATCATTTTGTTTTTCAAAGTATTCATGTCCTTTTCTTACCTAATAAATAAGTAAAACGATACTTTACAAGATTGATGCGTCCGAAGCGGTTTATGGACTAACCTTCATCAGGAACGCTCCCAAATCAAAAGTTTGAAAGCCAGTCATTGGAAAAACTTGAAAAGCTATAGGACCAAAAGGAACCTGAAAATAATAGACAAAATCATTCATGATCAACTTTGCCTCTTAGTTTATTAAAAAATACAAAATTTTTCAATCGGAAATTTAAGGAATGTATGCTTATAACATGCCTTTTATTTGTCAATGAAAAATGTGATAATTCTTAACCGTTTTGCTTTTGTATAATTAAATACCTTAGTAATGGATCTTAGATAATTGAGCTGCATCGGATAGAAATCGACATTATGCAAATGAATGTCAATACATCTGTTATCCTATCTCGGGTTAAAAAAAATCTCTATGCAAAGTCTGTAACTGTTTGAAAATTGAGTTGTTATAAGAACCAAACAAAACAGACCAAAATTCATCTTTCATTTCGTATTTTAATGTTCCAAAATCAATCAAAGTCTTATACATGTACATGTATATGTGCACTTACATAAGGTCGATTTCTATCCGACGCAGTTCAATTATAGCTCAATTAAAGTTCGATGTAATTGTCAAGAACAGCGACAGTTCGTTTGAGTACAGTTTAGAATATGTTTCTGTACTTGATGCTTATTATTTTATCTACATATCAACAGTTCCCTTAACATGTACGTCAGAATAGTTGACCCCTACATGTACATGTATGGTGTTCACGACCAGACCTTTTGTTGAACAAACAAACTTTACAATATATGTCAATATGTCTTGAGTTCAATAAAGGTAAAATTAGGGCATAATTGATAACAATTCAATGTCACACCTCTCCTTAGATGTTAATTCTAACAACGGCGAAATTCGTACGTTAAAATGGACGGATTGACACACAGGTCGTGTTTGTCATGGGAGATCTTGCTCGGTGAGGGTACTTCAGTTACAAATTTTATCAAAATATGATTTGTACTAATTCCACTACAATTCCATACCAAACGCAGTAAATTGAAGAAGAGGCCTTAAATTGGGGTTGATTGGATTAAGTTCTGTCCAATTGTTTAATGGAAAACATCAAATCCATTAGTTTATGATTGAATGAAAGCAAATTACTTCCAACATGGAGATGCTACTAATTTATAACTACAGTAACGTAAATTCATAATACAGACCCTTATGGTCACTATTTTCTTTAATCTTTGTTTATTGGTTATAAAAGATCGATGCACTATCTTTCAAATTAGTACAGTTCATGATCCCAATACAGAACGGTGCAGTTCCTCCAATATAAGGTTTCTGTAAGCAGCTCTTGGTTCATGGTTTAAAATGTTTTCGATTATTTTAGTATTGCTTGCAGTGATAACGTTAGTAAATGGAGCTACTTTAGGTGTTTCGGATGCTACTACTGAAATGTACGCTAGTACTATGCCAGGTTTGTATAGATATGATTATATACCATGATCAGTTCATGGAACCCATGCAGCTGAAAAATATAGTGTATGTTTTCACTGTATTTTTTTGCTCACAGAATCAAAATCTAAAAGTTTTTAGAAGGAATTTCCCGTCGATAATTGTAGAAATTATTTAGAAACTTAGGTTCCAACTTCCTCGGGCAAGGTTGACCTTACAATTGGCTATTATATGTAGGCCCCTTTTTGGTCATATAGCTCCTGACGTTTCAACGATTTTTTTTACATCCCTGGCTTTCGAATGTTAAGATTTGGGTGTTCAGATAAAGTGCTATTTACATTTTGAACCCTCAAATGGATTTAAATATCAAGAATCTATATCATATACTTAACAAACATTCAACAGTTTTAGATACTTCAGGTTAATCAAAAGATTATTCAGCGCTCAAGACATTCTGATCATAATTTGCAAATTTTATATGTTTTGGTAAAATTTTGCATCGACGGATATCTTTTTTCAAAATTTATTAATCTATATACGAAAGACAATATATGGTTTTACTTCCTGTAGATTTTTGGTTTTGGTAACGAATGTCTTTCTTATATATTTTTGGATAAATACTCAAAATTTGCCAAAGACGCGGTTTTTGGTTAACTCCAGGCGTTTATAATTTGGGCATTTGTTTAGAAATAAGCCATAATATTATACGAAACTCAAAGAATGCATGCATATGGATTTGTGATGCTGAAAATATGTTAGTAAAAATTGAAAGCCCTGGTGGCAAGCGAAATTGGACCTACCGATATGTTTGCGTTCAATCTATTTATGTTTTGATGTCTTTAACCTTCAACAGTTGCTATGACATAATTTATGTTTTTTTTTGTCTTCAGAATGCAGCGACAAATTAGATCATTGCTTCGATTTTAGCGACGAATCGTGTGTGGGCAGATATGCACCATGGGCCAAAGAAAATTGTGCTTACAGATGTGGCTATTGTCCAGGTATAAAATTATGTGAAAGAAAATATTTGTTTTGTTTGATATAGTTGTTGAATAAATATTGGTATTCTATTTCTATTATCTTTATAATATATGATATAAGTAGCCACTGACATCATAAAATATGAATTCCAGAGACAACTATTGTATTTTCCCTATTGTTTCCCTGAGGTTACCATCCAGTAAGTAGCCAATGTTTCGGTATTTATTTGATTTAAAAGATACATTTTGTCTGTAAATTTCCAGTTCATAATACCACTGTTTGTGTACCGCTGATTCTATCAGTCCGGACTATCAGTCTCTAAAGCTACATAAAGGTACAATCTGCCTAATAACAAGTTCTTGTAAATTTCCAGTTCATAAATTATATAATTGTGCTTAAATGAGGTCACAACTCCCTCAGGCAAATTTGACCTAAGATAAAAATGAGTTCTGTTGTTGCCTGTTTGGTTTTTGTGATTTCTAAAATTATATTTTGGCCTTCATATTTTGTGGTCTTAAGCTTATTTATGAAGAAATAGTGTATGCAAGAACATCATGCAGTCATACTTTTATCACTAAGTATATTTTTCTATGAACAAAGGGCAAAAGAGATCTCTTGTTGACTTTTCCATTACATTTTGACACGAGATTAAGTTTGATATCCACTATCTAAATATGCAAAGAAAAGGATATCTTCATGACTTATTTTTCGAGATATTTCGGTTTCATTTTGGTCTGTCTGAGGTAAAAACATTTTTTTTTATATTTCTATACCTCGCCGAAAATATAGCAAATCTTTCACTTTTTTCTTTAATAACGAAAAGATATATTTTCACCCGTTTATGTTTTTTTTTTCCTTAACGGCTTCTTAAGGTAGTTTTCTAGTTAAAAGTAAATGAGACAAAAATTGACAAGAAATAATGCAATTTTCGGTGACAGAGAGCCGTTGACAACTGTGTTGCCTATATAAATACATGCATGCATGTAGAGAAAAATCTACCTTTGATTTTTTTCTTGCAATTATGACAAAACATTATTTAAGTAGTACACAGTCGATCGCAATGAAAAACAAATGGGGGTCCAGGTGCTTGTTTTTGGCTAAATAGAAAAACCCTCATTGGTTAATGATATAGATGGCATTATTGTTCTTGCCCCCCCCCCCCAAAAAAAAAAAAACAAAAAAAAAAAACAACGTCGCGATGTTTTGCCACATCACATCGTCGTGTAAGCATTACCGCCGTATACCACAACGCCAACGAATCTCTAAATTTATTGAATAATTTTGGTTACAAAAAATAACCAGTGGTTTATTGTAAATTAGCTTTATTTCCCACAGTAGATTTTACGTAATAATTTGGATTAAGCTTTTCCGGAATAATAAACCAAGTTGATAGGGGATAAATTATATCAATCAGAGGGGAAGATTGCCTGTATGTTCATATTCTGGAGCATCAACGTTTTCTCAGCGTAGATCATACTCATTCAGTATTCACCAAAACATTTTTTTACGAGGAGCATCCATTTCTATTCATACCTGGCTATACCGCTCTTTAGATATTTGATTTGGTTAGTGGCGTGCAAAGTAAAATAATCGAACGGACACTCTCAACGTTATTATGTTTTATATTTAAAAACAGGCAATTATCCACCCTGCCAAGATCAGATTACTTATTGTAAAGAACTTGGGAGTGAAGTTTGTAACCAGAAGCTGTATAGTGGATACATTCGTCTCAACTGCAGAGAAACATGTAATAAATGTGAAGGCAAGTCTTAAATACGGACGATACTACTTATAAGAATAAAGTTTAACATACAAAGAAATCATATCATCACCTGTTACAACAAAGGTCAGTTATATTATTTGAAAACGTCTCGTTAGCTGAAGCAAACAAAATGAAATCTCACTTAAGTTGTAGTTAAAAAAAACATAAATGCATCATATCCACTTAAACAATATTATGAAGGGTAATTTTGTATAAGTTATACCCTGGTATAACCTGAGGGTATATCTTATTGACACCATGATATTACAGTTGATGTAAAATTATAGCTTTTAATGATTTAGAAGGTCTTTATTTTTGGAATCTGACCTTATTTTAAGATAAATCATGACATATTACATTTAATAACACCATGGTGTATATATCTCAAAAAATTCAATATAATGTATAACCTAATCAACTGTAACAATCTTAGGATAGAAAAAAATATATAAACATGAATTGTCTTGTCAACTAGAACAGTTGTCCCTAAAACTATACGGTATGGGTTTTTTGCTCATAGTTGAAGGCCGTACGGTTGCCTATAATTGCTTACATCCACTTCATTTAAACTTTGGTGGATAGTTGTCTCATTGGCAATCATACCACGTCTCCTTATTTTTATATGAATTGTCTTGTCAACTAGAACCGCTACAGCTCCTACATTTGAGAATGTAAAAGGGACAATGATGATAAGTTTGAATGTTTGCTTAGTGAATCATGAAATCCTTATCTATAGAGATTGCTTTACATTATCAGACCTTATAGCAAATATTGATAAGAATCCAGTGTTTTTGATATATCATTGTTGCCATCAACATTTATACTGAAATTATCTTGTAATTATCTTTTAGTTCCTGCTTTAACCTACGTGCCTGGAAACAACACTGAAGTTCTTCCAACAGGTTTGTTTAAAAAGATCTTTAGAAATTTGTTATCAAATGACATAGGACTAAGAAAAGCTATAGAAGCAAAATTCTCGATAGCACGGCCTGATAAAAACTGCAGTACTTAAGCTACATCTGTTGAACTGCCAAAAGTTTCCGAATAGTTAGTAGTGCACACAATTTGTCTTTATATTTAGTTTATAAACTAATTGGTTGTTGTCAGTTAGTTCTAATTGTTTTACGTCTAAATTATATTATATTCAATATAGTCCTTAAAGTTTCCAATGTATTTACATATCTCTGGGTTTCAAAGGTTTAAGTTTGAATGTTCCTGACGTTGATAAATGCAGAAAAAGCGTCTCAGACACACAAAATGTATAAAGTGTTATTTTAATTTGGAAGACAAGTAGACAATATAGTAATCACTTTGTCGGACTTGAAATTAATATGGGGTGGAAGAAAGAGGCAGGGAATAAACAGGCGAGAGCATTTTGCAGGAACGATTTAAAACACAAATAAGACCGTTTAAAACTGATGTTAGTGAAGGTCCCTAATGATATGTAAAGAGATTAATTATCCCAATAAATGCTTTGAATTTAAAAATGGACAAGACTGCTCATGTAAACAACCCACACATCCTGCAGATGTCACACAGTAAGGAGATTAATGTTGTACGGAGAAAATCAGCAATATCTCTACACTCATTACATTTCTATCAAAGTAATAAAAAATAAAACGAATGAATAAAAAATTGAGATAAAAAAATGTTTTACTTTGATATTGAAAGCAAAATTTTAATTGTCACTGGATTTGTTTTTCACAAGACAAGTTTAGACGTTTTCTTTACGTATAAGTATTTATTTATTTTTTGTAGTTATTTTTATTGATGTGTTTGTATTGCATTGTAATACACTTTTGAATTCCTTTATAAGAAGATTAGATAATTCTAATTAGCTGATTCGAAATGTAGAACTTTGTCAGTCAGTCTGTCACAAACATACATGATACATATGTAACTTTTTGTAGATCTGGTTCCTACAAAGCCAACAGGGATCAAGCCTACGGTAGTTCTAACAAACGAAACATCGAATGAAACAACAGGGGAACAGACAGATCTGACAACAATGAGGAATACTAACCAAACAGGTATGCATTAGGGTGAATTGAGTTGCTTACATCTATGTCATTTGGTCTCTGTTGGATTGTTGTTTCATTGGCAATCATGCCATATTATCTTATTCTTTTATTAGTTATAAACGTGGAATAATGAAAGTCAAAAACAGACAAACAGCAGACTTGAACTATTTAAAAAGAAAAACGAAATGTATTTCAGTGTTATTAACAATTTACATGTATATGTTGTTATATCGTAGAAAAACACGGAAAAAATAAGACATTATTATTTTTAAAAGATACACGTCAGCTCATTAAACCATCATTGTTATTGTTAAGTGGTTCATTTCATGCAATTGTACATATAGAGGATTTATGCTAATTTTCTGTTATGTTTTTTTCTTGCATACAACACGTTTGCTTACAACTACGTCCTTATGTCTCTGTTGGATGGTTGTTTCATTGGCAGTCATACCAAATTTTCTTATACTTATATTAGTTATAAAATGGGGATAATGAAAGACAAAACAGACAAACGACAGACATGAACTATATTAAAAAAAGAAAAACGAACTGTATAGAAGTATTTACACTTTTGAGTATTAAGCTGAATTGCTCCGAATTACCTTAGATCTGTCTCCGAATTACCCTAGATCTGTCTCCGAATAACAATCTGGCTGCATGCAACAATAATCATCTATCAATTAAGACGTCGAATGTCTTAAATTGACTATATAAAAACGTCTACATTTAATAGTTATTAACAATCTACAGGTATATGGTGGTATATCATAGAAATAGAAGGAAAACATAATACATATTTAAAAGATACACCTCAGGTCATTTAACCAGCATTGGTATGGTCAAGTGGCTCAATCAAGGCAATTACACATGGAGTATTTATGTCTAATTCCTGTAATGTTTTTTTTTTACTTGCATAAAACACGTTAGTCTTGTATGTGCCATCTGATTAAGTCATTGAAGCACGATATTTTCCTTTCCTCAGTTACGATGAAAGTTGATTGCTAATTGTTTGAATAATTAAAATTATTTTTTACTCCATTCTTTTTTCAGAATGTGGTGATAAACGTGATAACTGTTTTAACTATGGTGATGAACAATGTATAGGCAGATATGCACCATGGGCCAAAGATAACTGTGCTTTTAGATGTGGTTATTGCCCAGGTATACATTTATCTTTCCTTAAAGATGTGGTTATTGCCCAGGTATACATTAATCTTACCTTACAGAGTTGGTAATTGCCCAGATTAATCTTTCCATACAGATGTGGTTATTGCTCAGATATACATTAATATTGCCTTACAAAACATGTTAGTTTGATATTTTCATATACAACTTTAGTTAAATGCATTCAATGCAAAAGTTTATGAGAAGGCTTACAACTTGAGTATAAAACACATGACTAGTGTGTATTTTTTTTTAGCTAAGAATACCTTCTGTGAAATTTTTGATTCATTTACAACGGTCTTTTCGTGATGAAAATGAATGCAGTAAGAGTTACGTTCTACATTTTAGATCACCCTCTGTATCTAGATCAGATATAGTTTTAAGCGTCATGATTATATGATTAAGTTCTCTATTAGTTATACTTATATTTCTTATCGTGTCTCGCCTTAATTAAACGAACATTTAGACTACAAAATGTATTATATAACACCAAATGCCATTGCGGCTACAACAAAAAGCTTTATGATTTGTAAAAGAGCGGCGAAAGATACCAAAGGGACATTCAAACTCATAAGTCAAAAATTTACTGACAACGCCATGGCTAAAAAAGAAAAAGACAAACAGACAAACAACAGTACACAAAACACAACATAGAAAACTGGGGGTGATCTCAAGTGCTCCGGAAGGTTAAGCAGATCCTGCTCCACATGTGGCACCTCGGTCGTGTTGCTCATGTAAGTACAAAACCGGAGATAAGTCTAATTTGGTAGGTCACATTTGGGGAAATGGGGACGGGATTGTAGTTACGACAATTGAAATATACGCTTTAAACTTTTTAATTGTCAATAGTCATATATGTGTTTTCTTAACGTTTACTTTCAAACGATTTTAGATAATCAGTAATCTGTTCCCGTTTTTGTGAAAATTGTGAACTACGATCTCTTTAAAAACATGATTTTTTTTTGCAAGTGAACCAAATATTTTGAATTGCGCCGAGTCAAGACTTCAAAGTGAGAGGTTGCGTTTCTCTAGTCAAACCTTACTTGATCTTTTTTTGGTAGGACATTATCCACCTTGTGAAGACAAGATAGATTATTGTAAACAGCTCGGGAGCGGTGCCTGCTCCGAACATCAGTATGCTGGGTTTGTCCGTCTTAATTGTAGAAAGACTTGCGATAAATGCACAGGTATGTACCAGGTAAAACAACACCTAACTTACGATAACAGAAATGTAAGGTGGGTGTATAATCAAATAATTAAATTGAATATGATCATTTAACGCCGTTAAACAAATATTTTTAATATATCATTTCTGTCTACTCCTAGTTGCAAACATACAAATACAGCATATCTGAAAAGTACTAATTTATTAAAACAGGTAAAATCCTAAGTTATCCAACATGCCTATACAGTAATGAGATAGTCCTTGATTTGATACATTATTGTAATTCGTATTTTGAGATTTAGGAATGTGTTTTATTATCTGTTAAATTTTGTCACACCTTGTCTTGATTTGGTATGATTTAGAGCATGAAACAGTATACTTTTTTTTATTGTTTTTAATGTTTTATTATGATAACTGTCTCATTGACATTTGGCCCTAAATATTTAATTATTCATTTATATCTGAATTTTCTCTCGTGAACGATTTTTTTTATAAACGCTTTAGCAATTATATCTCATCTCCTTATTTATATTTCATTTTCATATTATATTTTTCAGTTCCTGCCTTGAACTATGTAACTCCAAATAACACAGTACTACAATCAACAGGTTTGTAAAAGTCAATGTAGCAATATTCCATATTTTAAATAATCTCATACATGGCAAGGAATATGATCGCTTAAAAACATTTTAAAATCTCGAAAATTTCGTGCACGTTGGATAAATTCAGCCGATGACGCCCAGACTAATCAAAACGTCCGAAGCAGTATCGTAATGAAACAAAATTTCTTATTAGTTCACCCATACATAGATTATAAAAAAGTTTAGACAATCAAAGACATTTAAGTATCTTTGTTTTATAGTGTTGTTGTGTTGTGTTCCATTGAATTTTACACCACATCTCGTAGTATCCTATTGAATATTATAAAACATCTTTAGTCCAGTTGTTCCAGTTAAATACTAGAAAATATTTAAAACTTATTTTGCTTCATGCCACGCCTTTTATGTACTGTTATTTAAATTAAACAAGTCTTGAAGAAATAACCGTGTTAAACGTAGTAGTGTCTTTACTTCACTTCCATCCATATGACGAGCAGATAACTATGAGGAGCGGTGAAATGTCATTATCATCCAGATAAAATAATGTTTTGTTCAAAACTTTGAATTGAACCACGGTTCGAAAATTAATAGCAATAGAAGTGTGGATGCAGGATTGGTTTCAGTTAAAACGTGTAAAACCATAACGTATGTAGATTCCATTAATAATTTTAATTTAACTAACGAATAGTCCATAAATACAGGCTTTGTTAGTGAGCCTAGGCAAGACTTTGGGGTTAAATTCTATCAGTAAGAATCATTAGACATTTTATCATTACAGCATTGGTTCCAACAAAGCCAAATGAGACTAAACCAACAGTAGCACAGACTAATGTAACAGGTATAGTAATACTGTATGTAACAAAAGTCAGTTTCATGGATTTTATTTCATAGATGTTATGCTTAAACCAACACTAAGTGACTAAAGGCAGATAAAATAAAACCACTACAACGAAGAGAAATCACTGAAATTGCATTACATCAATTCTTTTCACAGTTAATGTTAATTTTGTATTTCAAAAGACCATTTCTACAATGGGTATCCCGATCCGAAACCGTGGAGACATCCAAATCTCGACGAGTAATCAATGAAAAGTGTGAAACTGTAGGAAAGTAAAACCTGGATCTAATTCCCACGGAGGAATTATGCTCCGTGGGAATCGGATCCAGAATTTACCTACACACCGTTACAAACTTTTCATTAATTGCTCCTTGGGATTCGGATTGACCAGGATACCCTATGTGATTTCGGACATACATAAATAAGAATAATAAGTGAGGGAAATCAATTTGAAAAAATAGAAACACGTCAAACAAAGCAATAGTTAGTAAAATTCCTTAATATTCTTGGATATATTATAATATCAACAAAGTACACTTTAATCCTATTTCAGGGTGTGTGGATATAAAAGAAAACTGTTGGAACTATGATGACAAGAAATGCTTGGGGATCTATGCGCCTTGGGCAAAAGTTAACTGTCCATATAGATGTGGCTATTGTCCTGGTATGTGCATATTGACAACTCTTACCTTTAAATCCAAAAAACTCAAAACTTTAGTTGTTTCTTGTGTTATTTGAAATAACATGATAAACCTTCATACTCCAATTATTTTAAAACATTGTTACACGAGATCTCATTTTCGTTTGTTTTAACCAATATGCATGTAACTTATTCTGTGAAAATTCAAAATAACAATCCATAATTTCTCCTTGACCATCGGATTTCTTCTTTTTTATTTTAATCGTTTGGTATAGTTTATTCACGAATTGCGCAGATGGCCAACGTAACAGTAATTTCGTTTTCATGCTGTATTGAAAATGTCAGACTAAGAAGAAATGTGTATAAGATTTCGGTTAGGTGGTACCTGTCTTCAGTACACAATAAACCGCCTCGGTGGTCTCGTGGTAGCGTGTTCGCCCCAGCCGGGGCAAATACTGGTCAGCTGGGAGCCAGAATAATGTGTCCGGGTAGGGTGACATGTCTTCATATAGACTGTTACCTTGTGAACTAGCACGTTAAAAATCCGTTTCAGCGTGTCGGTCTATAGTACAAAGCAGGGTTCATATTTATATATCGTACTAACATATTCTCGTCCTAGATATGTATTTAATTTGCCTCTGGCCGTAACAGCCATCATTCCATCAGTAAACAATATGTAAATCCCTATGCTGGAGTAGTTTAAAGCAGGGGATTTCGTATTATTCACTACACTGTATCCTGAAGACAGGTGCATGGAGGCATATTTCTGATTTTCTTCACATATGTTTATGATTCATTGATTTTTTTCGTTTGCTCTTCATCCAGTGACAAATATTTCATGCATATTCAGGATGAGCTCGACATCTTGCATAGACATTCAAACCGGACGTGGCTTCGTATTTATACATCACACACAGCCAAAAGGACACAAATATGTTTACAAGTTTACAAGTGGTTGTTTTAATTCCAATGTCATTCGTCTGATCCACTCATTTTTCAGAAGCTACGCAATTACTCGTTCTGTTGCAGAGTATGCATGTAGCTTTGTATTTAGTGATTAAGCAATAAATGAGGTGTGGACGAAAATGAGAATCCTCACACCTAGTATGAAATACTAGAAATATGTATGGTTTATAACGACATCTGTAAGTTCTATATGTTGTAAGAATTTTGGAAGAAACAAAATGACATCCAGTGTTAGTTAACAATCCAAATTGACAAATAATCTACCCAGCAACATTGCTACAGTGCGATCTTACTTTTACTAATTCATAGATAATATGTTCCTTCCTTGAACAAAGCCTTATCTCTCTCTCTCTCTTAGATACACCACCATGTGTAGACAAGCTTCCTAATTGTGACGAGTATGGAGACAATGTTTGTACTGACTCGTTTTATGCTGGCTGGTCTAGGACTAACTGTAGAAAATACTGTAATAAATGTGAAGGTATGTTACATCTAAGATGAAAAATAACTCTGATAAATCCGGGGGTACGTATAATATCTGAAACTACGAGGATTCACTCTGATAATTGTAGGGATATGTTTAAATAATTTAACGGGATGAGGGATAACTCAGTAATGGTGAGACATAATTAATGTCATGGTTTGTATTATATATTTCTTAGGTTGGCTAAGAATCAAAGGATACGGTTGCCATTGATAAGACAAGTTGAGATGCATTTGATTAATTACACTTGATTTGAAGGTTGGCTGTCAATTCAGTTTGATATTCACCCCTTGACTATTTTTTTTTTGGAGGGGGGGGGGTAGGGGGGATAACATATCTATATATAACCTAAGACTACATAATATTACATGCAGGTTATCTGTGTGATACACGAGAAGTGAAAGTTATTAATTGTAAAATTTCTCATTCACTTTTAACTTCATTTATTGAATGCATATTAATTCGAAATCCACAGCTAAGACATTTGGGTAGGTTTACCAAAGCAAGGATTCAACAACATCTTGTTGCTTTAATCTTACAGGTACCACTAGTGAAGATTGAACTTTTACCAGTGCTAATTGTATATGAGTAATTATTTTCGTATATGTCTATTTCGATTAAAAAGAGAATGCAAGCATATATTTGATTGTTATTTATCTTGACGACTTTCACATTATTTTATTTTATTGGACATCGTTTTATCTATATGCACTTCAATTATAACTTTACCATATGTATGACTTTCAATTTCGAAATCTTTGAATTGTAGTGCCATACCACGCTAACATAACAGAGTCGACAATACCAACAATACAGGGAATCACTACACAGGGGATAGGAAACGGTACCCGGATGACATCGTTATCAACAAAACATGTTACACCTCCGACAGTCCACACAGAGGAGCCAAATACACTCAATACCACAACGGTACCAGTGCTTCCTACTGGTGATGGTAGGCATAGAGTATAATGTTCTCTAATAATTTGTTTTATAAATGTAAATAAACAACTGAAGTTTAAAAAACTGTATTAGGAAACACGAATTATTGTTTTGAGGTCTGGGACAATGAGTTGCTTGAAAGGAACCAAAATAAGAATATGACAAAAAAAAAACATTGTAAAGATTTCCAGCTTATCAATGTTTGAAACCATTTGCAACACTTGACTAAATCAAAATGTGTATTTTCGTTTCTCCGCTAAGCACGTGGCATTTAGAAATAAGAGAAAAGAATAGTCTGGTCGGAATTATAATAATGCGTCCTTGTGGTGTGGAGTGTCTTCCTTGGGAACTAACATGTTAAAACAACTCAGTGTCGACTAGTACAAAACACGACATGCATTCATGTCCTCGTCCTGATCTGTGTGTAACTTTTATCATTGAACGTTAAACCCCAATCCTTCCATCAATCATTCGATCCAAATAATTTATGAATACTTCTCATTAGTAGAATATTCTCATATTTGAATACTCTTTATTAAAACAGCATGCAAGGATAAAAGAGATGATTGTGCAAACTATGACGACGAGGCCTGCAGTGGGGTTTTTACAACATGGGCAATAACCAACTGTGCCCGCAGATGTGGATATTGTACAAGTAAGCTTAGAAATTTGAATACTTTAGTATTACATCATTATGATTACAATAACCCTTTCAACTGATAATATAAGAATGAACGCTTTTGAGAATTCACATAAGATTGATGTAGATTGGTAGTCAGTTAATTTCAGTTATTTCTTTTTATCATTTGTGAATATATGTACAGCATTGTGCTTACATTTTAGTACAAAAATGTAAATTTTTTAAGTTTTCAGAGACGAAAATAAACGGTTACTTCTGGCTGAGGGGTGATTTTGTTTTGCGAGTGATGCATGTATGAAAAAATGTGCTAACTATGTGGATGCACCTGATCTCGCTCCATTTGGAGTGCATGTATTTCCCTCAAGTTTTCCCTTGATTTATGTATTTATCACTTATAATTAAAAAAAACAGGAATTTATGAGGTTTTACCATAGATAGATTATTGTTTCCTCATATTAGTTTAAGTATATCAGTCAATGAAAACAGGAATATACATGCAAAGGTATGTACCAAAAGCATTATAAACCTTGAACCTTAAACAAAAGTATAGGATGAAAATGCTTTCAGTATTTTGGAATTACAATGTACTCTTCGGAAGACTAAGATATTTTTAGGTTGAATATATTTAATAAAAACATTTTTTTTTTTTCAAATTTACAATCGATTGAAGATTCAGAATATTTGAGCACACTTATCAAGCTACAGTTACAATTATGAAAGAATATTGAATACATTTCAGATGAGCTGATGTGTAAAGATTCCGTGAAGTGTGGCAATTTACCAAACAATTTATGTACAGCTGAAGAATTTAAATGCATAGCCACAACATCCTGTCGTAAATTCTGTGGACTTTGTACAGGTTGTATTTTCATTTTCATGTTTTCAAAGTATGTTCAAACATTTACCAAAAAAATGTTAATAAAAGTAAATTTTAAGTTGTTTACAAGTTCGTTCTCTTCAATTACGTTTTCACACTGGATCGAAATATTAAAAAAAATATATAATTGATTATTACATTATTTTCGGTATATGTAAATCAGAAGGATGTTTTATCCTAAATATTTTACAAGCTTACTTCTCAATCATTTATCTGCCAGAATATTTGGATAACTGTTCTTATTCCTGATTTTTTTCAAGAAAGTCAACCATGAATTACCTCCCATGAATTTTTGTTAATGTAAAATCTATAGAAACAATTCTTTCAAACCAAAAAAATCTAATGATTCAAATGCTGATAACAAACTCGCTATTTTTCTCCCATAGTTTTTATATATTATACATTTTCTTTTGATAATAGATTTCATTTATGAAAATGTTTTTATTTTGAATTTAGCAGCAAACACATCCTTATAAACAAATAATACATTGCGGAATCTTTATAGATGTATATATGTTTTGGTTGAGTTCAATGTATCTATGTCATTTTCTTTAACATTCATTCATCTAACTGTGTGGTGAATACAAATTACAACGAATTATATATCTAAATATATATATCGTGTTTAATCGAGACGTGATATTCCGTTGTAACAATTTTGTCATATTGGGGTTTATAAAGAGGAAGTACATGTTCTAGGAATGCCATTCATTACCTTAAGGCCTTAATCGTCGCACTTCTACCGAATACGTATGGAGTCGCAGATGACATGGATAGATATAGTAGCGTCCTTTTAAAATAAGAAATGGTAAGATATTCTAGATTTTTCATTATAATTCATTTTTTAACTTTTATTTATGCATATGTCTCTTAATCTATTTACTAATTTGAAATGCAATTATAAAAATAACAACACACAGTAATAATAATACTAATAATAATTTTAAAAAAATATTATGATAGTACTAATAATAAAATAATAATGATAATAATAAAAAAAACAATTATCATGATAGTACTAATAAAATAATAATAATCATCACTGATGTATGAATGGCACTAATTAACATTTACATAATAAAAACTCGATCTTGTTGCAGAACTTAGAATCCAGAACATAAATGACAAAGAGCTATGCTGTGTTTGTATCTTTCCATACTTGCAATATGGAAGGGAATTTTGTGTATTCGAAGAAGGAGACGCTCCAAAAATGATATCGAGTTAAAAACTATCTGCGAAAAGGATGTCATTGAAAACGACGAAAAACGAGAAAAGAAAAAATGTTCCGGAAAACATTTTATGCTCGGTCTTGTACAGTTCATCCTTATCTCTGGAACTATGACCTTTTTTATTTACATGATCAACGAGCGAACGGAAAAGTCCTGTGGACAACTTGAAATTCCAGATAAATGGAAGTGTCAGTTTAACCATTTTTTCAATACTAACCACGACGAGAAAGTAAATCAACATTTCAACTGCCAAAGCGTGACCAATAAAACATATGAAGAAAACTTGAATGTTATTCATGGATACGCTAGTAATATGTCGGACAAAATTAAAAAAGTGTTAAACGTAAAAAAATCTCATTCTCCTTTGCTTGCTCTTTTCGAAAATAAGACTAAAACTACATTGGAACTGAATTCTACAATATCTAAAAACGAATCGAACGTAGACGACAAATCACATTTACCAAAAATGATCCAAAACGAGGTTAAGAGTTTCCTGTATATCATCCATAAAATTGGCAACTCTCCACGTAAGTCTGACTTTGGAAAACAATCGAATAAACCGACATCACCGGCTATTGTTACCGCCATGTCTGATGAAAACATAAGCGAGGGGAAAGCATTTTTGAAGAACGTAGTACGTAAAATATATCCTTTGCAAGACATACAGAGATTAGTGATCTACGATTTTGGACTGTCCAAAGATCACATTGATTATCTTACAACCAAGTGTTCCTTCTGTGAAATAAGAGTATTTCCTTTTAAAAAATTTGGAAATCTGACTATTCACTATGCGTTAAAGCCTCTGATGATAGGACTTTCACTTGAGGAATTTAAGACCGTTATTTGGGCCGATCCCTATATTCGTTTCCAACCCGTGTATTTGAGTAATGTTGTAAAATCTGCACAGAAATATGGTATCCAAGCTGCTAAGAACTATGAAAATGTACGAATTACTAATCACGATGTCCGGCGCAACGTTATAAAATATTTGGAAGAGGAAACATGCATGGATACTTTTGATGAAATACAGTCAAAATTCTTAGTTTTCAGTGAGGACAGATCGGCGTATGATATCGTATTGCCATGGATACAATCTTCAGTTGGATATGGAGAAATGTTGAAAGAAAATGTAAATCAACATGCAAAGTCTATTTATAATCCCGTGGAAGAAACTATTTTAGATATAATACTCAACCGTTTATACAACAGAAATATGTCCAGTATCTTAATGGATATGAATGATTATGTTTATATTGATAAACATGTTATCTACAATGCCGTTATTCATTAAAACAGTAATGTTTACCTTCTTTGATTTTGTCATTTGATTTGTTTGGAAGGAGAGTAATATAATGAGTTAAACATTGCCATACGTTCATTTTTTTTACTTAGGACAAAAATCCTTCATTTTTTATTCGAGCGTCATTGGTGAGTCTTTTGTAGACGAAACGCGCGTCTATCGTACACAATTTAAACTTGGTATCTATGGTGACTTTATTCACCAAAATATGATACTAATAGTCGAGTCTTCCCTTTTCTTATGTTCCATGAAACAATAGAGACGCTTTTAATCGTTTAATGCACACGGGTAATTTATCTTATCTTCATTTGGAATTTCAAGCAGCTTTATTTTATAATGTACTAAACGTCAAGTGATAATAATTATTTAAAAAGTAAAACAACAAAAATACCGAACTCCAAGGAAAATTCAAAACGGAAAGTCCCTTATCAAATGGCAAAATCAATTGTCACAAACGTTTAAAGGGATTCGCAAGAAGACTTGTTTTCGGTTATTTTCTTTGGATAAGCTCGAGTTTTAACCACGAAGACAAATGACTACCCATTTTCTGTCGATACACATCAGTTAAAACAATTAATACTTGCATTGTTTTTGCTGTTTTAAGAAGCAACAAGTCCCATAAATAGTTTAACAACAATGATTCTTATTTAAATTGCTTACTTTCTGTAATGTGTTAATATAAATGTCAATTTTTTTCAAATGATGTACTGTAATGACACAACTAAACCTAAATTTAACAAATATATTCTTTCAATTGGTCGAAATCGTAGTTCAGTTAAAGCATATTTTATTTGCTCCAAATGAAATGGACTTGGTTCAAGGAAAGCATGGTTAGATAACATTCTCTAATAACAATATACATTACTATAAAATATTGAGCATCCATTATATCGTATTTATGTAATTACGTTGATAATACGAAATAAAATTAAAGCACTAAACAGACAAATAGAAAACAAATCCTAAAAATTACGAAAACGATTCGTGTATTCACTTACATGTGTTAAACTGAATATCAAAAGAAACCTTTGATCTATTTATTAAGTTTAAACGTTAGATATTGACTGTTTGCACGTTTTGACTATGGTATATTGTCTTATTTTTACTGTTCAACATCAAAACCTCCAGAACGTTCATCCTTTAAATATTGAATATATCTTGATCAAGTTTTAATGTACAAGTCAGATTTGGAGAAATTCTACATTTTACCTGAAAAGATTCATGAATATATTTGGATATGATATTATTCAAATTGATGATTTGTTACCAAATAAACTCTATACATTTATTTCACCTAGTACGAAGTTCATAACCTACAAAATATTTTATTTTACAGTACGTACTATATGTCTTAAATATACATTCAATGTAGATGTATAAAGCTTCGACATTAGGCAAATATGAGAGCATTGGTCGCATAGTTGCCCTAAGCGGTGTTTTTATTGAAATTATATTACATTACAACGTTGTTGCTTGTTTTTAACGTTAATAAGTCTCTTTGGTTAATTGTCCTAACGATACTTGTTTTTTTTTAAATATAACATAGCTTTGCTGTATTTCATATGCTATTCTATTCGTTTCACAAATTATGTAGGCACTCTTATATCAATCAAATTTTTGAATTGTTTTCAACCATGTTTTACTCTATTTTGGAACAATGCTCTTCAAATCCGTACTTTATTTGGCCAATTGAACCTTTTTATTTGAGCGTCTGAGTCTTTTGTAGACGAAACGCGCGTCTGGCGTACACATTTTTAATTCACTGCTGGTAGATGTTGTCTCACCGAATCTTTCACCAACCCAGTAGTCAGCACTTATGTGTTGACATGAATAATCATTGATATGGACATAATTATAAATCAACTGCTTACAAAACTTAAAATATTTCGTAATTCTAAGGATTTTTTACCCCTGGGGGGGGGGGGGGGGGGGGGGGGGGGGGGGTTGGCGTCTTAATCTTTCTGTAAGACTACAGCATATATTATTTCTTTTATTATCTTTTTTTAATATTAGTTTCTGATAAAAAGATCAATGGAAATGATTGATCTGCAAATTGTTTAAGGATGTTCGCTCCTCTTGTTTTTGAATGTTTGCCAGATATTCGGATTCCTCTGGGATTAACCATGTAGTGCCATTAAAAAAAAATTCCCACTAACCCTACTTTTCTTTTCATAATTTGATTAAATATATTTTGAAATGCCATCTTTGAAAATTTTATTAAATCCTTGTTATTTTTTCATACTTTTAGACATAAAAAAGGTGCCAATGTTAAATGTATGGAAAATCTAGAGAGAATCATTTCCCGCCAAATTTTCAATGGCTTCTATCTCGAAAACAAGCACACGGACCCTTCATTTTTTTCTGCTTTTTTAGTTCCTTTATTTATATACTATCAATCTATAACAGTCTTTTAAAAAGCTTGTTATTTTAACACAGAGGAGCGAACATCCTTAAATAACGTTTTGGTAATGTAAATACATATGACTTCAAGTCGTTGTTAAAAGTCGTTCATGTGATTCAAAATGGAACAGAGAGGGCTCCAGAAATGAAACTAGACGGACTTAGACATGGTATATAAGATGTGTATTAACCAAAAAAAAACACAAATATGTATATAAAGATATTTTTTTCTTTAGAAAAGACAACCAGCTACACAACACAAAAGCTGACAGAGGCGTCCTCTGTGTCAATATTTCCAACAGAAGCCCCGACTTCCTCCGTCCAAGCATCAACTGTTTCAAGTTCGGAATTGCCTACAACAATGCAACCGAAAACTCCACAGCCGACAATTTCAACAACGTTAGCAACCATCCAATCAACGAAATCTTCGACTCAAGCTGTTACAAAATCAGTTTCAACGACTGAGCAGATCACGCTATCTACCGCAATGCGAATCCCAACTAAGCCTGTCACATCAGATTCGTCATCTATTCAAACAACACCACCAACCTCATCAGTGAAACAAACATTGTCAACAAATCCACCAACCAGTCCCCCAACACCAGAACCTACCAGTGAACCAACAAAAGTATCTACAACTGACCAAAAAACACCAGAACCAACCAAACCATCTAGACAAGTAACAACAAAACTATCAACGTCAGAACCAACTAAGCCATCAACATCAAAACCATCTAAGCCATCAACACCAGAACCAACCAAACTATCTACACCAGAACCTACTAAATTGTCTACTCCAGAACCTACTAAACCATCGACACCAGAACCAACTAAACCATCAACACCAGAACCATCTAAGCCATCCACACCAGAACCTACAAAACTATCTACACCAGAACAGACTAAATTATCTACTCCAGAACCTACCAAACAATCCACACCAGAACCAACAAAACTATCGACACTGCAACCTACAAAATCATCCACACTGGAACCAAAAAAACCTTCAACACCAGAACCAACAAAATCATCTACATCTGAACAAACAACACCAGAACAAGCTGCCCAGTCTACTATAGAACAAGCTACACAAGAACCTACCAAACTATCAACTCAAGAATCAATTAAACCTTCGACCCCAGAACCAACTAAACAATCAACTTCGGAGCCATCCCCGCCATCAACACCAGAACCTACAAAACCATCTACATCATCAACGCCAGAACCAACTATGTCATCAACACTCGAACCAACAAAAGTATCTACACCAGAACAAACCAAACCATCCACCCAAGAACCAACTAAAGCATCCACACCAGAACCAAAAACACTTTCTACACCAGAACCAACAAAACCTACCATGTCATCAGTATCTACACCTGAACCCACAAAACCATCTACACCTGAACCAACCAATGCATCTACTCCTGAACCTACTAGACCATCTACACCAGAACCAACAAAACCATCAACACCAGAACCAACAAAACCATCTACATCTGAACCAACCAATGCATCTACTCCTGAACCTACTAGACCATCTACACCAGAACCAACAAAACCATCAACACCAGAACCAACAAAACCATCTACATCTGAACCAACCAATACATCTACTCCTGAACCTACCAGACCATCTACACCAGAACCAACAAAACCATCAACACCAGAACCAACTAAACCATCTACATCTGAAGCATCCAATACATCTACTCCTGAACCTACTAGACCATCTACACCAGAACCAACAAAACCATCAACACCAGAACCAACAAAACCATCTACATCTGAACCAACCAATACATCTACTCCTGAACCTACTAGACCATCTACACCAGAACCAACAAAACCATCAACACCAGAACCAACAAAACCATCTACATCTGAACCAACCAATACATCTACTCCTGAACCTACTAGACCATCTACACCAGAACCAACAAAACCATCAACACCAGAACCAACTAAATCATCAACACCACAACCAACAGAACCATCTACATCTGAATCAACCAATACTTCTACTCCTGAACCTACTAGACCATCTACACCAGAACCAACAAAACCATCAACACTAGAACCAACAAAACCATCAACACCAGAACCAACAAAACCATCTACTCCTGAACCAACAAAACCGCCCATGTCATCAGTATCTACACCAAAACCAACAAGACAATCTACACCTGAACCAACAACACCAGAACCAAAGAAACCCACGCCATCACCAATAAATCCAGATTACTCAAAAGAACAACCAACACCATCCCCAACACTTCCATCATTAAGTTTGTCATCGTCTGGTCCAAAAGGTAAACAAATTATATGATTTTAATTTGAAGTAGCTGCCCTTTTTGTCTGATATGATATGAATCACAATATATGCAAAACAATATTAGCACATTACACTTCAAAATAACCTTAAATAACTTAAGATATAACACAATATGTTCGTCTGATATAACCCAAATATGCCATGATATTTAGAAAATGCATATGATTAATAGTCAGCTGTAAAGAAAAGTATAACACATATGAATAAAATGAAATGCGGGGTTTTAGGACACACAATTTATAAAATAAAAAATTATACAAAACACGAATTGATGTTGAGCAGATATTAATCAAACACAATATTTCAGCAAACTAGACTTCGTTCCATGTCTGTAAATGTCTATGGTAACAATAGAAAAATGTCTATCAAATTAGTGAGGCACAAAATACTAATAAAAAATGAAACAAAACACTAATTTATTAATGTTGGTGAGAAGTTATTAATCAACACAACATTTCTGGACTTCGTTCAATGTATCATTAATATTCAAACACCAAATACATATAGTCCTATTTGAATTAATTTTTAAAAATCGTGTTGACGGTCAAACAGATAATAACTCAGTTGGTATATAACAGTTTCTATATACTAAATCTAATTTATTGACTTCTTTACAGTTTGTAGTACAAATTTTGCGGAACCTGTTCCAACGTGTTGTAAAGTGTGCGCATGTCCAGGTGCACAAGTGTTTGGACGAGTAATAAATGAACTCGGTGAACCCATTTCTAATGCTGAAATCTCCTTCTCGGGTTGTGAATGTGTACGATATTTAACAGATCCATCTGGAAATTATGAAATCCTTAACATTTGTGTTGAAGGCCATGAAATGTTATATGAACATCCGGGATATATGGCCTCAAAAGTTTTACCAGTTCCAGTAGTACCGGGTGGAAAATTCTGGAAGGCAGATAACATTCTAAAAACCAAACCGATTGTTCCGGGACTTAATGTAACAAAAACATCTACTGGTTGAAATATGTATGGACAAATCTAAACCTGTAGAAAATAATTGATGTAGCGATATCTGTGATAACAAACTGGTCGTTTTGTTAAGTGAATGTCGTTTTTTCATCTGTAGTATCATGTAGACATTTTCATTTTAAGATGTTCATTAGATTGAGGACCTATTGCTGTTACACTAGAAAATTCATTCCTTGTCTTATAGTGGATAGTTGTCCCATTAGAAAGCATACCTATAACGTTATTTTATACTAAAAAGATTACGGTCGTTTAATACGGTCATAATATGACACAATGTTTGATTGAATTAAAAGTATATTCCCCTTTACTTTTTGACGTATAGAATTTGATCCTATAATGAACGGATGTCAAGTGTTATTGTGGGTTGGAGACAAGTAGAATGAAATTGTTAGCAAAAGAAAACTCGGCAAGTAATAGTCAAGTAAGGCATGCCGTCAAATAAATGCCATCCAACTATCGTCATTTTATTGATTTTATGGTTCTATGTATATGTTCTGAACAGTTATTTGATTCTCAAAATTGGTTTGATTAATTCTATAATGTGTTTGTTCCCATTTCAAACTCTCCCAGGGTAACCAACTGTGCTCCTCTTCTTGTCTACTTATTCCATTATTCGCATGAGGAAGACTTCATAGAGGAAAGTTCAAGAATAATGAAAACAAGTTATCATTTTCCTTTAATTTAACGTTCCAATATAATAATGATGTCCTCTCACTGAATATGTTAACATTTATTGACGATTTGGCTATCCTATTGCACTTGAAATAAAAAATACCATACCTGCAATCTGTTCGATATCTTGACTTTCAATAAGATAATTGACAACGAGGGTCGATAAAGAACTATACTTTACAACAAATGATTTCAATTGTCCTAATGTTTTTTTCATTTCTGTGTAGCATAGAGAAGCGAAGGATACCAAATGGATATTCAAACTCATAAGTCGAAAACAAACTGGCAATGCCATAGCAAAAAACAAAAAAAATACGAAAAGACAAATAACAGTACACAAAACACAACTAAATACTAAGACCGACGAATCCTACAAAAAAAACCGGGGGTGATTTCAGGTGCTGCGGAAGAATAAGCAGATACTGCCCCACATGTAGCACCCGTTGTGTTGCTCATGAACGTTTTATGGACGTCATGTTTTTATTGACCGTTATGGAACGTATGTGACACAGATGACCACTGATACGTTGCCCTTGTCGTCGCCACAGTCCCTGCTCTTTTCCTTGATTGTGACTCCATCGAATTTTTACTTGTAATGAGCAACACGATAGGTGCCATTACTGAATGAGGAACCGCTTATCCCCCCAAAACACTCCCGGCATTTAGTGCAATATTTAGTTTCCTGTGTTTTGTGAGTGGTTTGTCTTTTTGTCGCCTATATATTGGTCATGGTCTAAACGTCTTCCATGAACGAAAGACAAATATACCAGATAGCAACCAACCACAACCACTGGTTCTGCTTGGGACAGACACATATTCGTTTACAGATTACCACAAATATGGAAATCCTGTGCAAGTATGAAACATGGAATCTTCTGTCATGTGTTGCTTTTATATGTTTAACGGTTCTGGAGTATAAATTAAAGGAGATGCTGGGTATACGCTAATAAGACAGCACCCTATTGCCACAATAAATCAAAAGCATCTCACGATAGATATAAACGGTCTTCGAAATAGACACATGTCTATACAATATGTCAAGCTCTTAATTACCTCAGAGTTTTAACAAATTCTGAATATAGTTAACAGAGACGACCAAATTTGAATTAAGATTAGTGGCAATTAATGACTTGATAAACTGTCTATTGGATATTTTGTTGTTGCTATCTCATTGTTGCATATCCCTAATACATCATAAACTTTTCGCCATTTTGTTAATTAGTTTGAGGACTTCAGTTATTTACCTCTATCCCACATCTCTTTTAATTCAGATGTATAGACTTTCTTTTGAGAACAGTATGATGAATTCTAGATGCCTTTTGGTTTTGTGTACCTTAAAATAAATTTTCTGACCCAAATAATGATAAGATAGTAATTTCAAACTACATCAACATGGTCTATCCCGGTTTGAATACAAAATTCAACAGACCTTGTAACAATGCTTGTATTCTCAGTACCAATAATTGATGGAGGTGAAATGGACAAAGTTGACTACTGACAAAACTAGTTTAGTGACCGTCTTAAGTCTAGGACTTAAGTACATCTCTAGTAAAATATAACACTGGAGTTCAAAACTGTAAACCAAATCAGTCTTGTTGTATACATAAAGGCAACAGTAGTATACCGCTGTTCGAAACTCATAAATCGATAGAGATAAAAACAAATCCGGGTTACAAACTAAAACTGAGGGAAACGCATCAAATATAAGAGGAGAACAACGACACAACAAAAACACAACATTAAAATGTAACACAAACAGAAACGAACTATAATATAACAATGGCCATTTTCCTGACTTGGTACAGGACATTTTAAGAAAAAAATGGTGGTTTGAACCTGGTTTTGTGGCATGCCAAACCTCCCGCTTTTATGGCAATGTTAAATATAACATTGAAATGACAACATTACATGACATGACTACAATACAAATAAATGGGAGAACATATAGGACAAAGAAACACACGAATAATAGCTAACAAAAGGTACTAGGTTTAGAATTTAATACGCCAGACGTGCGTCTCGTCCACACAAGACTAACCAGTGATGCTCAGATGAAAAAAGTTTGAAAGCCAAAACAAGTACAGAGCTGAAGAGCACCGAGGACCAAAACTTCCAAAAAGTTGCGCCTAACACGGCCAGGGTTTTCCGCCTGGGACAAGAACATCCTTATTATTTAGAATAATATATACTTTTGCAAACAGTAAATTTTATAAAATGACTATAATAGATATGCATGATAAAACCGAAGTGGGGATTAACTACAGAATAAAAACGGATACATTACATAAAACAACTTAATCCAACACATAAAAATACACAGCCGAGTTAGCCAAAGCCTCAACGCACAAAGTGACGTCACATTTGAAATTCTAAAAAAACACACAAAGTGACGTCACATTTGAATTTGTAAAAATATTTCCCAAAAATAAGATAGAATTAGGATTGATTCAAGATTAGATCTGTAATACTGACATTACATTTATTAATAACAATGAAAATAACAATACTATTAATATCAAATTGTGGTAGTAATTAGATAATTAATTGTATTATCTAGCTATGTTGGTGTTTCTTCTGAATCAAACTGTAAACCAAATATATCGTATAAATTTCGTTGAACCAAACTAAAATCTAATAAATGAAGGGGGTGATTAATTACATTTACCATAACACACGAATATAACAGAAAAGACGTTAAGACATTTGACAAAATCCGACGAGAATAACAAATATAACATCAAAATTAAATACATGAATTTGGGATAGAAAAGTACCATGACACGTCTTACAGCAATGCGGTTTCACACTCAGCAAAACAGTCACAATCGGGAATAAGTCACGTTCGGTAATTAAAAGATCAGACGACGTAATGACAAACCACAATCTAACACGTGGTAAAAATGTCCTTAGTTAGTTTGGACAAAGACACATCGTATGGATCAACCATTTCGTGAGTGTCATTTTTAATCTGTCCTCCTCATAACTTTGTTGGAGCAGTTTCTGCGTAAGAAGCACACTCCTGTATATGAAGTCCGTATAGTGTGAACAAGCACTAGAATAACGTATCAATTGAGATATGTAAACACCATACGAAGGGGCAGAGGGTATGTTACTGCTGAGAAATGGGAAATTGATAATTGGGAAGTTGAAATCGTCCCGTTTATCATAGATTTTCGTGTGAAGTCGTCTATCTGTGTCAATATTGAGGAAAAGATCAAGGTATGAAGCAGTCCTTCTAGTATCAGTAGTATCCTTAATTTCAAGTTCACTGGGATATATGAGATGTAAGTATTGGCTGAAATATGGGTTATTCAATGATAGAACATCATCAATATATCGGAAAGTAAAATTAAAGAATTTCGCAAGCTGCTTTTTCTTTTTGTCTTTTAGAAGGTTCTGAATGAATTCTGCTTCATACGAGTACAAAAACAAATTGGCCAGTAGGGGTGCACAATTAGTTCCCATTTGAATACCGACTGTCTTTTGAAATATAAATCCTCCAAACTCAACAAATATCTTGTCGATCAAAAAGTCCAGCATTTTGATAATATCATCTTCAGTATATTTTCTGGTAGATTCAGTGTGGTTTTTCACAAAATATGAATTATTGTAACCCAAAACAAGAAATTTGTATCTACGATTCCCATTTTTATAGAAAAAGCTCTGTTTAATGAGATGGTGAAGTCGATCTTTCAACTGAGCATGGGCAATTGTAGTGTAAAGCGTAGAAAAATCAAAAGTCTTTATGTTGCTGCAAAATTGCAAAGATTGTGATCGAAGATTAAGCAGTATATCTTTCGAATTTTTGAGAATCCACATCTGGTTAACACCACTGGTAGAATATATCTCATCACAGTATTTTTTAAGCCCATCTTTAACTGTAGAAAGAATAGTAGTCAGTGCTTTAGAAAGATGTTTAGTCGAACATTTTGATGACCCAGCTATGTATCGTTCTTTATATGGATTTTTGTGTAGTTTTGGTATCCAGTATAATGATGCTAAATTTTCTTCGTTTTCTTTGATGTTGATACCAAAAGAAATAAGGACAGATTTGTGATTTTGTAAAATTTCGTCCTTGGTAAATGATGTTAAAGAATATGCACCATTGATATACATTATTCTTCCTGGCCTCTTTGGTTTTTAACTGATTGACTAATTTTTCTTACATTCCGAAAATTATTCAAGAAAAATAAAACCCCAACCATATTATTTAAGTGATCAACATTAATGTAGTACTCATTAAAACATAAATTTCAAGAATTACATTTTCCATTGCTGATCTTTTCCTGGGTACTTTATTCCATTACTATCTATCCCCTTTTCCATACTTCAATTTTATAAAGTATGATATGACCACAAATTATAAGTTTGCTTATCATTTATTATAAAAGGTAGCTTTTTTGTTTACTGTACATAATCTACATATTATACATTTGTACAATTATTTACATTTCATTCATACCTACATGTACTACTGGTCCTTTTCCTCCATTCTAACTTATATAGTAAAATCTAACTTTACATGAGTTATAAATATTATCGGTTTTAAAATGTCAATAAATAATCTGAATAACTCTACAAAAGAACAAGTTGTTAAATATACGTCAAAATGCATACTGTGGATTTACTTAATTTCTTGGGTATCAATTTTGGTTGTGCCAAAGTCTGCATACAAGCCCATAGAAAATTTGTAGACTTAAATTTGTTCTTCAGCTATACCATCAAAATACACGAAAATTGGTACTCCATGAATAATGATGAATTGCTGAATACTTGATGTTTAAGATTAAATGTGAATAATAAGAGATGCGGGGATATGTTAATGAAATAGAATTAAGAGGTCAACAAAGTCTTTCAGCTATTGACAGGTCACCTAAAAAGCCCTCAGTAGCTGTGAGAAAGTTTATTAAGAGGCTATCCAAGTCATGCCATCTTTATTTAATAAAAGCTCATTTTTTGGGGGTAATATATCCACATGAACAGAGATAATGATATATATATATATATAAGCTGTCATATATATGAAAAATTTCACATCAAAATGAACCTCTGTACATGCATGTGTTAAGTTTGAAGTAAATGTGACAATAAATTTATCCTTAACAATGTTAAACCAAAACTTTAACCTGATACAGGACAGATGAAGGGACAGAATAATGGAATGATAGACTTACAGACCAAAAAACATCAAAATAAGGACATACTAATGAAATGACAGACTCACAGACCAAAAAACATCAAACCAGGGACGGACTAATGGAATGAAGGACTCACAGACCAAAAAAAAATCAAACCAGGGACATAAATTCTTATTTTGCTACTGGTTAAGAGCAATTTAATAAGGAAATGTCCTTTCAGTTAAACCTATACACATCTGATGTAAAAACAAATTACAAATTCTAAATCCAACCTAATTCATCTGGACAACTGTGAATTCTAATAAAAGAAGGGAATTGAATAATTCACCAATTCATTCAATGCAGGGTCTTCAATAAACTGTTATAAACCCATTATCTATTTCTCAAGTTATTAAAACAAAATTAATAACAAGTATCACTAACAAATGTTCAAATAAAAATAATAAAACTCACTGTCTTTTTCCTGAAGAACTTATATGTAAATGCAATGTATACTTCAAACATGTACCAGTTAAGATTAAATAATACCTATAAACATATTGGAAATATCTGACTGGCAAATATGCAAACATTCAAATGAAATAATTGCAAAGTTGTAATGAAAAAATTACTGCTAGGAATAATAATATAAATTTTAGTAATTTAAATTTTGTCTTGTTGATACATAAAACATCTAACTAATGTTGAAGTAGTAGATATTAGTTTACATGATGATCAAACATGCTTTTTAATGTTCAACAAAACTGATATAGCCTGCTTTTAAATTTCTAATGAAAAAAGACCACTCTTCATTATAGTAACATAAAAAAAAGCTATTATTATAACCTTTAAAAAAATGTAAATGTACTTAAATTAATGTTGTTGTTTGATTAAATTTGATAATCAACAGCAAAATTGTGAATTTCCTATTAATTAATTTGATGTTGACATTGATGATAAAGCACACATAATTTTGCACCCTGTATGTCTTAATACCTGAAAATGAATATCTTACACTATAATGACTAAATGCACTATCAGTATCATGTACAGAGCTATATAATTTTGTCATTATTTTTTTATAGACCTTGTATCTTCTATTGTCAAATTATTTGATGTTTTAACAGAATTTGTGAATAACAAGATTAAAATAAGTTTAAGTCAGTATGAGACTGTAAACAAAAACAACAGAATTTTGCTTCTAATTTTGAAAATTTATATCATGTTGTTTCTTAAATTTTGATAAAAAAATGTCACTGGGCTTCTTTTTGCACCACAAGATGAACAAAATTCATATATTCTAAAAAAAAATCGAAACAAATATATGGTGGAAACATAAGTTTGTGAACAAAAACAGAAAACATAACTCTTTCAAGTCTTCTCAGAAAATCAACTAGATTTGAATGCACAAATTAATGGCATCATTTGACAAAAGAATTCCATAATTTTGTCAAAAGAAAGTCATCTATCATATAACTCATAATTATACACTTATAAAATCAGTTTCTTATCTTAGGTTTAACGAAAAAAAATTTGCACAAAAGGAAATCTAGACAACAATTTGATTTAGAATGATATTGGCAGACATGTGCAATACTATATGCTCTGGCATCTAATTTGAAAAAATGATGTCGCTGCCCTAATTTTCTTGCTACATATTGAAAATATGTTGATCATCATAGAATGACAAAATTTTACACATCATCCTTAATAACTAAATTCTACATGTATTTTGAATACTGCAAAAGTTTCCTATATACGTTAAAAAATCATGAGATAAAATAATATAATATATTATAATAAATCTTTAAATCAAATTGCGTGCAAAATTATCACATTCCTATAATAAAAGTATTAAACTGTACCAAGTTTACTGCAAAAAGGCATATTTTAGTAAAAAAAACTATATCACTCATTTGAGGGGAAAAAATGGCCAACCTGTGAGAGTCATATTTTTTTAAATAGTGCATAAAATTTATAATTTTGAATTTATCATTAAAATCATAGAAAAAAATATCTATTACATAACCTTCACTATCCTTACTGATATCAATTTTATATTTCAATCAACACATGGTCTTAGAAAACATAATTCTTCAAATTGGTTGCAAATAACGAAATAGACCCATCTACTTTTAAAGCATGATTACAAAATACTGAAATTACTTTTTGTTACATTTGACACTAAACTTTGCACTTCATTGACCTTACAAGTACAAAACATAAATATCACATGGGATAAAAATTAACCATGGTGACAGATTATAAATATTTAACAATATACTTAGTACTAAAATATGGACGGAAACAACAAGCACTAACAACAAACAATTAATCACAGATAAATAGGCTGCCATAGTTTTATAAAGGATTTCTAGTCTGTTCTCCTGGGTTATCATCCTCTAGTCTTTGGAGAGCGGCAACAGTTGTTCATTTACAACACATTCTCTCCTTGTATCACAATATCGTACATGAAAATGACTGAAAAATATATATACATTTTACTGATTAATATGTAGAGACATTTCCGTACCAATTTATTTTGGATACATTTATATTTGTACACAACTTCAATTTTACTATAAATATATAAAACATTAAAAAGGGGGAGGCATTGATCTCTGAAAATAAAACTAGTTTAATACCACCATATATTCATGTGCCTGTCCCTAATCTTGAACCAATTCAGTAGCTGGGTTGTTTTTTATTATCATTTTAAAAGGTTTTTTTTTAATTTGGGGTTTTCAGTATCGATGGCAGATTTTTAATTGTGCTTGTTAAATTTATTCACAACTTTTTCTTTAGCAATTAAGAGTTTGACTTCTTGTAGAGATTCCTGGCTATTGTTGAATACCATGTGTTGATCTCTGGATGTCTTTTACTTATTTGTATTGTTGTGTTGTTGTCTCATTGGTGTATACCCTACACATATCTTATTTCTATTATAAAATAACAGGTATCTACATCATAAATATTATTCTAATGCAGCACATTGACATCTGAATGGTACTAAATTAAATGTGTCATGAAGCTAAATCCTGATCAATGAATTTTTTTTTTATCAATATGTTTATATGGCCATGCACAGATTTACTTTCAACATCTTCAATATATAAGTGAATCAAAATATATATTGATTCTCCTCTAAACATTTATCTTTTCCTTTTTTTTTTTTTAGTTAAATCTCTTCATTTGGCTATCTAGTAATTAAAATAAAATACCTTTTTCTGATTTGAAGGCTTTGGGTCCTCTTTTTTGTCTTCTTTCTTTTCTCCATCTTTTTCTCCTTCCTCTCCAGCTTCCTTTTCATCATCTTTGTCACCTTTCTTGTCTTTATCCTTCTTTTTATCTTTTTTGTCCTTTTCCTTCTTCTTATCTTTTTTCTTGTCTTTTTTCTGGAATCCAAATGACAAAACACATGAATAGGTGCAACCAAAATATAGTTTTCCTATTCCTCATTGTAACTGAGATAATTCAGTCACTGTACAATAAAAATGAAGTCAAGGATAAAGCATATGTGACAGATGAAAATTTAGGAGCATTAGAAATGTGTTTATAAGCTATTGATTATCAAGCCTTCTTCTGCCTTTTGATATTCTAAACTTTTATAGGATCCGTGTTGAAGACCGTACTTTGACCTATAATGGTTTACTTTTATAAATTTTGCCTTGGATGGAGAGTTGTCTCATTGGCACTCATACCACATCTTCTTATATCTATTTATACAAATATTAGCTGTCAGATTAAAATCTTCTGTGTCTTGCATTTTACGAAATTACTCATAAGTGAGACAAAAAAATCAAATCTACAGGCCTTTCAGATTTCATTCAATTACCTCATCATCTTCTTCCTCATCATCTTTTTCATCTTCATCTTCATCCTTATCTTTTTTCTTGTCTTTCTTTTTATCTTTTTTATCTTTCTTCTTGCTCTTGTCTTTTTTGTCTTTACCCTAACATTTTATAACATTTATAATATTATTCTAAAGTTTTAATGTACAAGTCACATGATATTACAAACTTAGTAAGTAAACTGATCACAGGCAAAGTTTTAAACCACCGAGTAGTATCCCCTCCAAAGGAAACCATATACAACTATACAACTGTATAAGATAAACTTATTTATTTCAAGTTATCAACATACAGAATGGAAAATTTAAAGGATACTAATGCTATAGCATACCATTTATCAATGATGTTATATAAATACTTCAATAAATATTAAAAATGTTAAGTCACTGAAGCGTAACCAAAGGGCAGGCATGGCCTTATATATTGCAATTGAGATGCAAGGATGTTGAAGCAACTGTTTGCTATACATCCATGATTTTTTTTAAACACTGATTATGAAATGAATCAATCAGAAAACATCACACTATTGTTGATATTGGATAGCCTCAAGTTGACAGGCTAAAGAAACAGTAGTGAAACTACTAAAATCACTCTGTGATCGAGACCCCCCCCCCCCAAAAAAAAAATTTAAATAAATTAATTAATCAACATAAATTAAAGTGAAGTTTATAAAGAAGATTGGGCTTATTATCTGATTAAGACGTTGAAGAAAATTTAGGTTGTATTGTGTATTTTTCAATTGCTTAATTTAATAAACAATACCTTTTCTTCTTTTTCTGATTTTACTCCTTCATCTTCTTCTTTGTCTTCATCCTCTTCTTCATCTTCATCATTTTTCTTCCCTTTTTTCTTCTTCTTATCCTTATCTTTTTTATCTAAAAAAGTCCATTTGTTTATAAAGTACAAAGCGACAAAAGAAAGGATAAACTTAAATTTAATGAATTATATCTGTTGATCATACTTTAAGCTAAAGAATATTCAAAAGTTAAATAGTAAATCTTGGTCACTTAAAAGCAAATGGACTTATTTGTATAGCTTCTACTTATGACTTACACAACAAAATTAAAAGACATTGACATTTTGCTTAATTAATCTTTAAAAAAAGAAAATTCAAAGGAAACGTATGAAAAAGAATTCAAACTGTCAATTACTGTGCAAAAACTAAGTGTAAATTGGTCATTTTATGTCATAAGTTAATCTTGACAGGCTCATTAACATCACAACATGCACTTAAGGTACCTTAGTACTCACTTATCAATACAAATAAGAAGGGATTTACAAAAGAAATTATAATTTCAGGTATCAAATAACAGTTTTAGCCATATCTCCTCTCTTCATCTAAATCATTCAATACTGATCTGTTCAACCAAAAATCCTAAAAACTCAAAAATACCATTCCACAAAGGTTCAAATGGCTACCTTTCTTTTTATCTTTTTTTCCCTTCTTGTCTTCTTTATCTTTTCCTTTCTTTTTGTCTTTCTTCTTCTTTCCGTCATCTTCTTCCTCTGACATCTCTTTTTTCTTTGTTTCTTCAACATCATCTTCTTCATCCTCATCATCTCCTTCATCCTCATCTGACAAACCAGTTGTTGTACCAAAAATCTTAGTTTTGGATTTCTTTCCTTTCTTTTTATCTATAATAGAAAAATGCTTTGAAGTAATATGTCTATTTCTAACTTCAAAGTTACTACCTGTGAAAATTTCCACGAGTGAAGATACTTGCACAATACATGAAAAGTGTAATGAATATAAATGCCAAAAGTTCATCTAAAAATTTATCATATACATGACAATGTTGAGTTTCAAGTTCTGTTGACATTTCACAAAAAATAATTAAGATCCAAAGCAACTTGCACAATCTCACTCTGGTGTCATCAACATTCTTATATGTGATTTAAAATCTGTTTTTTTTTTTAATGATATAATTAATTTTATAATCATGAACCTCATTGCATTCCAAACCACCCAAACACTGTACATTTGAGACTGACCAACCTGAGGAATGATTAAACAGCATATGCCGTAACAAAGACTCTGAAAGCAAGGAATATGCATATTCAATACGAAACATGTTGGTCAAAATTACAAAGTTTAGCCTGTAGAAAATTCTGCATAACAATATTGACAATTTAGGATATTCTTCTTCTCACAGTATTATCCCTAATTGTATTGTTTTGGCAGACAAACTTGTTAAGTCTTGTCTCTGTATTTTCTTTATAAGACTTCGAAGAGATTTGGGGTAAAAATTGAAACCTGATTATCTTCACCAAAATAGACCACTAGACTTTTAGTGAAACAAATAGAAAAAATATATTATAAAAAAATTATTCTTAATAGTATCAATCTAACCTTTCTTATGTTTTTCGTCTTTCTCTTCATCTGATTCATCCTCCTCATCTTTTTCTTGTTTACCTTTTCTGGGCTGAGGAACAGGTACTGTTGGCAAGGTCTGTAGACATAAATTCTTATTAAATAAACTATTTTTTCTAATTGTAATTTGACTGGTACAGGTGTTTTGCAAATAGCCATAACTTAAAGATAGTCTCACCTACTTTAAAGCCAATCTTAGACAAACTTTTTATGCCATAAAATTCTACTACTATGACAACTCTCATATTTCACTGCAAAATACTATAAATAAAATGCTTTGCTGAGCGCAGTCTGATACGACCGCAGAGGTCGAACCCTGAACAGTTGGGGCAAATTTGGACACAATATTCAAGCTTGATACTGTCTGAATTTGGATTGTAATTAAATTTTTGACACAATATATGTTTCTAACACAAAATAAATGTGGTCAAAGATCTTACAAATATATTGCGCAATACTGTGCAATTTAAGGTTTCTTCTTTCTTCCTGAAACTTTTCAAAAATTTGAAATTTGTAAAAATTTTGAAAACAAAATATGAAGCCCTTAAAAAAATTGGAACCCCCACCATTTTTGAATCCCTCCTTGAAGCAATTACCTCCAAACTCAATCCCAGCATTTCCTTTGTAGTATGGAACCTTGTGGTACAATGTCAGAGAGATGCATACACTCACACACAAGTTATTATCTTGAAACTACAAAAATGCTTGTTTTTGGCCCCTTTGTTCCTAAACTGTTGACACCATAACCCCCAAAATGAATCCCAACCTTCTACTTGTGGTATTAAACATTGTGGTACAATTTGAGAGCAATCAAAATACTTATACACAAGTTATTATCCTGAAACTAGAAAAATGCTTGTTTTGGGCCCCTTTTGGGCCCGTAATTCCTAAACGTTGGGGACCATCATCCCCAAAATCAATCCCAACCTCCCTATTATGGTATTGAACCTTCTTAAAAAATTTCATAGAGATCCATTCACTTAAACTAAAATTATTGTCCGGAAACCAAATATGTCTTCGGACGACGACGCAGACATCATACGATCACAAAAAATTTTTTGCGGTCGTATAAAAATGGCCAAAACTTGAAACTTCAGCTGATATTTGATGATAAAGATATGTAATGAATAATATCTTTTTTAAATTTAGCAGTATATTACTAAGGAGTTAGACCTCAGAGTCTTCTTGAAATAGAATTTTCAGATAATATCACAATATTCCAAATGTCAATAGTCCATCAAAAACATCTTTATGTATACAACTGAATCAGAAAACCTACATTAGTGCAATATGAAAATTCAAAAATCCATAAATTTTTTGAAACCATGACGAATAGTATCAAATGTATCAGCATATTAAATATCAAAAGTCTATCATATGAATAGTATCCTATGTATCAGCATACCAAATATCAAAAGTCTATCAAATGCATTTCTTTAACTAAACTTTTATTTATATTTAGTCATGTTAGTTGCAATCTTATTGAGATTTACATTATATTTTTTTTTCCTTTTGAACAATGTGAAAATTCCAGAATCACTGATGGAATAGTATGCCTAACCTACAGTTTGTTTCAGGAGATATATGAATGCTAATGTAAGAATTTACCCAAATTTCAATAGTTTAAAAATGCAATGTTGTAATATCAGAGGCATGATGTGTGTATATACACTTTTGTCTTCTGAAACTTATCAATTATTCAATTACTATGGATTAAAATATTTTCATGGGTATCCATTTTAGTGGATTGAGGAATAAACTGCTTCGCTGAGCGCAGCTGGATACGCCCGCAGAGGTCCAACCCTGAACAGTTGGGGCAAAATTGGACACAATATTCAAGCTTGATACAGGTCTGAATTTAGATTGTAATTAAATATTTGACATATTATAGGTTTCTGAATAAATGTAGTCAAAGAACTTGAAATTGGTTATATAAATTGAATTTATATTTAATTAAAGATTTCTTGCTGTTGTGCAATACACTGTGCTGTTGCGCAATACTTAGTAAATCTGTTGTCAGACTATAAACAAATAAAGTTCAATTAATTCTCAATGTCATATCAGAAATTTATGAAAATGTAAAGGGAGCTTACATCAATAGATATAAAAAATTCACTAAAGTTTCATAAGAACTGCTGAAGTTATTGTCCGAAAACTGGAAAATCCCCCCTTTTTTAATGAATAAAACCCCATAACTCAGAAATGATAAATGAAAAATTTATAAAATTCTAAACGGAGCTTACATCAATAGATATAAACAATTCACCAAAGTTTCATAAGAACTGCTGAAAGCATTTTTGATTTTTAGTGTGAAAACTGGAAAATCCCCCTTTTTTTATGAATAAAACCCTGTAACTCGGAAACGCAAAATCTAAAATATATAAAAATCGAAATGGAGCTCATGTCAATAGATATAAACAATTCACCACAATTTCTTGCAAGTTGGTGAAAGCATTCTTGAGTTATTGTCCGAAAACTGAAAAATCCCCCTTTTTTTAATGAATAAAACCCAATAACTCGGAAATGTAAAATCTAAAAATTATAAAAATCGAAAGGGAGCTCATGTCAATTAATATAAACAATTCACCACAATTTCTTGCAAGTTGGTGAAAGCATTCTTGAGTTATTGTCCGAAAACTGGAAAATCCCCCTTTTTTTAATGAATAAAACCCCATAACTCGGAAACGTAAGATCTAAAATTTATAAAAAATGAAAGGGAGCTCACGTCAATAGATATAAACAATTCACCAAAGTTTTATGCAAATTAGTTAAAGCGTTTTTGAGTTAATGTCCGACATGTTGAAGACGGACGGACGGACAGACAGAGGTATACCATAATACGTCCCGTAAAAAACCATATTTTTGTGGATATTTGATTTTGCGGTTTTGCTGAAGTCTGCATACAAGCCTGTAGAAAATTTCTACTTAATTGAACATTTGTGAATTTTTGGTTCACCTATACCCACGAACTCCACAAAAATTAGTATCCCACGAATAATAGTGAATCCACAGAACTTTTAAATTCTAATTTCTTCCTATATATCATATGATCTTTTTTTAAAACTAATATGGCTGTAAGACATGATAAAAACCTTTCTAACAAACATATTTACCCTTAATGTTGATGATGTTGATGCTTTAACTTCTTCCTCTTCTGAGTCTGCAGATTTATCTTCTCCCATCTTTGGTAAAGATCTTTTCTGTAAATTATAACATAAACTATGATTTTTGTTTAAAAAACTGTGTTTGTCCAACACATTTTTTAATATAAGAGATACACTTTTTCCCTACATAAGATTGAAACAATACTTACGGTATATTACTTTAACTCGAAACCTTAACTTGACCAAAAACAATGCAAATATTAAAAGCTAGTAAAAGTAAATGCAACTTCATATATGAAATACCATTCCCTTAGGACAAGCTTTTAACATTTGGTAACATAGTGTAGGTTAAGACATACGGTTGGAGTAGGTTTAGACATATACCATTGGTGTAGGTTTAGACATATCCTTAGTGTAGGTTAAGACATACCGTTGGTGTAGGTTTAGACATACTTTGGTGCAGGTTTAAACATTCCGTTGGTGTAGGTTAAGACATACTGTTGGTGTAGGTTTAGACATACCGTTGGTGTAGGTTTGGACATATCATTAGTGTAGGTTTAGACATACCGTTGGTGTAGGCTAAGACATACTGTTGGTGAAGGTTTAGACATATCATTAGTGTAGGTTTAGACATACCGTTAGTGTAGATTTAGACATACCATTGGTGTAGGTTTAGACGCATCATTAGTGTAGGTTTAGACATACCATTGGTGTAGGTTTAGACATATCATTAGTGTAGGTTTAGACATACCGTTGGTGTAGGTTTAGACATATCATTAGCGTAGGTTTAGACATACCATTGGTGTAGGTTTAGACATACCATTGGTGTAGGTTTAGACATATCATTAGTGTAGGTTTAGACATACCATTGGTGTAGGTTTAGACATACCATTGGTGTAGGTTTAGACATATCATTAGTGTAGTTTTAGACATACCATTGGTGTAGGTTTAGACATATAATAAGGGTAGTTTTAGACATACCATTGGTGTAGGTTTAGACATATCATAAGTGTAGGTTTAGACATACCGTTGGTGTAGGTTCAGACATATCATTAGTGTAGGTTTAGACATACCGTTGGTGTAGGTTTAGACATATCGTTGGTGAAAGTTTAAACATACCGTTGGTGTAGGTTTAGACATACCGTTGGTGTAGGTTTAGACATATCATTAGTGTAGGTTTAGACACACCGTTGGTGTAGGTTTAGACATATCATTAGTGTAGGTTTAGACATACCGTTGGTGTAGGTTTAGACATATCATTAGTGTAGGTTTAGACATACCGTTGGTGTAGGTTAAGACATACATGTTTAGACATACTGTTGGTGTAGGGTTAGACATATCATTGGTGTAGGTTTAGACATACCGTTGGTGTAGGTTTAGACATACCGTTGGTGTAGGTTTACCATATCATTAGTGTAGATTTAGACAAACAGTTGGTGTAGGTTTAGACATACTGTTGGTGTAGGTTTAGACATATCATTAGTGTAGGTTTAGACATACAGTTGGTGTAGGTTTAGACATACCGTTGGTGTAGGTTTAGACACATATCATTAGTGTAGGTTTAGACATACCGTTGGTGTAGGTTAAGACATACTGTTGGTGTAGGTTTAGACATACCGTTGGTGTAGGTTTAGACTTTGTCTCCTCCTCTGAGTCTTCTTCCTCTTCCTCTGATTCAGTTGGTTTGGATAATTTTGATTCAGACTGTTTCTAAAATAAAATTTTTACATTCAGTTTAAATAAAAAAAATCTTCAGAACAAACTAGAGTGAAATAAATTTCAATTCATTATGTAAGTCAATATTTTTTTATGTAAAAATGAAGAATGTCATTGTGATTATAAGCATTGTGTATAAGTTTCATAACATTTATTTGAGGCAAACTAAAGTTAGAGAATGGAAACGACAGATTTAGCAATTTTTCCATTTATAAAGGGGCATAACTCTTGAACGGTAAAAGTGACACCACCCAATTTCAAACTTGATCTGTGTTTTGTGGTAATAAGCATTGTGTATAAGTTTCATAACATTTATTTGAGGCAAACTAAAGTTAGAGAACGGAAATGAAAAATTCAGCAATTTTTATGTGTATAAAGGGGCATGACTCATGATCTGTAAAAGTGACGCCACCCAATTTCGAACTTGATCTGTGAATTGTGAATTGTGTATAAGTTTTATAACATTTGGTCGAGGCAAACTGAAGTTAGAGAACGGAAACCAATTTGGGGGACGTACGCGACAGACGTGACAGAAGGGACAGATGGACAAACGGGAAGGACAAGGGTTTTACTTAATGCCCCCTCCGCTACGGCGGGGACATAAAAATACAAGAGCGATTTGAAAAATGTATATTTATAAAAACAAAAAATGTTTCAGCAAACCTCAAGTAAATCTTGGGAAAAGTCATATAAACAAAGCACATTTAGTGATGCAGTTTTGTTCATTAACTCTCAAACTTTTACAAACTAATGTTTGCAATTAAAATGTATGTGATAACATACAAAATAAACTGCTTCGCTGAGCGCAGCTGGATACGCCCACAGAGGTCCAACCCTGAACAGTTGGGGCCAAAATGGACACAATATTCAAGCTTGATACAGGTCTGAATTTGGATTGTAATTAAATATTTGACATATTATAGGTTTCTGAATAAATGTAGTCAAAGAACTTGAAATTGGTTATATGAATTGAATTCATATTCAATTAAAGATTTCTTGCTGTTGTGCAATACACTGTGCCGTTGCGCAATACTTAGTAAATCTGTTGTCAAGACTATAAACAAATAAAGTTCAATTAATTCTCAATGTCATATGAAATTTATGAAAATGTAAAGGGAGCTTACATCAATAGATATAAACAATTCACCAAAGTTTCATGAGAATTGCTGACAGCATTTTTGAGTTATTGTCTGAAAACTGGAAAATCCCCCCCCCCCCCCCCCCCCCTTTTTTAATGAATAAAACCCCATAACTCAGAAATGATAAATGAAAAATTTATAAAATTCTAAACGGAGCTTACATCAATAGATATATAAAGAACTGCTGAAAGCATTTTTGATTTTTTGTCAGAAAACTGGAATATCCCCCTTTTTTTATGAATAAAACCCTGTAACTCGGAAACGTCAAATCTAAAATATATAAAAACTAGAAGGGAGCTCATGTCAATAGATATAAACAATTCACCACAATTTCTTGCAAGTTGGTGAAAGCATTCTTGAGTTATTGTCGGAAAACTGGAAAATCCCCCTTTTTTTAATGAATAAAACCCCATAACTGGGAAACATAAAATCTAAAATTTATAAAAATTGACAGGGAGCTCATGTCAATAGATATAAACAATTCACCACAATTTCTTGCAAGTTGGTGAAAGCATTCTTGAGTTATTGTCCGAAAACTGGAAAATCCCCCTTTTTTTTAATGAATAAAACCCCATAACTCGGAAACGTAAAATCTAAAATTTATAAAAAATGAAAGGGAGCTCACATCAATAGATATAAACAATTCACCAAAGTTCTATGCAAATTGGTAAAATCGTTTTTGAGTTAATGTCCGACATGTTGACGACGGACGGACAGACAGACAGACGGACAGACGGACAACGGTATACCATAATACGTCCCGTAAACGGGCATATAAAAACTAGTCAATATAAAATGGTTTTTGATTTTGCACAACTTGAATTATTGTAGGAAATTGACCCTTGATTATAAACAAAACATAGGAATACGTACTGTGGGAGTTGGTTTATCTTCTTCTTCTGATGACTCTTCATCTGATTCATCTTCTTTTTCCTTCTTGTCTTCTTTTTTCTATTTTCAAAGTAATAATTTGTCATATGTTTGGTTAATTAACAGCAACAAATATATATTTTTCCAAATTCTCACTTTTTGTTCAGAAGCTTGTGGAAAAATTTGAGACCATAATTTTTGCACTACTCAGGTTTGTTTACATTCTTGTTGCTCATATACTGTTCATAAGGATCTTCTTATTTACACATTTTCTCCAAATATCATATTTGTTGTCAAATTAAAATTTCTATCAAATATCTGGGGGTTTTTCCAACTTATGTTGTCAAATTAAATTTCTACCCAATACCTGTCTTCTTAAATTTTAACAGTTTTTGCCAAATAGATTTTTTTATCCATTTCCATTCTGATGATACTTCTTATCATATCACTTTATTACAGTTTATAGTTTTTTTCAGGACTCTTGAAATTATATAAACAAACAAATAATTATTCTTTCACCACTGTGCTATAATGTTAAAAACGATGACTACCTTCGTTCTAAAATAGCTTCTTGGAAAATCTGAGAAATTATATTTCTGAACTGAAAAGAGTGGAAGAATTTTTACAAACTTCAATATTCAGAAAGACATTGAAAATAAGACTGCAGCTTTAATACTGAAACAAAAGGTTGGAATCAAAACAAGTCTTTATAATAAAAACAGAAGTTTGAAGTAATTGGTTTAAAGCAGAAAAAAAAACACTTTTAATATTGGTAAAACTTTAACTGAATGTCTTCTGTTTTGTATTAATTAATGAGTAGCAAAGTTAGCATAAGAATTACAAAGCATGTTGACTATAAGTCAGAAGTAGAGATTTCAATAAAACATAAAAAGACAAACAAAGTATAGACTTTTCTCTATAATACATATTTTCTTGCAATTATTTGTTACAAGAAATGATAAGTGTTGAAATTAACATGTTTAAGAAAAACTCTGTAAAGAATAAGGTAAACTCATCTGAGTCATGCAGATTAACTTAAGAAATTTGGGTTTTAGAAGAGTTTTGTGATAATTTGAAAACTGTTGACTACTGTACAGCAAACTTCATGCAGAGATCAAGTTTAACATGCAAATAACCTGATATATATACCAGATTTGTCAGAACTACACAAATACACTAACCAGCAGCAATTAAGATGTGGATTAGACCTAATTCCTTTAGATTAAAACCAGAACTAACATAAATTCAGTCTGTAACTTATTTCTGTATACAATGAGACATTCAAGCTAAGAACTTAGAGGGACAGCAACTTTAATAGGATTTTCTGATCATATTTAGTTTTAAAATTCTACAATTTAGTTTTCTTTTTAAATCATATAAAAACTTTTCATGTATATTTATCATCTGAAGGTAACTGAAGGTAGTTTTTACAATAATATTTAAAATTGCAAACCACATTATCACAAAATATTTGTAGGAAAACTTTGACTTTTAACAGCCAGTAACAATTAGAATGATATAATTTAAACATCATAAGATGATTACTATGAACTTTTTTGCAGCAAAGAATGTTAGAAATGAAAGAAAATTTAGAAAAAAGTATATAATGCCATGAAAAAAGAACCTTTTTATTCAAACAACACACAAATGTGATATTAGCGTAAATATTAAACAGACACCCAACAACTTCATGCATTGTAATAAACATTAAAATTCATGCAGTAATACCTGTACATCTTCTAATGGTTTCTGTGTAGAGGGGCGGGGCATTGGGCGTGGTACTGACTGAACCCTGTTTGTTTTGACTTCCTGTTTATATAGGCATTGTGTACAATTAATATTCAGTTAGAACGTTCATTAGCATTTGTTTTGAATTGTAGCACGACTTGAAACATGTTCAAATACACAACACATGTAAATATAATAATACATCTCAATACAAAAAATGTTATTGCTAAAGTTTTGATAATTATATGCTGCAAAAACCCACAACCAAAAGCAGCATACAAAGTAATGCAAGAAAGAAATGATGTATATCTGCTTTTTCAAATATGTTACCATAATTAATCACCTTCAAGCCAATTTTCTCCTCTGTACAAATAAGGACTACAGTTCTTGAAGGGTGTTTCTCTGATTTTTAATTGATTAAAATCTTTCCTTTCCTACTCTTACTTTGTACCAAAAAAAATCAAGTTTAAACAATATTCACTGTCTGAATAATTTGATATATAAATTCTTCACCTGTCCCACACAGAAAATCCCAAGTGGAAAATGTCCTATCAGACTAAAAACAATAGTTATATGTACCTCTATATGTTTATTTACATGGGAATCTTCCTCCTCCTCGTCCTCCTCGGATTCTTCCTCACTGTCCTCATCTTTTTTATGTTTAGATTTATCTCGCTGGTCGACTGTGTTGTGTAGTACTGTAAACATGAACAAATTTCAATAACCATCTAAGAGTGTATTGTTATGTAGATATGTTATTTTTTTGTCCTTGCTTAATAAGCAAAAACTTTTTTGTATTTCGTTCATTTTTTTTTTTTTACATAAATCAGGTAGATAGGTTTTCTCATATGAATTGTTGTACATTTGTTATTTAAGGGCCTTTTATAGCTGACTATGCAGTATGGGTTTTGCTCATTGTTGAAGGCTGTACGGTGACCTATAGTTGTTAGCTTCTATGTCATTTGGTCTCTGGTGGAGAGTTGTCTCATTGGCAATTATACCACATCTTCTTAATTTTATAATTAATGGGCTCTCTTTTCAGTTTATGTTTTTATTGTTTATACTTATGTCCCTGTCACAAAAGACGCTTTCCAATTATTGTTGTAATCTATGAAAACCTATTAACATTAACCTTCAGATTACAGAAAACCTTAAGGAATAAAATTGAGAATGGAAATGGGAAATGTGTCAAAGAGACAGCAACCCGACCAAAGAGCAGAAAACACTTAAAAAATATTTATTATTTTAATTTATGAAAATTTGTCTGAATATGTATCTTCAAAAGAGATATATGAATATTTCTATATGGTATCATATTCTATATTCACTTTTGCCAATGATTATTGAAGTGTACAAGAAATCTGTTTAGTTTTGCAAAAAATCAGTTTAAGACATACTAAATATTAATTACACAAAGCTATGACTGCAACAAATAACTTAAAAACATAACAGTACAAAGCATTTTTTTTTTTACAGCATATTACTTCATGATTTCCTATTTTTTTACAGAATAATTACTTTTGTTTTCACTCTGTACACCATGTATTCTTTCCTTAGCAAGAGGAGTTTCATTGGGTGGCAATGTGGCACTTAATGGTGGTGGCTTGTTGTTATTCAATTCTGGCAACTGCCTCTTGATTATAGATGGACTCTGAAATGATAATTGACATACATGTCATTATGATATTTTCTTTATACAAGTTTTCACATGTGGTAGAATCATAACAGTTCCTAGTGTTTTGGCATTTTGATTTTTACCAATATTTACTTTATTATATAACAAAGTTTATGATTATAGTTTAACCTCCTTCTTCAGCTGAAACGAGTGATCTAAGTAGTTCATCTACTGTATCACTAGCCTGGCAACACTCAGGTTGTCGTATCACCAGAGTAGCATTTCCTTTTAGTATTCTAAATTCTTCAATAAATTTAAAATTCTCTACTTGGTTATATTAAAAGAATATAACTATAAGATATACAAGAAATCTGTGGAACTTGATCACAGATTTAACAACACATGAACTATACACTATAGACTATAGATGTCATATAACAATCACTTATGCATTTTGGTGTCTTCTCTAGTGGCTACAAATTTAACAGGAATATCCATGATTTTTTTTGGTGTCAGATATTTTCACTAGTATTGAGAAAATTTAACAGGAATATCCGTGATGCCCAGTTATGGTGGACAAATAGCGCTGCTCATTTCATTTAGAATCTAGAGTAAAATGTACAGAGAGCTTTTGGATTTTTTGAGAAATAAGGATATTCATGACCACCATCTGAAAATTTTTTATCCAAGAATTGCCCCAGTATTATTCACTGAGCTTTATTTATGACTTCTACCTTACATAACATTACTTACTTTACTTAATGTGTTTTGTCTACGTTTTTCTCTTGCTGTAAAGCTATTATTGAGATCTAACGACCCATCAGCTTTCAGAGATGCGTTTAGTAGATTCTTGTTGACAATTTCTGGAGATTCCTCAGTCTCCTCTTCAGAACTTTCCTCAACCTCTGTTTGTAACCTCTTATGGCCTACTGCCAACATATGGCAACCTCCACACGATACCTGAAATTAAACATTGTAGTTTCAAAATTTCTTTGTTTCATGTACATTATAAACCAAATAAAAAAAATAGGATTGTAGTTATAGAAATTTTAGAAATGAACATAGCCTATTAACTCACAATGGAATAAACAAAAAAGAAGTTTAACATCAATTTATTAACTACACTTATAAATAACTTTTAATATCAATACAAAGAAATGCAGTGGATTTTTTTATATCAGTTAATAAGTGTTGTCAAAAAAATAAATTTAAAAAAATGTCTAATAAAATTCATAATATTAGCAAATATTAAAGAATCTGCACTGATGAATAAATCTTAATGTATAAGCAAAGTATGTACCTGAGTAACATGAAAGTTTTTAAATCTTTCAATTAGCGTAGGAACATAGATATTGCAGTAGCTTTCTTGACCTTGACCTAGTTTACCATGTCTTCCATCTCCAAAGGTGAACAACTGGTCTTTTTCTGAAAAAAAAGATATTCAAAATGCAAATGGATTTGTAGAATATTTTGCATAAGATTTTTTTGTTTGGTGAAATAAATCAATATGAATATATCTTTATTTCTTTATTTCAAACTCAAATTTATTTTTGTTTAATCCCAGTTTTTATGTGACATAGATTGCTATTGTTTCAGTTCTTCAGTTTTGACTATTGTAAATATGAATTGAAAAAAAAAGAAAATTTGAAAACAAACTTAATAACACAAATTCACAAAACAAGACAATCCTTGCCAATATTGCTGACAAGGGACAGCCACAAAAATAATCTTATTTTTTCTTAATACTCAACACTTTCTTCTTATTTATTTTAGTACTGATCCTATTACTTATCTCCTATAATTTACTATGACATTTGAAATTCTAAAAATGTTTTGAAAAATATACCGAAGTAAAATTTCCTTGAACTAACTTCCTCTATACAATATGTGAACAATTCTTGCCTTACAAAGTTTGAAAATAGAAATTCCCCCAAAAATAAGAAATACAGTGAAGATTACCTGATATAAGTGCTGTATGACTGTCTCCACATGAGACTTGTTTGATTTTCTGTTTACAAAATATTTGTTTTGGTGATGGTGTTTCCAGAGTTCTTGTTCCATGTCCCAACTGACCATTGTTACCATCACCAAAGGAATAAGCTTTACCAGATTCTGAAAAAATGACAATACTTTAGTTTTTAACTTTCCACATATACTTATCTTGTATATAAATGGAGAATGTGTCCATGGGACACAGATGATGCCCTGGCTTGCATATAACATTATAAAGGGACATAACTCAAGAACAGTAAAAGTGACGCAACCAAAATTCGAACTCAATCTGTGTTTTGTGGTAATAAGCATTGTTTATATGTTTCATAACATTTGGTTGAGGAAAACTAAAGTTAGAAAACAGAAACTAATTTTGGGACGGACGTACGAACCTACGTACATACGAACAAGTATAACACTTAATGCCCATTTTTTCTTAATTTTTTTTAACCAGAAGTTGATAATCCATATTCTTAAATTAAATGTGATTTTAACACATCAAAATGGCACATATTACTTTAATTTAATCTATTTTTTTGGGTTGATATGACTATGTGAAGACTGATAGCCCCCATGTTTACCATTTACCCAGTGTTTCAGTATTGACAATAAACTTGTCATAAACATTTCCAAAAAGTCTCAAGTGTTAAATTTTGTAATTTTTTCAAAAATAAAGTCAATCCATAAATTAGCACAGAATAGACCATAACCAGTAAGTTTGGTTTACTTTGATGACAATAGGTCAATACAATTCATAACTTTTTTAAAAATAGAAATTGTGGCCTAACTATAGGTAACTGTCTTAAATGTGACAGACCTTGTGGAGGTCTAAGGAATATCTTTTACATCATACTTTAATGATAATTTGTAAATCATACAATAAGGCATAAGTTCACCAAAATTTGTACTAAGAAAGAAACTTGGACATTGTCATTTTAGAAAACTTTGTCCCAGTAAAACAAAAATGAATTAAAAATGTAAAATGTCTACACGATTATGTTTTGGTAGTGATTTTTACATTTGTCATTAATTACCCAAATATGGATGTACAAAAGTACTGACACAGGAAATGGAAAACTTAAAAAATTGTTTTTTTTGTAAATGTAAAATGGTTTGTTCAATCTAGCAAGAACTAAAACTAATTTTACCTAATAAAACAACTGTATGAGTATTCCCACAAGATACTTGTTTGGCTTTCTCTGGAAGTTCCACTTTTGTAGGTACAAATGCTTTGATATCTCCATCCCCTAGTCCTAACTTGCCTCCATCACTCTCACCAAATGTGTACAATTCACCGGATTCTGGAATTAAAAAAAAGATAGCTGTAAATGCTCATTCAAATCAAATGTTCCATAGTAAAAACTTAAGCATATTTTCAATTCATGTTGGCATGGTCATTTTTAACTAAAGGAAAACACACAAGTTTACTCTAAACGAATCAAATACAAACTATTTATAACAGAATGCCCATACATGGATAGCTTTCACAATTAAAAAAAGTTTAAAATAAGAGAAACTAAAATTTAACTATCCTTTGTAAACAAAAGATGTAAAGCAACAAGCATTCTGAGAGTATTGCATGGCAATACATAGTCCCCTACCGGGTAAAAATTCATTATACTGGAACAAAATGCTAACTTGTTCTATAACTTGTCATGATGTAAACAAAAAGAAAATATCAAGTCAATATCTTCAAGCATGACTAAAAACAGTGTGGAAAACTGAATATATGAGTGAATTTTTTCAAGTCCAAGGACCATAACTCTGCACAAAATTATCAGACCGAAACAAAAATTTGAACTTGATCTGTAACTTGTCATGATAAAACTATTTACCAATTATCAATCAATATCTTCAAGCATGATGAAAAAAAGTGTGAAAAACCTATAACACTCTAACATTAGATATGATGTAATAAAATGTATATCTATTTTCAAATTACAATCAAATATAATTAATAGTTCAAAATATTTTTTCTTTCATTTGTCACAAACTAATATAGATTTGTAACTTACCTATAAAATGTCAACAACTTTTATCTACACAATGTAATGTAATGAAATATATACCTTAATAAAAATAGATTATTATCTAATTAAAGGATTTCACTTAATAAAAAAAAATATATATATATATACATGTAGCATTCAGAAAATTAGTTTATACAAAATAACATATAAACCTGCCACAAAATTCCTCAAACAATTTTCCAAAGAATGTCTTTTAAAAAATGAGTTATCTCCCTTTGTACAGATTATATGGTTTAACATAGTACTCTAACATTAGTTATGGAGTTTTTTCATGGACCATAACTCTGGACTAAATCATCAGACCGGAACAAAATTCGAACTTGATCTATATCCTGTCATGATAAAACTATATACCAAATATCAAATCTGATCAATATCTTCAAGAACGAAGAAAAAAAATGTGGAAAGCTGAGTTGCCGGACTGACGGATGGACAGACGGACGGACAGACAGACGGACAGAGTGCAAACCTAAAGTCCCCTTCAACTTCGTCGGTAGGGGACTAAAAAGCAAAATACATGTATCTAGTTTAGCCTGTGTAACAAGATAATAACATATTTAAAAAATAAAAATTCCTTCAAAGGGGTTGCAAGCCTATTGGATCACTACAACTGTATGGTTATAACCAAATGACAGACATGTGACTATATTCTTACTAGTCACTACAGCTGTATGGTAATAACCACAAGACAGACATGAGACTTTTTTCTTAAAATCTATCACAACAGCAGGGCCTAATCTAGGATTTTGAAGAGGGAGAAGTGACTTCTCCTTCCATGAGAGAGAAGGGAGAAGTGGTCAACTTCTTGGAGAAGTGAGATTCCATTACCGTTTCGGTTGCATCGTGTTTTCATGCTTATCACATGTATCACTAAGGAAATTGTTCAAGTTATATTCAATAAAGATATACTTGCAGTTTTTTCATATGTTATTGTACACAATGTATATATATATATAGAAAGTTCTTAATAAAAAGGTTTAGACAATATATAGTTGTTATTTATTTATTGATACCATAATGTGTTCTAAATAAAATTTGTTGATTGGGACATGAAGGAGTAGCCTAGTAATATTATCAAGATTATGATGCATTAAATTCATGTGCATCTGCCTCAATTTATTTTTAAAACTCCAGAAAAATATGACTCCCAGTTTACCTGATGAATTTCACATGACTGGGAATTTAACTTGTCATTATTTTGTAAAACATTATTGAATGTCCAGCACATTTATGTTAGTTGAAAATTAAGATTATTGTTAAAGATTGTAAGTCTATAAATAAAAATATCTTTCAATCGCAAAATAATTATCCGTTAAAGAGCTAATTTCTATCATTTTTTAAAAAATATCATCCATATCAACGAAGTGGTCATGAGAAAAAATCCACTGCTGATTACTATCTGGTCGAGTGTCGTACGTTTGCAATCACATTATCCATCAGCTGTCTTTCTACCTTTTATATTTCAATTTTTATTCAATGAATATAATAAATCTACCTTTAGTTTCCACCCTTTACCTACCGTAAAGTAAAATTGATCGACTCGTGTAGGTAATAAAAATAAAACAAATCAGCTGAGTGATTACGCAACATCCTCAGATTAAAATCATCGTAAAACGATAACTTAAACAGGCGGTCAGTATTCCGTTTGAACAGTTTTGAAAGTTATATCCGAGGATGTTCAAAGTCGCCGTTGTATTTATCTAATTTGATCGTTTATAGTATTAGTCCTGGGTCGTTTTGAAAATCTCGATTTTCCTTGTCAGCCGCCATTTTTTTACCTGTGAGACTTGTCAATCACAAGTTGTCTCCCTTTTACCGATTTTGATAGCGATTTGACTTCGCTATGAAGTCAGTCGGCCGGCGAGATTTAGCGATTTTCAAAATTCTTTGGCGACTTAAATCGTCATTTCGCCGGCAAGATTATGGCCTGAACAGCTTTATGGTAATAACCATATGACAGACATGTGACTTTATTCTTACCTGTCACTACAGCTGTATGGTAATAACCACACGATAGACATGTGACTTTGCCTTCTATATCTAACAGTTGTGGCTGTGGACATTCTGTTTCATCCCCAAGACCAAGTTGTCCTTCACTTCCACCTCCCCAAACATACACTTCACCATCCTCTGTAAAAAAATCATTGAGCTATTCTATTGTTTTCAGGATATATTAAAAGCTAAATTTACAAAAATTAGATAACATTTTACAGAAAGAATATCCAAGTTCAAAGTGTTAACACTTTCATTGCCATAATACTATACAGTCTTAAAATTTGATGATGTAGACAGATGGACTAATATTATCAATTTTTTTTCTGTGGCAGCTTCTTTGAAAATTTATCCCAAAAACCTTTATATCTTTACTCATTTATATGGGTTTGCAGCTTAAAACAGAAGTGTCATGCTTATTTTTATCACAATGGGAAGTACAGTATGATTTCTGCTGCTGTATCTTGTCTATTTTTATTACTGTGGGAGGTAACATTTGAGATCTGCTGCTGTCTTGCCTATTTTCATTACAGTGGAATGTAACATTTGAGATCTGCTGATGTCTTGCCTATTTTTATTATGATGGGATGTAACATTTAAGATCTGCTGATGTCTTGCCTATTTTCATTACGGTGGAATGTAACATTTGAGATCTGCTGATGTCTTGCCTATTTTTATTACTGTGGGAAGCAACATAGGAGATCTACTGCTGTCTTGTCTATTTTTATTACAGTGGGATGTCACATTTGAGATCTGCTGTTGTCTTGTCTATTTTTATTACGTTGGGATGTAACATTTGAGATCTGCTGATGTCTTGTCTATTTTTATTATTGTGGGAAGTAACATATGAGATCTGCTGCTGTCTTGCCTATTTTTATTACCTTGAGCACTGCACATAAATAATAAAAAAGGGGTACCTGCTTTTAGTTATCAGCTTCTCTTACTGTGTTCAACCAAAAGCCTTCAAACTTTCAAAACTTTGCAAATTTTTCAAATAGTGAAAGGAAGTAAATTTTCAACAACATTTTATATAGAGTGTTTTTATTTTATGTAATCAACTTCTCCTCAAGTTTCAATTTACAGCCTTCAAATTGTATAGAATGTATAAAGCTTTAGAGTCTGCCAGAATAATGTATAGCCTTACTGGAACATAACAAAAATGTATTGCAAAATAGACCTATTTTGTGTTGTTGGCTTACTGTCTAATTGACACTGACTCCAACCTGCTTTAAATTATATTAACAACAAAAATCATGATATATTTAACAGTTTAAGATATCAACCAATCTACATCATATTGTTTTACCTGTCAATGCTGCAGAGTGATCTGCCCCTGCTGACAACTGTTTATATTTATGTGTAGATATTCCTGTTATTTCTCTAGGTTCATTACTACTAGAACAATCTTCTATACCAAGCTGGCCTTCTGAATTAGCACCAAAGGAATAAAGTTTACCAGATTCTGAAAAAAGACAAAAATTCAAATTCAATTGTAAATCCTGATTATTATAAAATATGATCAATACATTGTCTGATATATTCATCTGACGATTCCTAATCAACCAAAAACCTAATATGAGTAGAACATTTGCTTTCTCTTTATTTTGTCTTTGTCTGAAATGCAAACATTTCCTGAATTTTGTACTTTAAACATATCAGATATATACCACTATGGTTCTATTTTCAGTTTTATCTATTCATTCATGTTTTATGGGTCTTTGTATGGCATCAATGCAGTTCATTCTTTCCTGTTCTCTACTTCTTTTGCCACTCTGAAGGAATAAAACAACAGTTGACACAATAAATATGGCTAAATGCTCTTGTCAGCTCACAGGTCAAATGAATCTGTCATTAGCAAATGTTCATGTATAGGTACATGTAGTTAATTCACATACAAATATTTTCCACTTTTCAGGTAAACTTCTGAGCTACTTGTTAAATCTAAAGTCTTTAATGAACACTTGAAATGAGGTCAAGGCCATATGACATATTTCAGAGGCATATGTTCATCACAACTACCCAACTAGCAACTATTGTTGACCTATTATATGCATAGATAAAAACCAGGGGTTGAACGTTTTTCTAGCCAGGTATATACCAAGGACTGTATAAATAGAGGCAAAAGTGAAAATTAAACTTCAAATGCAATTCAGGGTAGATAGTAATGCTGCATACTTGTATGAACCTACTCATGAGAAACTATAGTTTCATATATGAACCTACTCATAAGAAACTATAGTTTCAATCTTAAAATAGTTCTTACCATTTTGAGACATTTCAAGGTGAATTACTCCAAAACAGTAATGATGCAATTGGATTTCACCAGCATTTCATGGTACATAGTAATGTAGCAAAAGGCAAGTCCTACTCCTAAGCATCTGATGACATATAGTTTTTGATGGACAGATGCTGACACAGACATTACGCTTCAATAACTTTTTGGGGAGCATAAAATCAAACATAAATCCTTTTTTTTCTATGTATATGAAATCTTAAAATTTCAGTACACTGAACAAAAGTCTGGCCATCATATTCGTGTAGACATTTTACATTTTCAATTCATTTTTGCCTTACTGTGACAAAATTGTCTAAAATGACAATATCCCATTCTTATCAAAAATTCCTGGTGTGATTGTGCTAAAATCATGAAAATGTTCCTGTCATAATTACCTGTAGCTACTATTGTATGGACTCTACCACATGCCACTAAATAACTTTTTTCTTGTTTCAATTCTGTAAAATACAGGAAAAGAGTACAAAAATTACAATCATTCTCTACAGCTAGGTGACAGAAGTAAATAAAGCAAACTTCTATAATACACAGGTTTAAAAAAGCAGGTTTTAAGGGGTGACAGACATTGACTATTAATAAAATAGCTGATCTTTTGAATTCAAATCACTGTATCATATAATAAAATGAACAACACTTCACGAAAAATAAATGCACTTATTAACCCCAAAACAATACCAAAAGTGTAGTTTTAACTAATGCATTAAATAATGAATCAACAGCTGGCCAAAATACAACTACATATTACAACCACAAAAAATCTAGAGGTTGAACAAATACAGCCCCATGATAATATCTGAATAAATATAGATGTAGAGCTGTAATTCTATGGAAACTGTGCTATTTCAATTTGAAACTACTGAGAAGAACACAATATAGTTCTAAATTCAACTAGCTGACTGACTTACTTTTAACACAAGTTGGTTTGTATGCAGGCTTTGTATGATCTAGCCCTAACTGTCCCCAGTCATTAGCACCAAAGGTAAAAACTCTTCCTGTTTCTGCAAACAAAGAAACAATTATCTCTTATAACTATTATAAATAAACTGTATTGTATGTTCTGTAAAAAAATGGCATGGCAATAAAAAGTCAGTTCATTTTCTTCCTGGTAAAAGAGGATTTCAGACTTTAGTTGTCAGTATTCATCTTAAATATATACAATGTATATACATTGATGTCGGTACAGGTAATTATACTTAACAAGTCATGTTTACTCTATATGTAGATGTTTCCTATCTGGTATAAATAATTTAAAATGACTTACTGTAACATTACAAAACTACTGAATTTTATTCTCTATTTTTAACCTGCAGTGTCAAATTATATACAGATACATGATTTGTATATTGAGTCACAGTAATCTACATCTCCCAAAAAATCTTAGTTAATTTGAAGCATATTGGTGTAATGGAAAGTTTATTTTGAAAAACCTATGAATTTTTTACATGGTAATCTATATTTTCTCATCATGCTGCCTAAGATCAATAAGTATAGTATATAATACAGTTACTGTACCTGTATGGAAAAATTACTTAGTAATATAATAATTAGCATATGTGACAGAAATGAGTTAACCAATTTTATCATAAAATCATTTCTACTCATTGCCACCATTCCAGTACTTTTACTTGTACATTTGTGTATGTATCCTGCATGCTTATTCATAAAATGTCTTATTTTATTTAGCATGTTTATCATATATTTAATCTGTATAAGAAATTAAACTAAAATAAATGAAATGATCACTTTAAAGGGTTGAACTAGTTATTTTTTTATGGAAAATAACTTTCTTAAGGTTTTTGATTAACCAGGTAAATATTGATGAGTTATATGACTATGGACTTGCTAAATAAAGCCTAGATAGGCATAGTTTGGTCTGTGATATCTTATCACAAATGGCAGGACTTGGTAGATAAAGCCTGGATAGGTATAGTTTGGTCTGTGGTATCTTATCACAAAAGGCAATCATCATGATTATGTGAAGGAAAAACATATTTGTAAACCTTTCATATGCACTTAAAGCTTCTGCTATACAATGTATGCAAATTTGTTTAACACTGAATTACTTGAGTTTTTTTTGCATAAATGATTTTAATAAAATGCTCCGCAGGGCGCAGCTTGATACGACCGCAGAGGTAGAACCCTGAACAGTTGGGGCAAGTATGGACACAACATTCAAGCTTGATACAGCTCTGAATTTGGATTGTGATTAAATATTTGACACAGCATAGGTTTCTGACACAGAATGAATGTGGTCTAAGAACTTAAAAATTTTAAATTGGACATTCACCTATTATGGTCCAATATCCAAAATCTAAATACATGGTTAGATTCAGCATATCAAAGAACCCTAAGAATTCAATTTTTGATGAAATCAAACAAAGTTTAATTTTGGACCCTTTTGATCTCAATGTGGACAAAAATGATAACAGGGCCCAAAAATCAAAAATCTAAATACATGGTTAGATTTAGCATATCAAAGAACCCCATATATTCAATTTTTGTTGAAATCAAACAAAGTTTAATTTTGGACCCCGATTTGGACCAACTTGAAAACTGGGCCCATAATCAAAAATCTAAATACATGTTTAGATTCAGCATATCAAAGAACCCTAAAAATTCAATTTTTGTTAAAATCAAACTAAGTTTAATTTTGGACCCTTTGGACCTTTATGTAGACCAATTTGAAAACGGAACCAAAAATTAAGAATCTAAATACACGGTTAGATTCGGCATATCAAAGAACCCCAATAATTCAATTTTTGATGAAATCAAACAAAGTTAAATTTTGGACCCTTTGGACTTCAATGTGGACCAATTTAAAAACGGGGCCCAAAATCCAAAAACTTAATACACGGTTAGATTCAGCATATTACAGAACCCCATATATTCAATTTTTGTTGAAATCAAACAAAGTTTAATTTTGGACCCCGATTTGGACCAACTTGAAAACTGGGCCCATAATTAAAAATCTACATACATGGTTAGATTCAGCATATCAAAGAACCCCATATATTCAATTTTTGTTGAAATCAAACAAAGTTTAATTTTGGACCCCTATTTGGACCAACTTGAAAACTGGGCCCATAATCAAAAATCTAAATACATGGTTAGATTCAGCATATCAAAGAACCCCATATATTCAATTTTTGATGAAATCAAACAAAGTTTAATTTTGGACCCTTTTGATCTCAATGTGGACAAAGTTGATAACGGGGCCCAACAATCAAAAATCTAAATACATGGTTAGATTCAGCATATCAAAGAACCCCATATATTCAATTTTTGTTGAAATCAAACAAAGTTTAATTTTGGACCCCGATTTGGACCAACTTGAAAACTGGGCCCATAATCAAAAATCTAAATACATGGTTAGATTCAGCATATCAAAGAACCCCATATATTCAATTTTTGTTGAAATCAAACTAAGTTTAATTTTGGACCCTTTGGACCTTTATGTAGACCAATTTGAAAACAGAACCAAAAATTAAGAATCTAAATACACGGTTAGATTTGGCATATCAAAGAACCCCAATAATTCAATTTTTGATGAAATCAAACAAAGTTAAATTTTGGACCCTTTGGACCTCAATGTGGACCAATTTAAAAACGGGGCCCAAAATCCAAAAACTTAATACACGGTTAGATTCAGCATATTAAAGAACCCCAATTCAAGAATAAAACCCCATTGAAATTGATCAAGAAATAAGCAATTTATACGAAGTATCTTCTTTTGCACAATACTGTGCAATTGATTATTTCTTGCTATTGCGCAATACTGTACAATTGACAATTTCTTGCTATTGCGCAATATTGTGCTATTGGATATTTCTTGCTATTGCGCAATACTGTGCAATTGAAGATTTCTTGCTATTGCGCAATACTGTGCAATTGAAGATTTCTTGCTATTGTGCAATACTGTGCAATTGAAAATTTCTTGCTATTGCACAATACTTATTATATAATAATTTACACATCCTGTTTGGTGTGTATCTCCTACCATATCATTATTATTTGCTTTTAAATATAAATCAGAAATAACCAACTTAAAATGGAAAATTTTAAAAGAAAAAAAAAAGGAAAAAAAGAAAAAAAAAAATCCCCCCCCAAAATTTTTTGAACCCCCTTATGATTCATCACCCCCAAACTCAATCTCAGCCTTCCCTTTGTGGTATGGTACCTTGCAGTACAATTTCAGAGAGATCCATACACTTGAACACAAGTTATTGCCTGGAAACTAGAAAAATGCTTATTTTTGGCCCCCAATTCCTAAACGTTTCGGGCAATTACCCCCAAACTCAATTCCAGCTTTCCCTTTGTGATATGGAACCTTGTAGTACAATTTCAGAAATATCCAAACACTTACACACAAGTTATTGTCATGAAACTAGAAAAATGCTTGTTTTTTGCCCCTTTTTTGGCCCCTAATTCCTAACATTTTGAGGCAATTACCCCCAAAATCAATTACAGCCTTCCCTTTGTGATATGGAACCTTGTGGTACAATGTCAGAGAGATCCATACACTTACACACAAGTTATTGTCTGGAAGTTACAAAAATGCTTATTGTTGGCCCCTTTTTGGCCCCTAATTCCTTAACTGTTGGTACCATAACCCCCAAAATCAATCCCAACCTTCCTTTCATGGTATTGAACCTTATGGTAAAATTTCATGGAGATCCATTCACTTAAACTAAAGTTAGAGTGCGAAAACCAATGTGTCTTCGGACGACGCCGGACGACGACGACGACGACGACGACGCCAACGTCATACCAATATACGACCAAAAAATTTTCAATTTTTGCGGTCGTATAAAAAGCGGTCCTGTCTTTCAGAACTTTCTTTAAATGACCACATAAAAGTTTAAAAGTATCCTTAATATATATATATACTAACCATTAACTATAGCTGTATGCTCGTCACCACAAGCAACGTGTAATACTTTATCATTTTTTACCCAAAATTTGCTTGGTAAATTGTCTGCAAACTTGCTCTTTCCAAAGGTAAACACGCCCCCTGTTTCTGCAATATAAAGCAAGGTGAGTGTTAATTATCAACAAACATTTTTGTTGTTGTAGACATCAACAATAACAGGTCCTATCTGACTCAGCACGACTCATTATATGCATTATAGTGTAGTCTGAATACAAGTCTTATGCAATCTTTATTTAACAATTTTTTTCTTTGGCTAAAATTTACAGTCAAGTGTCATATCTAAGGAGTTAGTTGCAATATTGAATTGTTGGAAACACAATGATCGATTCATACACTATAATTGAAAATAAAACAGCACCAACTATTATCCAAATTTGAATAGTTTAAGCACATGTACATGTAACAATTTTGAAAGTTTCATTTGCATGATGTCATGTTTTGCCATGATGTTTATGCACCAAAAACATCATGAATTTTTGTAGTATTTTATTTTAAATTTACGTTTTTTTTTTAAGCTCAAAAGAATTATTTCATTTGTTATGTATTAGAATAGATATAACAGTACTGTACATGAACATCTTTGTAGTTGACGAGTTGTCACCTTCATTTAGGGATTTGACAGTAACAAATGTCCACTTTGTTGGCTCCCATCACCAGTAAAACAGCCTTTAAAACAGTTATCCCTTATTGACAGCGACAACTTTTCAACTAAAGTATTTCATTCCTTCATTAAAGGAGATATGGTTAGCATAATTAAGACTGGTTTATTTTGATGACCATGTAATATACACCTTATCGCTATTTGTCCGCCATTACTGCACATCACACAAGTTCCCGTAAAATTTTGACGTCATAATAGAAAATGTCTGACGCCACAATGGAAAAGTGATTGTTGTATGACGTCAAAAGTTCGAGCGGGACAGATTCTCGGGTCAAGCGGGAATAGCGATAAGGTGTATTCAAACATGTCAACTGAATAGATTTTAACACTCAAAATATATGTAGTTTCAATAATTATCTGTATATAACATGTACTCTTTAAAAGAATGGTAATTTAAACCGATTATCCAACACTTCTGTCATAACTTTTGAGTTATTGGCAAACTTAAGAGGGTCTTGGTAGTGGGTTGGGGAAGGGGTTTAGGTCATCATTTTCTGTATTCTTTATTTTTTATACAAATTTTCTCTATTCAGTAATTCTGCATATTCAAGCACCAACTATTTGCACTTCTTCATTAATTGCCCATTTTTTCTCTTCTTTATTTTTAATTTTAAAACATTTTATCTATTCTGTAACATATACAGACCATAACTCATTATCAGGACAGGAACATTGATCAATTAATAGAGTCATTATACAAGTCCCATTAGTCCCTGTTTTCAGATATACACAATAAAATAAAAACATACAATACATGTACATGATATATGTATCTTTTGAAGAAAAACAGCTGTTTTGTTTTAATCTTTATCTTTATATTTTTATTTGTATACTAATGGAATACTGACAAAGAAAATAAAAGGACACATGTCTTTTCATATATTCAACCCTATGGTAGGGGTTTTTCTGAGTATTTTGGGAAAAAGGATCCTGGGCAGTTTTGGGAATTTTTCATGCAATTTTCAAAGAAATTAGGAAAACCCACCAAATATACCAGATGTGAGTTTTAATGTGTATAGTTCGTTAGAAATTATCTTTTTTTGTGAAAATAAAGTAAGAAACTATAGCAGCTGGCGGTGTTTCTGGCTCCAACGGTTAGGAGCCAGAGCAGACCCTGCAATTCTTGTGTCATTTCAAAATGTTATGATAGCCTTCCAAGGAGTCATAATTATTTGGGCTAATTATAAGTAATTATGAAATTTTCATGCTGAAGTTAGGGAACAGGTGAGCAACATGCAAGATGAGACATGAACCGATGATCATTCTGAAAAATAAGACGGAACCCATTATCAATGGAGTGAACTTTTCGATGTATTTTATTGTTTTTGTACTAATGCTAGTGTGCATTTGTAAACAAAATGTAAACAAAATAGAACGCAAATAGTTCTACCTGGAACATCGGAATCATCTTCGGCGGCCATGTTTGTATCCTAAACAACATTTCAATTACCCGGATGTTGTAAATAGTGCTCCATTGATAATTCGTACCTATGTCAACTCGTACCACAAAAAGCAAACTCGTACCTTCTTATTTGAAGGCACTCAAATGGTGTTAAATGTTGAATATATGTTTCAATTTAACCGAATAACTCATAAGTCTGTAAACAGTGTGATTTGAAAGTCACAACATTTGACCAATTTGAAAATATTTGGGAATGGAAAGGGGAAGTTTTCAAATTTTCAATACATCAGATAGGGGGGGGGGCTTCCAATTTTTTTAACAAGATGTGAGAAGTTCTGTATTCAAACATGCAAAAATTATAGCTAGTTTGATGAATACTCTTAAACATTATCTTGATTATTCAACAGAAGTGTCTACCACTCGATTCAGATGTCATATCTATATCTCTTGTGTCATCATTTTTGGCTTTAACTTCATTTCAATGTTTTATGGATGTGAGTCATGACTTTATCTTCTGTTTGTTTATTGGACATAAAGAATGATAATAATAGGGAATGATGGTTTGATGTTTTGCAGGTTTTCTAGAAGGTTTTCTTTGTATTATATCCCTTGCCATATAATTAAAACACTGTCAATATTTACAGTTGTTTCCTTACATGATTAATATCTTTAACAAAACATTTGATTTTCAGAAAACAACAACAGAAAAAGTAGCAAAAATTATTAACAAAATTAACATTAAAAAAGCTACTGGAGTAGATGGCATACCAGCAAAAGTAGTGAAACATTGTAAACCGATAATTGTGCCACAGTTAACAACACTTATAAATCTATCTGTAGAAACTGGAGTATTTCCTGATAGACTCAAGTAGGCTCAAGTAACACCACTGCACAAGAAAAACAACCAACTTGACAAAGCCAATTATAGGCCTGTCAGCGTTCTACCAATTTTTTCTAAAATTTATGAAAAGGTTTTTGAAATTCAACTTTGTGATTTTTTTTAAATTATTTTTCATCCCTATCTGTGTGCTTTTAGGCGTGGCCATGGGTGTCAGACCACACTGTTACGACTGCTAGAAGATTGGCGTGCAGCATTAGACAAAAACCAGTATATAGCTGCTGTTTTAATGGACCTTTCAAAGGCTTTTGATTGCCTACCACATGAAATTCTGCTTGATAAATTATCAGCATATGGTGTCTCTGCTCATTCTATTTCACTACTTAAATCTTATTTGACAAACAGGAAACAACAAATTAAAATAAATAGTATTCTTAACAGTTGGGCTGACATTCATAAGGGGGTTCCCCAGGGTACTATCCTGGGCCCCCTACTATTCAATGTTTTTATCAATGATATATTCTTATTTATAAAAAATGGAACTCTGTATAATTATGCAGATGACAATACTTTATCTTACTGTAGTCCTGATTATGATGTTTTGATTTCTACTTTGGAATCTGAATCACTCAAACTTATTGAGTGGTTCAAAATAAATAAAATGCAGGCAAACCACGACAAATTTCAGGTCTTAGAAGTTGGGAAAAAGACATATAACAAAAATCCATCTTTACGTATCCAAAGTGCTGATCTTTCGTGTGAGTCAACTGTCAAATTACTTGGCATTGACATAGATTATCAGCTAAATTTTGATATTCATATTGGTAAAATATGCAGGAAGGCATCTCAGCAACTAAATATTTTGAAACGTTTGGGAGCTTATCTGAACAAGCTAAGTAAGCTTACTATTTTCCATACATTTATTTTGTCAAATTTCATTTTTTGCCCTTTGGCATGGCATTTTTGTACCGAGAACAATTCAAAAAAATTAGAAAAAGTGCAAGAAAGAGCACTAAGGTTTGTGTACGAAGACCATTCAAGCTCATATCAACAGTTGCTTGAAAAGGCTAAGATGCCTTCACTGCATATTAAAAGGCAAAGATCAATGGCAATTGAAACTTTTAGTATAGTCAATAAATTAGCACCTGTCTGTTTACATGATTTATTAAATGTAAAAGATTGTAAATATTCTTTCAGATATAGTAATATACTGGATATACCACAAGTAAAAACTACACAGTTTGGTTTGGTAAGAAAAGTTTGAAATTTGCAGCTGCTACTCTGTGGAACAGCCTACCTGACCATTTCAGGACTGAAAATAGTTTTTCTCAATTTAAGAGCCTTATACAGTCTTGGAATGGTTCAAAATGTTGTTGTTCTGCTTATAGATAAGCTTTTTCATATTTTAGAAGTTGCTCTAACATGTTATTATGCCTTAAATTTTTGCATGTGTGCTATATTTTATTTGTGCTTAATTTTAGTTGTGCTTAAATTTTAGTTGTGCTTCAGCTTTGCCTTAGATATGTATTTTAGTAGTGCTTTGCATGTATTTCAATATGCCTGTGCTGTTATATATCCTGTCTGCATGTTGTGTGTTTTAATGTTGTGTTTGTGTTACCTTATATTCGGTAAAAAGCTCTTAAGAGCTTATGTTTGTATTGTTATATGTGAACCGAATCAAAATAAAACTTTCGTATTCGTATTCGTATGATCGTAAAACTCGTGATTGATAAAATTGAGAATGAGCATATATTTCAATGGTTCAAGATGATATCTAGGAGTCAAGTGTGGAATTTTTAATATGTCTTTATATGAATAATTTTCCATTATGACTCGAAGATGTGGAGTCAGGTGACCCACACCCAATGCTTCCCGTTACACTTTAAAAAAAATATATATATGTAGGACTCTGAACCGCGATGGCACTCCGAACCGCGATGGTCACGCTGATGTGCGATGGTAAGACGATGAAGTACGTTTTTGATCACGCTGAAGTGCGATGGTGGCATTGTTACGATATCTTGTTGATAGCTACGCCGAAGTACGATGGAGGTTACGCTGAAGTGCGATGGGTTACATAAACTATATTTTTAGTGTTTTTCATGTTCACATGTCGATGAAGAAGTAAATATGTTTGCTAGAAGCAGCTTTATTGTTTATTAAGTAAATCATCAAGAATATTTCCAGTCATAATTGTAACGTTGTAGTTTACTTTGGACACAAAGAAGTCAACATTCATACAGACGCTACATGCAAAGATTTTCTTTCCATTAAAACCAGTACTTATTTCAATGACTGAAAATGTGATAGCTGTTTAAAACGCAATATAATAAGTGCCTAATGAACTTATCACCGTATGTGGTTTTTACTGCAACTAGAGAAAATATGGAATGTTTTTGTATATCCAACATGAATACAAGTAAATAAATTCTTAATACTAACGGTAAAGGGAAATGATTAGTAAACAGGGGAAATTTAACCTCATGTAGCAGATACTTTTTCGAAATTTACAGAAGTTTTGTTTTTTACGTACGATAGTGCTTGGAAATCTCTAACTACATAACACACATAGTAATCTCAGATGAGGGGAACATATTAAAGATAAACTGTCAAAGCAAACTTAACGAGCTCTCATTTAGTGTGAAATGATAACTAAGGACATATATAGACCATCGCACCTCAGCGAACAGACCATCGCACTTCAGCGTGACCATCGCACCTCCGAATCCTACATATATATTTTTTTTATATAATTTTTTTTTTTATGAAATTACAGGTATAAACATATATTTATCTTGTGGCACAATAATCCGGCAAGTGAAATAAATAAGCATAATATTATAAATAAGCATAATATGGTATAACAGTATGTAATCTATGGATTAAGCATGATAATAACACATTTTCATTAATATAATAATAGTACTAATGTATAATAATGCAAGATCATATATGAACATACATAATGGTATAACAGCATTTATATACATTTAAATATACATATACACATAAAATATACACACGTATGTACAAGGATTTACACCATTAAAATTCTACAGTGACCTTAGCCCAGGGGTTCCAGTACAAGTTACATTCTTCCACACTAAATTTTTTTAAAGAAATATGTTTTTCTAAAATCGAGTTTTCTTTAATGTAATTTTGAAGTCCTTTTATATGAGGTTTTACATCTTGCATCTTAGATCAGTAAATGAAGGACTTTGTCTGTAAAATATCTTTATTTTTGATAAAATTCAATTTATAATTTTCATAGAGGCCAAACATATCAATATCCAAATTTAGTGGAATTTAATAAGTACTATATCAAAAATCAAAGAATTCAGATTGTGCCAGATGTCGGCTACAATATGAAAACCCCAAAGTAAATGCTCTATAGATTCTGGCTCTTCCTTGCAAAATGTACATACATTACAGTTTACAAGGTTCATTTTAAAGAGTAGAGCGTTTGTACCCAACATATAATGAATAATTCTATATTGAAACCAACATAGCTTAGTGTTTTTTGAAACCTTGGTAACACAAAAGTTATTTTTTTTCTCCAATTTCTACAACCTTATTTAGAATACCTTCCCAATTGTTTTTTTGGATGCAAAATCTATAGGTATATAGGTATGGTACCTTGGTTTAAAATAGAATACATGTCCTTTGAACCCTTTTCTGACTTGAAGAAAATACTAATATTAAAAGGCATAGTAGCTTGTTGTTTTTTCTCTCTTTCAGTGTTGATTCCAATGGCTTGCAACCACTTTTTTAGTGCTAGTATAAGCCCACAAAACTGTAAGAACGTGGACTTGAAATAATATGTTCTTTCAAAATTTTCATATGTTAATATATTTTCATGTTCATCTAACAGGTCATTTACGGTCCGTACCCCATGGTGTGCCCAATTTTTGTAGTAAAAGCTGACATTATCAATTTCAATATGCTCGTTATTCCATACGGAAGCCGAAATGATTTCCTCAAAATGAGAAAGACGTCTGAGTTTTGACATATTTTCCCAGGCATTAAAGACTGTATTCCAAAATTTTTTTTTTTTTATTTTAATGATTCCAAAATAAGCCAACTCTGTAAAATTTATATTTTGTGTGGAGGTAAATAATTGTTTCCATTTAGATTTTGACTTAAATAATCTTCTAACCCAAGTAAGTTGTAACCCTTTTATAAAATTTCTCAAATCAAATTATTCTATACCCCCTCTGTAGTATTCTTGACATAGAAGATCC